CGATGCTAGGAGCACGTAGATGCTTAGACACGACGAGACGACGCGTGCTGCCTACCACGATCGCGTCGATGGTGTTTCTGCGGGCATATCAACATCTCATGCTTTGGCCACCGCCGTAATTTGCATCTGTCAATGCCTCAATCCGATCGGCGGCCCGGCTTGTGACCATTCCACATCCGATCAAGGTGCATCGCCTACCCCCATCCGCTTCCCTCCTTACAATTTCAAGCACTCTTTGACTCTCTTTTTAAAGTCCTTTTATCTTTCCCTTACGACACTTGTTTGCTATCGGTCTCTTGCCCATATTTAACCTTAGACAGAATTTACCACCAGTCCTGATTGGGGCTGCATTCCCAAACAACCTGACTTGTCGATATCACCTTATGGTCCCGGCACAACGAGGCTATCACCCTCTCCGGCACCACCTTCCAGTGGACTTGGGCCCGGTCCACTGCTGATGACGCTTCTCCATACTACAATTCGGTCACCAGGGGTGCTCAATTCTCAAGTTGGGCTATTCCCGGTTCGCTCGCCGTTACTAGGGGAATCCTTGTAAGTTTCTGTTCCTTCGCTTATTGATAAGCTTAAATTCAGCGGGTAACCCCTGCCAAACCTGGGGTCGCGTTGAAAGCCAAGCCGGAGCTAAGCATTTTTTTGAGCCTTCGATGCGCAACGACCGCACACGACAGGCAACCGAGGTTTCGCAACCAACGATTGTCGTGGCGTGCGTCGCCGAGGACTTGGTATTTATATCAACCGCGTGACAGAGTGTACAGGAGGCCATCATTCGCCCCCCGCAATCCCGAGGGAGTAGTGGGGGGCAACGACATGTGACACCCAGGCATGCTTGCCCTCAGGCTAATGGCTTATGTCACTCTTTTTCTCCGTCTAAATTTTGGGTTTGTAGTCTTCCTTTTTCAATTGTAAACTCCTTTTACTTGAACTTCTTTAGGCCTACATGTAATAACCCGGTCCTAAATTAATTTTTAATTATTAATTTATTCAAATAAAAGATGAAAATACCCCGTGAATAATTTATTAGGTTTAGGATTGACTTTTTGATCGGGAAGGAATTTGAAAATTTCAATTGTACTGTTGTGTAGATCATGTCGAAACGAGTCCATAGACACGTAGTGGGCTCGAATTCGAGTTGTAATGAGGAAGATACGATCAAAATTTACATAGGGGCAAAAACGTAATTTTAAAAAAGTTATCTCTCTCTCTCTCTCTCTCTCTCTCTCTCTCTCTCTCTCTCTCTTCCGCTGGAAACACCACGAGAACGAGCCGATTTTTGACAGAATTTTTCGGCGTTTGTTCTCCCTCCTCTAGCCACCAAACTTGACGCATGAGGTATGGTTTCTCACCTATTTTTTGAGCCCTAGTTGATGGTTGGGTAGGATTTGATAAATTTCTAGGTAACTCGATTTGTAAGCCAAAAGTTTGGCCGAATTTCAAATTGAAATTCCTGTCATTTCCGGTCGTTTTTCGGGGTAGGTCCAAGAACAAAAGTGGCTCCAATCGATGTCCTGAAACTATGGTAGGAATCTTGGCGCTCGATTGATTAAGCCACCCACACGTTGCCGACGCGTGGGCAATATTGTGGGGCAACATTTTGTCCTAAAATGATCACTAGATTGTCACGAGCGCGTAAGTGTGCTCATATTTCAATTTGGATATCGTTTGAGCCTCGAACGGATTTCGCATATTGTGCAATTTCCGGGTTCGATATATTCGGACCATTGAATCGAACTCAAATTCACGTATGTTGTACCTTGTATTTCTAGGATCATATAGGATTCGACGGATCGTGAATCGGAGTCCCGGATATTCTGAAATCATGAACCCTAGGGTAAAATAAACCGTAATCGTGCGATCGTGATCAATCCGACCGTCCGATTCAGACTAAACTTGAACAAGTTTATTAATTAAATATTCTTAATGGTTTAAATAGGCACTCGGGCCCCTTCGGACCCACAAGAGGGACCCTCAAAGGGTCAAGTTATCTCAAACGCACTGTCATTATAGCTATCGTATTGTGATTTTATTGCCTTTAGATTGTCTTTATATTGCTCGTTTATTATACTGGTATTGCTATTGCAATGTAAACTGTGAGTACGAAATTTAAGGGCTTGGAATGTAACTCCAAATGAATCCACAACATTAAAGTTCTTAGAATGCCATTATTACACAGTTACCGTGATACTCCTACTACACCTTCTTTTCTAGTTACAAATTCAGCTAATGCATGGGGCAAATGCGGGGCAAATACAAGGTGAAATGTCATATGTGTTTGACTGGATATAGTTGATGAAGGAGCATTACAACTGTTAACCCCAACAGATTGCTCATGTGTTGCCAAGAACACCCTTGAATTTATGCAATGTGCCCAAGCCAGTCCCAAAGCTAGACTCACCCGCCTACCCGATGCGTGCAAGCACTCCAAGTTTCCCAACCTCACCCCATTCACTCCATCATGTGGCCGAATAAAATCCACCACTTAGTTGGTGACAACCACCGCCACCCCAAACTTATTTTCTAAAGCCTTCAATGTTCCAGATATCGTGAAAAACATTTCAGACCGCCGTTTCAAATCTGTCGCTGTTGTCTCATGCGTGATCGGAACAATGCAACAATGGAATCAATGACGATGAATTTCATAGGTAACCGGGTGTGATCAATGGCAATAAATGCTTGTATGTCTTGAAGGACATGGATGAGTTGTTGATCTTCATGAACGCCATGAACATATATGTTTTCCAATGGGTCCAACCTTATTAAGTTGGGGTATGATGCATGATAAAGGTTAGCTAGTTGTTGCAATCGACGAAATGAGAAGTTGAATTATGTGAATATGTAGAGGGAGGAGCCCTCTAGTTCACCATGTGATGGTGGGAGTTGAGCTCTTACCATTAGTTGTTGGCAAAATTACGTCTTCCCAGTACTGCTTTCCCCTACGAATTCTGTTATGGAGTTGCAAGGTATCCCATTGCCAAAGCAACCATCTAGTATTGGGCATCCAATAGATAATATTTAGGGGTTGAAAAAGGAAAGAGCGTGAGGTTTTGGGGTGTCATGCTTCTGTAATTTAAGGGGGGATATGATGGTGGTGCCAATGGATGAATTGTATATAGAGTCCATATGTCTTTGACGGGATGTATACTTCATCAATTTTCCATTTTTGTATTTTTTTTGTTTTATTTATTTGTATTTTTTTGGACCAAATATTAAAAAACAAAAAGTCTGATGCAGTACCTACTGCAATACGATCGTATTGTAACTCTATTGTGCTCTTGTTGTAACTATATTGTGCTCTTATTGTAACTCTAGTGTGCTCTTATTGTTACTCTATTGTGCTCTTATTGTTTGAACTCTATTGTGGATTTATTGCCGCTATAATTGTTTGAACTCTATTGTGGATTTATTGCCGCTATAATTGTTTGAACTGGACACTGATAAAGGAAACTGTATATGCACAAATATAAACAGAGGCATGATAATTCCATCAAACCCAATTTCAAAACTTACATAATACAACAAGAGGCCACCCCAGCTACATAATACAAAAAGATGCCACCTCATACTTCCATTTTATTGGTTGTTTCCACTACATTTTACAATGTCCAAAGTCATATTAAAGTGTCACAACTTTCCTGCTGTTGACACATTCGGAGTTGCATACTCTTCAATTACGGCGACCGCAACCCATGAAATTCATGACACCGCACACAGTGATGTTGTCCCAGTTTCCTGTTGGATCCACTATTTTTGCAAACTTCCGAAATAATTCAAATCTGGTTTCCACTTGTTGTTGCTTCAACTGGGCCATTTCGTCAGATTCCTCGAATACCAAAACTGCAGTGGCAGGGTATATACCCAATTGGTTGTATCCTATACCAAAACTTATATACCAAATGTCAGATTCCTCGAATACCAATAGGATACAGCCTATTTCATATTTCCCTAAGTTACTTTTTCTATGTTCCAATTTCTATGTGTGAATTTTTTTATTTTCTCAAATTTTCATATTTCCAACTTTAGGTATATATTATTCATTTGACTCAAATTCTGAAATTGTAGGTTACACCAATGCGGATTGGGCTGGAAACGTTGATGATAGGAGGAGCACATCTGAAGGGTGCTTTTATGTAAATAATCTTGTGTCTTGGCATAGCAAAAAGCAAGCTTGTGTTTCCTTGTCTACACCCGAAGCGGAATACATCACTGCCGGAAGTTGTTGCACACAATTACTATGGATGAAGCAAATGATGAGTGATTACAGCATTCAGCAAGGTACTTCAACACTTTTTTATGATAATCTGAGTGCAATAAATATTTCCAAAAATCCTGTTCAACACTCACGAACAAAACACATAGATATTAGGCATCATTTTATTCGTGAATTGGTTCAAGAAAGGGTGGTAAGTCTGTAGTTTGTTTGCACAGATAAACCATTGGCTGATTTGTTTACAAAACCATTAGACACTGTTCGTTTTGAAACTCTCAGGAAGTCTCTTGGTATTTGTTCCATTGAATGAACTCCCTCTAATTTTATTTTATTTTATTTTATTTTGGCATTCAAATTTCATTGTTGTATGCCCATGTCGAATAGGTTTATCAGTTTCTGGTATTTTTTTCTGTTTTATTTTTATAGCTTTGTAGTACATCATTGCACCGCATTTTTAATCCCATTGTCATAAGCTTGTATTTCTTTGAACTGAGATTGGGTTTTCTAATCAGAATGAGGGACTAATTGTGAGACACATGCTCTTAGTTGATAGACATTTTTCTATGTTAGTCTCTAGCATTAATCCTTGCTTAGCCAAAATTCTCACAGCCTTTCCTTGGTTCTTGCACACGCACACCAATATGAGCTATATGAATGCCTATGTTGCAAGATTTCAATTTAAACAACAATGATAGATATCTTTGGAGCTTGATTCAGGTTATCCCAAAGTAGCCGGACCTCTTACCTAACTAGTGTCGAGAGTCACGTCAAATACGGGATGGCTTGGTCCATATAAAAAAATAAAAATAAAAATTAGTGTCACAACTTTGAAGCCTTTTGACTCGAGTTGCTAAGCCCATGGAGTATCCTTGATATACTTAGTGCTCTAAAGTCCTCTGGCTTGGGAGCATCTGGCCTAAGACTTGTTACAGGTCACTAGAAAGCTTAATAAAGTGTGAATTGTGCTCCATAAAAAAAACATTACAAAAAAAAATACAGTACAAATGTAAATATGTTGAATTAAACTTGTTTGCACTGTTATTCTTATCCCTATTGGTTCACTTTCACACCAAGGACTCCTGTGAACTTTTGCTAACCTTGATTATATGGTGTTGCCTAACATGGAGAGATATTTAACAACACTTGATGCTGTGGGTTCTCCTTGTTACTCTTCAATTTTGACTTGATATCTCCTTACAAGCTTTGCTTAGAAATCTCGTTTGTGACACTGGTTTGAAAAATTCATCTTGTGTGCCTACTTGCTCATTCATCATTACATGTGTCTTTTTATACATTCATGGGAGAATTCATAATTTGGAACTTTTGCCTACATTGTTCTTTCTGGGAGTGGTTATTTGTTGTGCAAGTGGTTATTTATTTGAGGGGGAGTTTGCCATTGCCTATCCAGAAAAGGGGGAGTAAACGGTATGAGTTTTATTTTACTTAGTTACTGTATTTTCAGTAATACATGATTTTCACTGATTATTTTTGGTTTAGTGGTGCAGAATTCAGGTTACCTTTTCTATTGCAAGTGGTCATGTTTGAGGAATTCTTTTCACTCACTTGTAATTGGTTTAGGGGGAGATTGTTAGAACCAATTTTTGTAACTAGAGTTTTTGTATAGGAAATGCCAAAGGGGGAGATTGTTAGGACCAATTTTTGGTATATTGGCAATTTCCTGTTACAAAAACATAGAGTAGGTCTTTGAGTGTAACCTACAGTTTTCAAGTGACATTCTGCTATCCTGGATCAATGTGGCTCAAAGACAATGCCAAGGCATGTTTTGCATCCATGCATTCATATTGGCATATTTGCTTGATCATCAAAAGTGGATGTCAGATGTGCATGACTGATATATGATTTCAGTCTTACATAATCTAGTGCCAGACATCAGTGAGTTTTTAACGATGGTTTATATTCTTTAGTTTGGGTGCTTATTTAAGCAAAAGGGTTCTTTTGTCCTTACGGCTGGGCTTTTAATTAAGTGGCTTTATTTGTTTTAAAGAAATAATTTATTTGTTAAGAAGCCCATTTTTGCTAAAAGCCTTTTTTGGTCTCTGACCTAGTTTTAAGCGTGTAATACAAGAAAGGAACTTAGCTATTTTGTTTTTGTGTGTCTGTAACGTTGAAAAGAAATACAACGACAGAATATTTGCAGAGAGGTTTTGAGAGTTTATATTGAAAACTCATGTGGTTGTTCCTTGTTAGCCTCCATGAGTGATTAAATCATCATCTTTTCATATATGTGTGGTTCATGAGTAATATGCATGTTGGTGATCAGCAATCATGCCTTGAGGTGTGAGTAGTCGAGACCAGAGTTGTGTAATCTCTTGTTGACGAAGGAAGACAAGATCACTGGTTGGGTTGAGTAGCAAAGGCGAGTAGGCAAGTCTGCCTTGTGAGCGTTAGTCTTGTGAGTTGAGACTTGTACGACCTTTTTGTACTCTTTCTCATAGTGATTTGTTTGCCCGCAGTTGTTTTCCTCATCTTGAGGTTTTTTATCGCGTCAACATATCGTGTGTCCCTTGTGCAATTGTTTGCGTTTTATTTGAATTTTATTCTGTTGCGTATTCTGGAATTTTTGCTTACAGAATTGTTACAGTATTTCAATCCTGCTGTGGTGTTTGAGTATTAAGAAACAAATCAGTTGGCCATTCTAGGGAATTTCAAGATGCAAAACAAGGAGAAAAAAAAATTCGAATCAAACACTTTCCTCATATTACAACAACCAATAGTGACACAAAAAAAGCAACAGATTATAATGCAACTGCAAGCCCATTCCCATATCTTTAATATTGACTAACATAAAATCCATAGTAACTGAGTCAAAATGGTGCTCCTTAACGATATGGCATGAAAATTAGAAAATACCATCAAGTAAATGAGCCAAGTTTCGACCCCCGCATTCATAACATTGTAGCAAATTCCCAATCAGACCATTCAAACCAACAGGAAGAGAAACTAAAAAGAAAATCATTCCAATTATGGTAGCAAAACTCACAAGACGGAAAATAATCCCCAAGTTACTGATCCTTTAGGCAATCATGTAGTTAACCAATTCAAATTGCATTGCCAAACCCACATCTAATACTAACGAAGCTGCTTCTGCTTTCCATTTCGTAACAAAAATACAAAAAACCAAATCAACTTAAATGTCTAAGCATCTCCAACAGAAAAATTCAACAATCAATGCCCGAATGCACCACAAACGTGCATAACCAAATCAACTTAAATATCATAATATCCATGTGCTCAAAACAATTAGCAGCTTGCCCCATCAAAACATGACAAAACAGGCACGTTCTATGCAATAAACTTCAATAGCACATTGGAGGAGAGAGAGAAAAAGAGGAAAGAACAGGCCTATTCTCCTAGGTGCAAGGCATTATCCAAAACAATAAGAAGATTTTACTAGGGTTATTGCAATTTTGTACATTAGGCCTGGGCACGGATCGGTTCGGAATGGTAGAAGGCTCTTTCGTTAACCAAACCAAAGACTTCGGTAGACTTCGGATTGGTTAACCTAATATTCGGTTCGGATTGGCCAGTACGCCAGTAGTACTGTAATAAAAACATACTAATAAAAATACAATTTATAATACTTTCACATAACATAAGTTTTTGAACAAATACACCAAATTATCCTTGTAAAATATAAAAAACCAATAGTCTAATTCATCCAAGTATGAAATCAAATAACTTAGTCACTGTATCATTCAATATGTACTCGAGATGTACTAGGAGCCACTTGTGTTTGTTGTTTGAACATTTGAATGTTCTTTTTATTGAATTCTCTACATTAATGTAAATGATTTTGACATTTGTTCCGCGTAGGGTTCTTCAGTTTTTCATGCTGAATCCAACCATATTAAGAACATAAAATTTGGATCAACAGTTGGAAAGTTACAAGTAAAAAAGGGACAAATGTTGAAATTGAAAAACATAGGAAGTTCATAAATTCCTCTCTGACCAAAAAGTGCTACAGTACCCGGGTAATTCGGATGAGATGCCCACCCTTACTATACATAATACTCCCTCATTAACAGTTAGTGAACTCGTAAGAGCACGTGTGTGTCCTACAGAGAGAGAGAGAGAGAGAGAGAGAGAGAGAGAGAGAGAGAGACGTTAGCTAACCTTGGCTATAAGTTGCACTGCCAGGCCTAAACACTGCATTTCCAAATTTAACCCAGAAATAAAAATCAACATTTTAATACAATGGAAAGAAACCAATAAATCCTAATTTTCCACAAAATACCACAACATGCTACAGGACCAGCAACCTATTTTCATCAAACTATATGGCCAACATTTCCAAGCAGCCAAATAAGATTTAATAAAATATATATTTAAAAAAAACTAAAACACAAATTCAGTGACAACAAATTCATTTACATAACTAGTTGTTGAGGCCCAAAAATCCAAAGGGTTAAGCCCAAATTAATTCCTGGCCCAACACAGAAAAGAAGATACAAAAGGGGCTTAATTGGAACAAAGGGGCATTTGTGGGACCCGCTAATACATGCAACCAGCCACGCGCCATGCCAAGTAAGCCATACAAAGGGGCCAAATAAAACACACCAACCTTACAAAAATCACGCTCATGTGCTCATCAGGTGTTACTTGACTCGGAATAACAAAACTCAAGTGTAAGCATAGGTGTCATGCGAAAAGAGCCATTATTTTAATACAAATTTATAAATAAACCCAATCCTAGACATGTATTTATAAAAAAGCCCAAACACTATTTAAACATAGAAACACACCCAAAATCAACCCCAAAATCAACAATTGTATATTTTTTGGGTGTGTTTATCAATGGATTTTGAGTGTGTGTAATGATGGGTTTTGGGTGTGTTTATAAAGTGTTTTGGGTGTTGGGTTTTTTTATAATTTCAGCCCCCATTTTGGGTGTTTTAGTGAAACTCCCTTATTTTAACACCAAGCTATGACTCAAGTGGACCCAAGCCACAAAAAAATTAAACCGGGGCTTACTGAGAAGGTTGTGGCATGGAGGGGAACAAGCAATCACAGGGCCCATTGAGGGTTCGAGGAACGCACGTTTTAAGCCACTTGGGGGCATTAAAACTCAAGCCGGTTCTTAGAACCCAAACACATGGGTTAGCATGAGAGAGAAGAGAAAATGGGCCAAAGCCCATATCAATAGAATGCCTAAAAAACTAAAGTCACTTCCAGCAGCTTGGCGAAAAGCCCATTAGATGCTGGAGATAACACGTTGATAATCCGACACTATACACATAAGCCCAGCCCAAAGCCTTATAAAAAGCTGGTGTCGTGCTCCATCCCTATTAGGACTCCAAACAAGTCAGACAAGGAGCCATGACAAGAACCAGTGGAGATTTATGGGTGAAGGACAAATACCCATCTGACAAAAGGCTCTATCCGTCCCCTTTTCCATTACGAGCTTCGTTTCGAAAACCAAAGAGAGAAAGCAGGTGGCGCCTTGCCCTCATGGGGAGGTCCAGTCGCGTCAAACCATTGGAACCACAAAGGGTCCCTTACCCATGCATCTCGAACAGAAGAATTTCACCCAAAAGGTTAAGTGGAAGGAAGCAACGAGAAAGGGAGGGAAAGGATTAGACAAAATTAGGGTTCTTCATGCCTATAAAATACGGCTTTTGCTACCCAGAAAATCAACCCACTCGGAGGCCTGACCAAGCTTTGTCAAAGCATCTGAGAATTCACTCAAGACACCCAATCTCCTCTTTCGTTCGTTTCCTTCTCCCTCTTAGGATAGGAATCGTTCTAATCGTGCTCTGTTCACTTCAGGCTCTTGTTCTCTATAAGAAATTCATGTCTCTCTCTCTCAAATTGCTAAACTTGTGAAAGCTTAGCTCCCATGCCACAGGCTCCTCAGGCTAAGCCATTAATCAGTTTATTATGCTTATCTGGTGTTAGTGAGATGAGCCTAAGAGTGTTTTTCTAAAGTCTCATCGGATTTTATAAAAACCCTTGTGAGAGCTTGGTTTCGAACTTAGGGTTTTTGGGGAATTTTGTTCGTTGTCTTCTTACGCAGCCCGAGCCCATTCGTCAGGCTGTTGGAACAAAGAGACCCCTACATAAATTGGCGACTCTGCTGGGGACTAAGCTGCTGTTTTCACAAAATGCCTCCAAAAAAGAAGACTAGAAGCAATACCATGGCTTCCCAAGACGGATCCGACCATGGTGATTCCGGATCACGGCAAAATGCCTCCTCTAGGGAACAAGAGCGTGCAAGTGAGGGAACTTTCACTCTCGCGGATCTCATTATAGCTATGCAAGCTATGGGGGAAACCTAGAGGGAGATGATGGATACTATCAAGGAATTAAGGTGAAGACGATGACAGGCATCCACAAGAAGAATCTGCTGCAGCTGGAAAGGGGTCTGAACAAAAGGGACCATCTTTTGTTACCTAGGAAGATGTCGTTGCCATGCTGGAAAAGGAGCTTAGTCGAAGCTAGGAGGATTGGAAGTACATTCCTCAACCATCGTACCCGTCGAGCTTACTCCAGCAGCCCTATCCCAAAGGTTACAAAACACCGACCTTTGTTCTTTTTGATGGGAGGAAAGGAAGCCTAAAGGAACATGTCAATTGATTCCTCGATGCCTTGGGACCACATGCTGGTGATTATAATCTTCGACTCCACGAATTCTCAAAAAGCCTCACTGATCGGGCTTATACTTGGTATACCACATTGGCACCAGGCTCTATGCGTTTTTGGGATGACCTGGCAAGCAGGTTTTGTAAAAAATATTTCCAGCATGAAGAGAGGGTTACTACCACGCAGCTCAACAACACTCGCCAAAAGCAAAGGGAGGATCCGGTGGACTTTGTACGGAGATTCCGGGATTTGGCTCTCGACTGCTATGATGAAAAAGATGAGAAGGCACTTGTTGAGATTTGCATCAGCAACATCGTGGCAGACTACAGAGTTTACTTGGAGAATATTGGCATCAGTCAATTTTCTCAGCTGCTGGAAGCAGTAAGGAAGACGAGCATGTCTGTTAAGCCAATTGGGCAAAGAAGTTGGAGGAGTGAAAAGAAGGAAGCACATCAAACGATGGCCGTAGATAAGTCATCCAATGACTACAACTCACGCAAACGAAAGGATAGGGAGACGTACCCTCCATTGCCATGCAAAGACGAAGAATTTCATGCCATTCTTGACACAATGATTGCTGACGGTGCAATCAAGCCCCTTAAGCCCTACAAGGTCCCTACTAGGGAAGAGAAAAGCGATCCCAGGTACTGCCGTTACCATCAATTTGTAGGGCATCCAACTACTGCCTGCCAGAGCCTAAGGAGGATCTTACATGGTAAAATAAACGAAGGGGTTCTTGAGCTCCCCTCTAGGAAGCAAACTATCGATGAGGACCATTTGCCAAAGCGAAGGGGAAATGAGGTAGCTGTTGTTGTAACATGTTCTGACGATTTTCTCGGTGATGATGAATTGTGTCACCCATGGAAGAACGACCCGAAGCCACCTGAGGCTATTTGGGAGCCTTGCGGAAACATGGAGAAAGCTTACTGGCGAAAATATTCAGAACCTTCAAGCTATAATACGCCATGGCCACTTGCTGACGGGTGGGACGGCTGTGCAGACAACGAAGTGTTTATGTTGGACATGCCAGAAGAACAATGCATGGGAACCTCCTCGGGGCAGCAGGAAACGGCTGCTGTAACATTTCATGCTCTTATAGAAGCTGAGGCAACTGTAATAGAGCGTTACCTAGGTGCAAAGCAAGGACCTACAGCTTTGCAAGTTCTCCAAAGAAATCCAAAGTTCAAGTCACTCTTCGACCAACTTGGTTTTGGACCTCAGACAAGGGAAGCAGCTGTTGTAGCTTTCATGAACATTTCTGCATAATCTAATCCCCATTGCTTCACCACTCAACCCAAAAGATCATTCTTGGAATATGATAATGCTATCGTTTTCACGGATGAAGACATGGAGGTCCCATATCCGGATCACAGGAGGCCACTCTATTTGGAGGGACAAATCAATGATGTGTTTATAAGAAGGGCTTTGGTAGACACGGGTTCCTCTGTCAACATTTTACCCTTGTCCGTGCTTACAGCAGCTGACATTCCATTATCCAAGATTGTCCAATCACAAACAAGCATTAGTGGCTTCAGAAACAAGAGTGAAGTCACAGTCGGGCCCATGCAAGTAAATTCGAAGGTTGGACCGATTCGGTCACTTACTAAATTCTATGTCGTAGATGTGGATGTGGCTTATCACGCTTTGCTTGGGAGGCCTTGGCTTAATAAGCATAAGCTTGTGGTCTCTACTAACCATCAGTGCGTGAAGGGAAGGATCGGGCTAAGGCCACTACGAATACCCGGAAATCAAGCACCGTTCAACAAGAATGAAGCTCACTACTCTGAGGCAGAGTTTTACACTGAATGCACAGGTGCCGGAAGCAGCCCGTCCAAGGATTTCGGGACCTACCTTACTTCGTGGACTGAGATTCGTGATCTAAGTAATGAGGAGCTCATCACCATTGTTGACCGAGAAAGAAAGAGACACTCGAAGGTCAACAATCATGCCTATGATCATCCCCAATACTCGAAAGTGACGATGCCCGAAGAGCGCACTGTGTACCGCTTATGACGGGATTGGGGGCTCGACCGCGTTCTGCAGGAAAGCCCCGAGTATGAAAGAGAAGCAATGCAAGCTGGCAGTCGCAAATATCCAAATAACAAGGCATCTCTGCCTTGTACCTTTCAGGAACCAATGATAGCGCCCAAGCACATGCAAGATGGCTCAACGGCAGTAGCTGAGCAGTTGGAAACAGTTGATTTGAGTGATGATCCCTCTGTCCTAAGACCCATCTCTATCAGCGTTCATTTAACAGGGGAAGAAAAGGAAGCTTCGATATCTTTGTTGAAGGAATTTCGAGATGCGTTTGCTTGGAGCTACGAAGAGATGCCTGGCCTTAATCCAAATTTGGTAAGTCACACGCTGAATATTGAGCTCGGTACAAAACCTGTTATACAGCCAAGAAGGAATTTTCATCCTGAAATTGAGAAGCAAATGAAAGTTGAAATTGAAAAGCTGTTAGCTGCTAGATTCACCAAGCCAATCAAACACCCGACATGGCTAGCAAATATTGTGTCCGTGAAGAAGAAAACCGGGGTAATCAGAATATGCACAGACTACTGTGATCTCAATCGAGCCTGCCCGAAAGATGAATTTCGGCTGCCCAACATGGATATTTTGATCGATTCAACCTCGGGTCAAGGCATGCTATCCTTCATGGACGGATTCAGTGGCTATAATCAAATCAAGATGTCTCCCAAAGATGCCGAGAAAACAGCCTTTCGAACACCATACGGGAACTTTTATTATACCGTCATGCCATTTGGTCTTAAGAACGCTGGCGCCACTTACCAAAGGGCCATGACGACAGTGTTTCATGATATGATGGGAAGAGAAATCGAGGATTATGTGGACGACTTGGTGGTAAAATCAAAAGATAGGGGAAGCCATTAGGAGGTTTTGAGACAAGTGCTAGAAAGATGTCGGCTCTACGGGTTAAAAATGAACCTAAAGAAATGTGCATTTGGGGTCTCATCAGGCAAGTTCCTTGGTTTCCAAGTACATCAGCGTGGCATAGATGTGGATCCAAAAAAAACCCAGAGCCATAAACTCTCTTGCACCACCTAGAAGTCCAAAAGAATTAAAAAGCTTCATGGGAAGGTTATCGTATATTCGACGCTTCATCCCAGGTCTTGCTGCCACCATAAGTATCTTTACTCCCTTACTCAAGAAAGGCAAGCCATACAAGTGGAGCAAGGAGTGCCAGGAGGCCTATCAGCAAGTACAACAAATAATCACTAGGCTTCCCACCATGAGAGCACCCATTCCGGGACTTCCGCTTAAACTGTATTTGGCTGTAAGAAACACAACAGTTGGGGCCTTGCTTGCTCAGGACAATCATAATGGAGACAAGAGTCTCATTTACTATGTGAGCAGGCAACTAAGGGGAGTAGAAACGAGATACCCAAAAACTGAGCTCTTGTGTCTTGCTCTTGTCTATGCTGCATAGCGCTTGCGACACTACTTTCTAGCTCACAAGCTACAACTCATAGTAAAATCCGATCCTGTAAGATATCTGCTTACAAGGCCGGTGTTGTCTGGTCGTCTTGCGCATTGGCTGCTGCAGCTATCTGAATTTGATATTACATGCACAACTCCTAAGGCCATCAAGGGACAAGCTGTGATTGACATGCTGGCTCTGTTTCCCGAGGTAGAAGGATCAACCCTTTCCAAGGAGGTTTTGGGGGAGCTACCGAAAATGGTGGCTACCGTGACGGAGGAAGAACCATGGACCCTCTACTTTGATGGGTCTTCTACATCAAAGGGTGGAGGAGCAGGTGTGGTGCTTATTAATCCCAATGGGCATGCTACGGCTCTCTTATTCAAGCTAGATTTTCCATGCTCAAACAATGTGGCAGAGTATGAGGCTTTATTATGGGATTGTCCACTGCCAGGGAAATGGGTGCAGAAAGGATGAAGGTCATTGGCGACTCTAATTTGGTGCTAAGTCAATTGCAAGGAAGCTTTGCTGTGAAGGAGGTGACCTTGGCACCATATCGGACGGCTGCTGAAAGGCTCATTAATTCCTTCAAGCAAATAGTGATGGAGCACATTCCAGGAGTCACCAATAGGTATGTTGATGCCTTGGCTACGTTGGGATCCAAGCTCTCATTCATGCAAGAGCAGCCCAATATTACAGTAATAAGGAGAGGCACACCAGTAGTTGAAGCAATGGTCCAGGCGGAGCCGCTGGAAGAAGACGATTGGAGGAAACCATTATAGAAAAGGTTGGGTGAAGAGAGTGGTATTAAGAATTTGAAAGATTATGTGGTTATCTTTGGCGAACTCTACAGGCGTCTTCCAGGAGGCATTTTGACTTGATGCATAGGAATAGTTGAAGCAGGAAGGCGGCTGCAAGAAATGCACGATGCTACTTGTAGTGTGGAGCCAGTAATCAGCTTGTATCGCCGCCTGCAGCGTAAGGGTTATTTTTGGCCAGAGATAAGGAAATAGGCGGCTGAGGTGCAGGCTAATTGTCCCAAATGTTCTACAATACCGACTGCCGAGGAATCCTTCACCATTTCACTCGCAGAAGATTGGAGGGCTCCATATTTGGCATTTTTTGTTGAGGGGACTCTGCCAAGCAATTCCAAGCTCGCCTATAAGCTTAAGAAGACGGTAAAGAGATATTTTGTGGATGGATCGAATCTTTACCGGAAGGGATTTAATGAGGAACCTCTACGATGCTTAGGAAAGACGGAGTTACATCAAGTCATACAAGAAATACACGCTGGAGAATGCGGAGAGCATCAAGGAATGAAAAGGCTTCACCGGCAGCTGTTGAGTTTTGGATATTACTGGCCTACTATGAAAAGGATGCACATGATTTTGTTAAGAGGTGCCACACGTGCCAAATCCATGCCAATTTGAGTCACAAGCCCCCTACACTGTTGCAGGACATGCGCACTCTTTAGCCTTTCCATACTTGGGGGATTCTAACTGCTACAGAATACTTCACGAAATGGGTCGAAGCAGTTCCTCTCCGAAAGGCTACGGGAGCCGCTGTTTCAAATTTCATTCGGGAATATATTGTATGCAGATTTGGGATTCCATACAAGATGGTTATTGACAACGGCACACCTTTTGTTAACAAGCAAGTAAGTTCAACACTTAGCGGTTACGGAATCAAGCACCGCCGCTCAACACCCTATTACCCGCAGGGAAATGGTCAGGCAGAGGCTACCAATAAGACAATACTGATAATCTTAAGCAAAATGGTGTATGAGTACGAAGGCGGTTGGAGCATTCACCTGCCGGATGCTTTGTAGGCTTACCGCACCTCACCTAGAAGTGCTACAGGCTTTTCACCTTATTCGATGGTATATGGGTCTGAGGCTATTTCACAAGTGGAAATCACCATTCCAACAGCCAGAATAGCTGCCGTCAACGATCTTGAATGGGATGCGAAATCATGCTCAGATTGGCGCTTGCTAGACCTCGAAGCGGTTGATGAAAGAAGGATGGAAGTAGAAAGAAGGATGGCGCTCTATCACAAGACTGTTTCCCAAGCATATAACAGGACCATTAAGCCTCAAGCCTTCAAGCAAGGAGATCTCGTGCTAAAAGTCGTTGAGCATGTGAGAAGATAGTTGTCAGGACCTTCCAAGTTTGCTCCACAATGGGCTGGTCCATTCGTAGTCAAGGAGGTACACAACATCGGTTATTATCGCCTGATCTCTGTCAAGGAAGGCATGCTAACAGATCCCATCAATGGAAAATGGCTTAAGCCCTACTACTGCTTAGTAGGCATAATATTTATTTTTGTGTTGTCGTGTTTCTTTTTGTCTGAAAATATTGTCTCCTTCTATATGCTTGCTTTGTTTTGAAAAGCTTTTGTAAAATGTACCGTCATGGTAACAAGGGAGTTGAAATGAAAATGAACGAGTATTTTGAAAAAAATTTGTCTCTAGAAGTTTGCCCTTTCTCGTATTCCGAATTCTTTTATACAGCAGATATTTTAAAAAATATGTATATATATATCGAAGAAAATATTATTTAGCCAAAGACACGTCAAGCAAAGCCATTCGAATGGGATCCTAAGTCAATAGCAGATTTTGCGCTTTAGCAGAATGAAAAGAAACACGCCAAGCTAAACACTTGCAAAAAGAAGTTAGCACACTCATCAGGTCCAATAACCCTCAAGGAAAATAGGCGGAGTGCCGAAAGGCCATCCTAATAAAATTTTGGCAGCATATACTTTATTTCAAAAGGATGCCCAATCTATAGAAAGAGCTCAAGCAAAGAATTCCATCAACCAAGGATTATATATATACGCTAAACATAAATTACAATGTGTTTTCTAAAATAAAAAGACATAGGTTCCAGCAGCTAGAACACAACAATACTACAGTGCCAAGTTGCCGCAGTACAAATGTTACAGCATAAATCAGACTAAGTTGTACAAACTAAAATGTGTTCTTCAATCTTGAAAGAAATCCAGAGATGTGTCGAGCCAGTCAGTCCTACACCAAGCAAAAAATGCAGCCTGCGGAATTAAGAAAGTGTTAGGAGAAAACAGGAGGGTAGTCGGTGAGAATAGAAAAAAGGGGGAAGAGGAAAGAGGTCACGAACCTCGAAACCATCACGCATGGCTAGAAAAGAACGGAAGAAGCCTTTTGAGAAGACCTCATCACCGCTTCCATCACGCAACCTGCACTATAAGGAGAAATACCTTGGGCCAGAAGAAGGGCACGCCATTCCCCATGCTGATCTTCTAACTCACGCTGCTTGAGATTCAAGGCCTTGGCCGCTGCTCTTATGTTGTCAAAACCAGAAAATGACTCCATGCTATGAATAGCCCGTTCCCCGAATACAGCACATGCTAGGTCTTTCACCAGATTCAAGAGAAACTCTACACGGAAACCTAAAGTCATGGCTTCACATATCGCGTCCCGCCAGCAAAGGAGTCGATGGTCTGTGATGTCCAGCAGCTGCATAGTATCCATGCCATGGAGCACCAAGCCAAGAGTCTGGAAAGCAGCACATCAGGAAAAGGAAGAAGTAATGCTAGTCATGTCTGTGATATCCCCATACTTTTCCAGAAATTTCTCCAGGGCTGTAACTGTCTAGGGATAAACGAGGGCTCCTCGGAATGTTGCATAATCGTTGAACCGGTGACAAAGTGGCAAGAGTTCATCTGCAGATCGAAGGACCTGGACGCCGCCATTAAAGAAGGCCATGAATGCAGCAAAGGATTCCTCCCACTCCAACCAAGATGCATCAGATGGGTGTTCTGCAGCAGTATTCCCGGTAGCAACGATAGCCTGAGCATTCTCGGCAGCACTTGCGTCACTAAAGCGGAACGCTGGAAGAAGTGCAAGGGGACTAGACTCTGGCATCTGGAGAAGCAGTCAAATGTGGGATGGAACAGGCAGTATCCCATGAAAGGCAAAGGTGTTGCTTCGGAGAATTGTCGGAAGAACTAAATGGCAGGCTCAAGGTCCCCCCGAAGAAAGTGCTAGAAGATAGGAGGCAATGGGTCTGTGATTCGGAACGTGGATGTTGTGTCCTGGGAATTTGTTGGCGGCATGGTTGGAAACGACTCCGCAAGGACTGCCTCAACCAATCTGTCAAAGGTGTCAAAGGAGGGAGCCACCACGGGCACGATTTCCATGTTCTGGGCAACGTGCCCAATCTAAAAAAAGAAGTATAAGATATGTATAAGGATCAGCACAAAATAAACAACAGGTTATGTGCACTGGCAAAGGAGTAAGAAAGGAATGGTGTCCAACAAGGAGAAAGAGAGAATATTAGTAAAGAAGGTACCTTAGGGGTGTTTCGAGCAGGGTCGACAGTGGCTGCAACAAGGTCCGAACCCTCAGTAATATCAGTAACCTACGAAATGGGTACAGGTGGTCAGTAGGTATTTGGTGGAGCGAAAGAGGGGAAAAGAACAGAGTTTAGGATAGGCCAAGTACCGGCTCGACACTGACAGGACGCATACTGCTACCCATAGATCTAGAGAAGGTATCCGAGCTGCCTTGCTTTTCTGCGTAATTGCCACAAGGAACATCTCCATCGTGGTCATAATTGTCGTTCCCATCGGAACTCTCATGCATGTCACCAATGTTATCTATATCCTCTTGCTCCGGAGTGCTAGCCTTGGACTCAGTAGTGTCACCATCGTCACTGTCATCATCAATTGTCACTACAGTTCTAGTTCCAGAGGCGTCGCTTCCGCTTGTACGAGCCCCAATGAATTTTTCTTGCAAGACACGCATGTTGCGACACTTTGGAGTAGCCTATGGAGACACGGAGGGCGTGCTACTTCTGATCCTCTTCGGAGTGGTGCCCATTTTCCCTACAAAAGAAAAGAAACACGTGTGATAGGTTGTATATATATATATAAAGTATGAATAATTTGTTAGAGGAGGTGACACTTACTACGGAAAGGGGTAGTTTCTAGCGCCTTGCTAGGACGACCTTGGCTCTCGAAAGCAGTAGGCTTTGAAGACTGTGGACGCTCCGGAGGAGTTGCTTATTTGGCTCGAGGAGGCCCACTCGGGGTTGCCTTTGGAATGAACCTCTTAGGTTTACTGGCAGTCTGCCTCTCCCTTACATTCTACTCCTCCTCTCGCTTCCTTTTACCCGACACGGTGGTGTACTTTTTTCGGAACCACAAGGACTCCGTACTCCCGGCTTTGGCTTTGTCTTCGGAAATTCTCCAACGATGTCACCGCTCTTGGAAATAAAGGGATGGCCTTCTCTTCCAACACCAAGCCTGCAAGACGAGCTGTTGTAGGAGGCAATCTATCTCCAGGAAAAAATTGGAATTCACGAAAGGAGGCAAGGCAGCGGTTCCAGTAAGCTTGGTAACCTCGGGAGAAGCCACCAATCCTCCTCTTACTAGCTAGAACAAGGGGCCTACAACAGTTTGGTATAGGGTTGTTGCTCCAGAAGACTCTATGTAGTACGAAGGGGTCAGCATGGTTATGACTACTGGGAACTCCTTGATCAAGCCCAAACTGCCGCCTAACCCAATGAGGTGAATAAGATATAGAAATCTCCGAGCGACTGTCTCCAAGAGTAGGCAGCGGGATAGGAGCAACGTTCAGCATGGCATACTTTTTAAACTGGTTGCTTTGCGAAGTGGCTGCTGGAACCTTGATAGGATTTTTAGTACCTGCGCAAACAGGGTTAAAATCACTGAAAATACTTGCAAGAATACAAGGTAATTGTAGTATAAATGCTCATGCAAGGTCATTGTCCCCAAAGATTGTTTGACTAATCTGTAATTAAACTAACTCTTAATTAATAACTAAAATAGATTTTATCAAAGATTTGAAGTTTATGAATTTGAAAGGATTAAACTAACAGTAAAAGAAATCTGAAAGTTGGGAAATAAAAACAGCAAAGAAGAAAAACGATTTCTTTTTAAAGACTAACAATTTAGAGAAAACTAGGGTTTAGCCAACACCGTCGCAATCCTATGCAATTCTATCAATTACTTATGAATTTCCACATATATGCTTTGAAGGTTAGGTTTTCCTAATACATATTTTCCTTGTGATGTTCAAGCGAAAACGTATATCTAACATGCAATCCGTCTGTGATGTTCATATCAAATATAAACATGCAAGACTCATTAAGTTTTGTGAAAACCCTTTGAAAAACCATGCAACCCTTAAGAGCGTGATGTTCGCCTTAAGTGAACTTACAATTACTAATCACAAGAAGCCCTCCTCAATTTCAGGGTGATGTTCCAACAGAAATTGCATCAAATTACTTGTCTACATATCCTAATGGTGATCAGTCATTAAAATAGATAGATAGTTTTAAACACAGTGATTAATAATTCAAAGCAAACATGCAACCATTCATAAGCAAATTAATAAAACTACATATTCATGCTAGGCTTACGGCCTCGCCCTAGCAAAAGGAATTAGTTACACATAATCATAATTGAAATCCAAGAAAATATCATTCGAATGAGTAAGAATGAAAACACCTGAAAGTAGCGAAAATCCAAAACCCTAGCAATTGCTCCCAAAGCCAAAAAGAAGTTCTAAAAGGAGATCCCCAAATTCTGTGAAAAGGAGCTTAAATACCTCCTAAAACCTAGCTACCCAATCCCCACAAGGAAACTAAGTTAAAGTAAAGTAAGACTAGGAAATAAAGTCCAAATTTGATTAGGAGAATCTGCCCATAATCTGCCCAGCCACGTTTTAGTCTCAAATCTCCCCCCAAATCTGGCCCAAGATAGCTCGTTTTAAAGATAAAAATATTCCGAACACTTCTCCAGAAGGCCACGAACCCATCCGAGGTCATCTTGGGCTCCAAAAACGCAATAAAAGCCCAAAACGTCACTATTCCAGCATAGCACACTGCTCCATCATTTATTCGCCAGGAAATCATCGCTTGGTGGAAAAGTCTGATATTTTGATACGATCAAGTTAAGTGACTCACGTACGTCCTCCAACTGGAATTACTCCAAAATTCGTCCATTTGATTATGTTTTGCTCCAGAGAGAGTCGAAAATCCTATATTGGAAATATAATTCAAAGTATCAAAATTCTTCCAAAATATTAACCAAAATATACTAAGAATGAGGTTAAATATATAATATAAAATCGACTCATCAAACCTCAACAGTGTCATTGACATCAGCATAAAAGGGCACGAAGGTGAAGGTCTCTGCCGAGGTCCCGTAAAGGCGAAAGACAAAGTTCTCAACGTTGTCCAAAAACTTCAAAAAGTCCTGGCCTTTCCTCTGCATCCGCTTAAACCACCTGCAGACTAAAGGAAGACTTTCCGGCATATAAGAACCCCTGCCCCAATCGGCCATCTTCATAGCATGCGAGTGAGGGAGTGAGTGTACCTCCAATCCTCTAAAACGCTCCCACAAAAATACTTGCAGGAAACCAGAGTTCAAGAGGGTCTCCACGCCCATAGTTCCGGATGCACTCTTCTGCAAAAGCTGAGTCTGATTAAGTAGCCGGTATAGATGCCCCAAGAACATGGGGGCTAGGGGGATGGTATCACCTCGAGCTATAGCCAAAGCCAAGGGGAATACACGCTCGTGCAAGCAATCCTGTGAAAAATCACAAAGTACGAACCGCCCAAGCCACAGAGCTATGAATGCAGCCGACCGGCAAGGTCCTTGTCTGTTTACATCACCGAAATACTGTATCCAGTTACTGAACTGAAGGGAGGTGCTGGGAGAAGTAGGAGCGCCTCTTCGCAAAATTGCAAGCTTGTCTATCTCTTCCGGGGTGAGGGCAATGTCGAAAGGACTCCGGTCGTCGAAAATTAGAAGACGAGAGATATTCGCCACGTCTTCAAGGGTAGGCGTGAATTCTCCCCATGAGCACACAAAGGTATGGGTAGCAGCGCACCACCTTCGGACCACATGACAAAGCATCTTCGCTTCGATATGGATATCCCACAGTTTGGAAAGGAATATGGCATCCAGAACCTGCGCTTTGCGTAAATATTGCACGTGGATGGATCCAGTAGCTCGCGGTCAACCCACTCTGACCAACCCTTGCTAATGCTACAAGGATATTGAAAAAATAAGGGGACGGCTGGAAACAGACCTTTCTCGATGCAGCACCTGGATATGGAGGCAGGTTCAACTGTAGGAGAAGTTTCTGGCGATGGCTCATCACCAACAATGGGATTCTCACGGGCATCTTCAAGCAACAAGAGCGGCCCTCCTACTTTGATATTGTCATCCATGGAGTAAAGGTGGTCTAACATGATGGGCGGAAGATCGGATGATGCCATAATAAACCCCCTAGGTCACGAACACCTGCAAAAAAAAAGGGGAACGAAACAGGTAAGTTCCAGCACCCTCACAGACGCTGAACACACGAACATCCCTATGATGTCATGCCGGGAAATAAAAAAAAAGAGAAGGGGTAAATTGTTCGAAGGAGGCCATGGAGTGGCTGGTCTATATAATGCCTGACCCTGCCCTCTCTACCATGCATTGATACCATCTAAAGGGTTCATGTTTGGACAAGGCAAGTTGTGGCTTCAAATATACCTATAAACCCTAATTAGTGGTTTATACCCAAAAAAAATTTCGAACCCAGGCATAAATGATTGGGCATATGTACAGCGGAGGGAATTGAGAGGACGCTCTGTTCATGAGAAATTATCAAAATCTATATGCGTGGGTGTGCCATCTGCACATATATAAGCATATGCATAAATGCATGTGTCTGCAATGATAAGATGGAGAAGTAGGAGAGGAGATAAAAGGACGATGCTTACCACTGCTCTTGACGGTGTTTTCCAGCAGCTTGCGAAATCAGAAGAAAAGGGGGAACCACCTTCCGATTCTGTTGTCAAAATTGCTTCACGCTTTGCAGGGCAATTTTGCCAAACCTGGTTTTTAGGCAGATTGAAGAAGAAATTGAAGGAAATTCGGGGGATTTTAAAGAGGAGCCGTGGCTTTTCCCAGACGTTGCGAGCGGTTTCTCTGAGCGAAACCGACCGGCAGTTATGGAGGAGGCCTCCCCGCGATTTCTTGTTCTCCAAAGGATATCTAGACCTGGGTGTGAGAGGGAACCAGCAAAACCGAAAAGGGGCAACCAGTTTTGGGAACTCGTGCGCACAAAAGGGAGAAGTCAGAGAATGAAAAGGAGAAAGAGCAAAGAAAGTAAAAAAATATATAGATTTGATGGAAGCGTACCTGGGGAACGTAAGAAACTGCTGGAAGATAATTATGGCAGCACACGCGAGAAACGAGAAGGTCACATCAGCTGCAAGGATTTGATTTTTCTTGCTTTTGGGCCGGGTTTGATTATTCGACCCATCTCAAGGTATTTCTCATGGCCCTAATAATCAAGGGGGCTAATGTTGAGGCCCAAAAATCCAAGGGGTTAAGCCCAAATTAATTCCTGGCCCAACACAGAAAAGAAGATACAAAAGGGGTTTAATCGGAACGAAGGGGCATTTATTGGACCCACTAATACATGCTACCAGCCACGCGCCATGCCAAGTAAGCCATACAAAGGGGCCAAATAAAACACACCAACCTTACAAAAATCACACTCACGTGCTCATCAGGTGTTACTTGACCCGGAATAATAAAACTCAAGCGTAAGCATAGGCATCATGCAAAAAGAGCCATTATTTTAACACCAAGCTATGACTCAAGTGGACCCAAGCCACAAAAAAATTAAACCGGGGCTTACTGAGAAGGTTGTGGCATGGAGGGGAACAAGCAATCACAGGTCCCATTGAGGGTTCGAGGAATGCACGTTTTAAGCCATTTGGGGGCATTAAAACTCAAGCCCATTCTTAGAACCCAAACACATGGGTTAGCATGAGATAGAAGAGAAAATGGGCCAAAGCCTTAGGAAATCATCTAGTAGCCCAGCCCATATCAATAGAATGCCTAAAAAACTAAAGTCACTTCCAGCAGCTTGGTGAAAAGCCCATTAGATGCTGGAGATAACACGCTGATAATCCGACACTATACACACAAGCCCAGCCCAAAGCCTTCTAAAAAGCTGGTGTCGTGCTCCATCCCTGTCAGGACTCCAAACAAGTCAGACAAGGAGCCATGACAAGAACCAGCGGAGATTTATGGGTGAAGGACAAATACCCATCGGACAAAAGGCTCTATTTGTCCCATTTTCCATTACGAGCTTCGTTTCAAAAACCAAAGAGAGAAAGCAGGTGACGCCTTGCCCTCATGGGGAGGTCCAGCCGCGTCAAACCATTGGAACCACAAAGGGTCCCTTACCCATGCATCTCGAACGGAAGAATTTCACCCAAAAGGTTAAGTGGAAGGAAGCAACGAGAAAGGGAGGGAAAGGATTAGATGAAATTAAGGTTCTTCATGCCTATAAAAGAGGGCTTTTGCTACCCAGAGAATCAACCCACTCAGAGGCCTAACCAAGCTTTGTCAAAGCATCTGAGAATTCACTCAAGACACCCAATCTCCTCTTTCGTTTGTTTCCTTCTCCCTCTTAGGATAGGAATCGTTCTAATCATGCTCTGTTCACTTTAGGCTCATGTTCTCTATAAGAAATTCATGTCTCTCTCTCTCTCAAATTGCTAAACTTGTGAAAGCTTAGCTCCCATGCCATAAGCTCCTCAGGCTAAGCCGTTAATCAGTTTATCATGCTTATCTGGTGTTAGTGAGATGAACCTAAGAGTGTTTTTCTAAAGTCTCATCGGATTTTATAAAAACCCTTTTGGGAGCTTGGTTTCGAACTCAGGCTTTTTGGGGAATTTTGTTCGTTGTCTTCTTACGGCAGCCCGAGCCCATTCGTCAGGCTACGGGAACAAAGAGACCCCTACACTAGTGAAACTTTCTTACTAATTAATGTTTTATTTGATAACATTTCAATTTCATATTCATTCAATGACAATTGGAATTACCTAATCCGGATGTATCTACTCATATAGCCCATTTAATTATTTATTTGATTTTTAGCGTTAAAATTTGTAAAATAAGTCAAGTTATAAAAAATAAAAATAAATACAAAAAAGGAGGTTTAGTTTTAAAACACAATATAGTTTAATAATTTGGAAGATATGAATACAATTTCATCTAATTAGCATAAAGCCAAATACCATAATGTAGTACATAATTTTACAAAAATATCATTAAAAAATATCAAAATTACACACAATGCCACTCGTTCTAAAGCAAGCATATTATGCCACATGTCTATATCTAGCCAATCGCCACCGCCGGCCAGCCACCCGCCGCCGGCAACCACAGTCGGAAACCACCGCCGCCGGCCACCCGCCACTGCCAGCCAATAACCGTTGCAGGGGACCAACTCCGTTGTCCTTTATTCATCTTAAAAAAAAAAAGATTTTGTGTCATTGAAGGAACTTGAACCTTGACTCTCAAAGGAGGAAGGCTCACTCACAAACCACTACACCAAACTTGATTTTGTAATATTTATTCAGTTATACAATATTTATATAAACAATCAACCGTTTTTTTCAAATAAAAAAAAATCGTTTCAACACATATTCACACAAAAACTGCAAATAAAAACAGAAATTGCAACAAAAATACAATATATATATATATATATCAATTATGTGGGTAGCCTCTACTCTTCAAATTGGTGAGGTTGAAGGCCAAGGAAAAAGCAAAAATCCAATTTTAATTAAATGAAAACTGCAATGCAATTTCCAAAAGTCCAATTTTGAGTTCCCTTACTCTTGGGTAACTCTTCTCTTGCCCACCCAACCCAATTCCTTATCTGGGTATCTTCTACTCTTCAAATTGTGAGGTTGAAGGCCAAGGAAAAAGCAAAAATCCAATTGTAATTAAATGAAAATTGCAATGCAGTTTCCAAAAGTCCAATTTTGAGTTCCCTTGCTCTTGGGTAGTTCTACTCTTCTCTTGCCCACCCAATTCCTTATCTGGGTATCCTCTACTCTTCAAATTGTGAGGTTGAAGGCAAAGGACTAGCAAAAATCCAATTGCAATTAAATGGAAACTGCAATGCAGTTTCCAAAAGTCCAATTTTGAGTTCCCTTGCTCTTGGGTAGTTCTACTCTTCTCTTGCCCACTCAATTCCTCATATGGGTAGCCTCTACTCTTCAAATTAGTGAGGTTGAAGGCAAAGGAAAGAGCAAAAATCCAATTGTAATTAAATGAAAACTGCAATGCAGTTTCCGAAACTACAATGTAATTTGTGCAAGACTACAATGTAGTTGGTCATGTCAACTCAGTATATAAAGCTCAAATAGATCCTCCACTAGGCACTAAAGTAACTATAAAACTCGAGAGATTGGTTTTCAATTCCACAGTTAAGACAATCTCCTTCACGGTTGCAGTTTCCACCTGCCAAGTGTGCACAGTATGCTTTTTCAGAAGCCTAACTTGGAGAGATGGGACATGCTGTGACAAGTCCTATATCAATGAGAACACATATCATACTACTTCTCAGAGTAGCAATTTCAATAAGAAACATAGACAACTACTTCTCATGATGCTCTGTTTAGATGCTCATGAAAATTAAAAAGAAACAACGAAAGAAAAGAATGAAAAAAATCAAACATATGAATACACAGTGCACTTTTTCCTAAATCCCCAATTCTATGAAAAAAAAATCCATTTAACGAGCTTAACTAGGCAAACCTTTTCACCATTTCTGGAACACTACATAACATAAATCATATGACTCTTTTTTTTTCTTGCATTACTTTTCTGGCTTTCTTGGCAACCAAATATACGACAAGTTCCCAACTTATTAAAGAAATTCACATCATATGACCAAAAAAATTCTCTATAAAAATATATATATGACCACAAATAAACTAAAATTAAAAAAATACCATTGGTAACCCCTCAAAATTCAAAACCCAGAACCCAATATCCAAATTGCAAATCCTAGAGTTATTGGAATCTAATAAGAGATTTTCTATTTAAACCCCACACTTCTCTTAGTTCACCCCATGTTCTAAGTTCACCCCAACTTTTAATTTAAATTTTCACAATTTCTAAGTAAACCCCACTATCTTCCCAAACTACCCTTAAAAGAATAATTGTCCTTAAAAGAATTCCTTCAGGTTTCAAACTGATATAAATTGTTGTTGCTTCCTATTCTTCCTTGAGTTTTGCAGTGCATTGGTTCGTTGTGGCAGCATTCTTATTCGTGCATGTATTAATCTTTTATACTCAAAGTAATTTGTTTTCTGAATCTAAATTGGAAAATTATTTCAAGGGTTAATGATGATTGATGTAGCTCATACATATGATTTATAACTGAATGAAAGATGGTACCTTCTCAAGCTTTCATCAAGGGTTAATGATGATCGAAGTACCTATTCGATGTGGTGTTGCCAAAATGCATGCAAGTGTCCGTCCATACAGCCACAAACCTATCCTTATACTCTTTTAACCAATTGACCTTCATATAATCAAGCGCCTTACTATACTTTCCTTCAAATATCCTATCCATCTCAAGTAGATTTCTTTCATAATCAAGCTCAGTCTTTGCTAAGACCAACATATTCCATAACACTATAAATTGTTCCCATTTTTCACCTTTTTTAAGTATGCCCTTGCAAGCCTTCATCACACACCTATTGATATGCCATCTACATAATAAATGTCGGACACTAGGGAACACATTATGAATGGGATTCATAAGTGCAATTTCCCTATCAGTGACAATCACACCTGGAAGACAATTTGTATTCATGATGCTTTTCAATCTATTCAAAGCCCACATATAGTTGTCTTCCTTTTCAGAAGAAATATAAGCAAGTGCAACTGAGAATGTTAGTTTCATTGATGTTACCCCCACAATTTGTGATAATGGGTATCGAAACCTGTTTGTCTTATATGTACAATCCATTACTAGTACATGAGGAAATGCATGCAATAAGTTTACACCATCAGGGTGAGCCCAAAAAAGATCGCTTACACAATTGGTGTCATCAGTCATATGCCAATGAATATATTTGTGATCAGGTAGTCTACATAGCAATAGTTGCATCTCAGATCTACTAGCTTTCTCAACCCACTCTGCTTTTGTGTCTAGCATTGTAGATTGTCTTCATTGTTGTTACATTTTTGCCATCTCGTCGTTTAATGGTGTATAATATATCTTTTGGCCTCACTAAGCTTTTAGACATATCCATCAGCAAGTTGTTTTCTTCCTTACTTAACCGTCCTGCATATGAATGTCCTTCAAGATACTCAGCAGAATGATGGTTATGAACTCCACATACAACCTCAACTTTACACTCATCTCCAACAGAGAATAAGATCATTACAGCGAAACAATCAACAAGTCTTTCCATCAGCTTCCGCGCAGATTTCAAAGAGGTAGGCTCGTCAATGTTCTACGTCTTTAAAAGAGAAAAGTAATCTGGCATAAGATGTAGAAGAGTTTGTATTTTTTTTTAAACTTAATTTGAAGAGTTGTGGGGTGTGTGGGGTGTGTGTATAGATTTACTAGGGTTAAGTATTAAGTTGGATGACCTTTTTTTATCTTTTTACACAATAATAAAACTTACAGCTTAATGATTTAAGTATTGGAGTGAACTAAGAGAAGTGTGGTTTATATAGAAAAACGGTAAAGTTTGAGCGAGAAAAAATAATAGTATTGGAGTGAACTAAGAGAAGTGTGGTTTATATAGTCATTGAGAGAAGTATGGTTTATATAGAAAAAATCATCTAATAAAGCAAGAAATAAAGAGAGAAAAAAAAAAACAGAAAAGCACATGAAGAATTTCATTGAACCTGAAAGTATGTTTAACGAATTTGATGGCAGCCCAAAATTGGTCCTTGGTCCAATCACCATCTTCTCCAAGCAATTGCAAAGGGCAAGAGCCATTGATGAGCTTTTGAAGTAAGGAAAAGAACCTTTCATCACTTGATTAATCGAACCTAACTTTGTGTGCTGAAGAGAAAAACTTTGCTGCAGCAACCATGGTTGCCTCTGTCCTAGAACTTATTGTAACAAATTTTCCCCTCCTTACATTTTCATCTTTACTAGCTGATGATGAAACAAAGAAGCATGAACTGATCAATGAACTCAATCTTGTTGAGCCACTGCTCTCTTTCTTCTTGTCCTTGACCATCTTGCTTGTCAAATATTCGACTTGCAATATGTATCAGATGAACAGAAGCAGAATTCGATGACTATTAGGAGCTACATCTGGTTGTAATGGTGATGGAAGGCGTTGGGCAGAGCGAAGAGAGGAAGCGAAAGGTCCGACTTTGCAGGAGGGTTTTTTGGTTAGGGTTTTGGGGAAGAAGAAGAAGAAGTTGTTGGTACCGTGATTGATTTGCCATGTCAGCTATTTTGCAAGGGTAGCTCGGGCCTAGTTTAAAGAGTCATTTAAATTTTAAAGATGGGCCAGGCTTTTTAAGAAGAAGGGTAGCATTGTCTTTTAAGCTTTTATTTTTAAGCTGACCCAACGAATATGGGCCTCCTCTTTGGCCTAATCCAAAATAACAATTCTTTCCTAGGTATTAAAACTCAAACAAAAATATCCAATGTCTCAAATACTAATTTGTAAAGTTACTTACGCCTAATACCTAATTTCTCTATAATAAAAAATAGTTTATAGGTAGAAAAATGTTGAAACAATCCAAAAATATATATAGGTCAACCTTTATGGGAAAACTTTTACATAAGTAAGAGCTTGGTCCTGTTAAAATATACTTGGACCCACTGGCCTTCTTGAACAAAAGGGGAAACATCCATACTTGTCCTTTAAAATTTACAAACATGCTGATTATCATGACCTGGACTAACCAAACACTAAGACCAAGCATACACAGGAGAAGGGGAGAAGAGATGTGTGCTGTGACGGAGGAAATGAAATGTGGCTACTGAAAAGGTGAGATTTAGGTTTACAAATTACAAAAGTCTTTTTCCACTTTTAACCCCTCTTTTTAAAAATATTTCAAATCAGTCCACCAAAGTTTCAAAAATCACGTTTAGAACCTTGATTTTATTTTCAAAATTTCAAACTGGTCCCTGCCGTGGCTTGACCGTGTCGGAGCCGTTGACCATGTCCAGTGTGTGTCCGACACTCCAGCAGTTTGGAGTGTTCGTGCAACATAGCTTATAGGATTATATTTATGAATTTCTATAATTAAGATTTTTTATTTATTTATGGATTTTTAAAAAATTTATCATAGCATTTATAAGATTTGAAGGGACCACATAGATTTCTTACGGGATTGACATAAGATTTTTTAAGAAAAAATAGACTCGTAAATATTGTTGACTGGGTGGATGGTCTCCCCGATTAGCCGGGGCACCAAGATTTTCTAGCTGGATTTTTTGTGTGATACTTCAAAAGAAATGAAAGTGTGAATGAAAATGAAAGGAAACTTCAAGAAACTTTGGTAGTTAAATAAGAAGAAAGTGATTTTTGTGTGGATTATTTGACAAATGGATAAGTATTTATAGAATTTTGATCAAATTTTGGGTTGGATTTGATTTAGTATATCTTATTTTTTCATTTTGAGCATTAGATTTAAACTTGGACTGTTTAACTAGTTAAAACATTCAAAAATCAATATATGTGGTTGATTTAAATTGGGGGTGAAAAAAAACCAGATTTAAAGCTGACTGTGGTATCTGAATGGCTAGCTGATCCCAACTGCATGTGGCTCAAGCACATGGTTACTCAACAAGCATGCACAGGAATTTGTCACTTAACTAGGATGCAGGGGTCCATCGCCATCACCTCCTCTTTCATCTTCCCAAAATACCCTACTCAAACAGCCGGCATTCGTGGCCAATTTTGGCTGGAACAGTCCAACAGTCGTGGCCTGCCGTAAACCCAATTTCACGACAACTTTCCGTTATCTTGTCATCGTTCCTTCACGAAAGTTGCTTGTGATCACCTCCTCTATCATCTTCCCACAATTTTATTTATAAGAGATATAAAATTGTAGAGCGTTTTGTAATAAATGTTAAGAGCATCTCCAAGGGAGATGTCAAATACCAAACGTCAAATTTAAATTTGATGGATGATGTGGCAATTTGACATCTTACACAGCTTTACGCTCCACCCGATATGCCAAATTAAATTATTATTTTATTACATTTTAGTGTTGATTCATTTTTAATTAAAAGAATAGAAAAGAAAAAATAATAAAATATTTATTTGACATCTTACTTTTGGGATGTCAAAAATAACATATCAACCTCCAGCCTTCATTCCACATCAACTTTGACACATCGGTTGGAGTGATGTGAGATGTTATTTATAGCTGTTAAATGTCTATGTGGCACGTTTGACACATCGGTTGGAGATGCTCTAAGCTTATCATGTTAGGTTTAATATCATTCATTCATAGTGGATTGATCCAAGGATGTAAAATTTGTGTCAAAACTTATGTCAAAAACATAATGCCACTCATCAAAAGCTAGAATATTTTTAAAGATGCATGAGATTCACCCTTAAATTCGTATTCACTTAGTGGTTTCTTTGAATTATCACATTTTTCTGGGCACTTGATTGTCGGTATGATTTTTATTCTTCATTTTGTCAAGTAAACATTTTTTGTTTGACAATCTTGATAGTAGATTTTAACCATGTTTATTTGAATATGCTGATACTTTCTTATATTCATATAACAAACTAGGTGGCAGGCTTTAATTTTTTGAATTTGATGCAATGGCATCAAAGGAAGATTAGTGTAACAATTAGTAGGGAGTTGCTATATGATTTTGTACAATGAAGTGCTTGTACTACAAGAAAAAAAAAGGACCACAAAAGTGAAAAATAGACGCCCAAGTTGTGTACACAGAATAGGCATAATTGAAAAAAACAAGTTGTGTACATGAAACCACGGTCAAAGGGTATATGGATGAGCTTCAGTTTGAGGACGCAAAGTGAGATTTGACCAAAATTTCCAGGACAAAGTGAGATTTTACCCACACAAAAAAGAAAAAAAAAGAAAAAAAAACGGCAACAGAAGTGAAAAGTAGACACCCAAGTTCTGTACCCGGAATAGGCATAATAATAAAAAACAATAATCGATATTTAATTGTCATTTTATTTGAACAGTCGTGTATTTTGAGGTTTAGGGTATATCTCTCTATAATATTAATGGTAGTAGAAGAAGTGGATAAAATAAGCTTAAAAATTGAAAACTGGATGGATACGGCGTCGTTGGGTTCCGCTTGCTTATTTCCCAAGAAAATTAGACGACAGAAGAACGAGCCGTCGTATAGCGTATTAGCGTGGTCATTGACTCATTGTTGGTGTCACTCTCACGCACCCAGGCTTCTCTTAGACCTTACCGAACAAAAAAAAGGGCTTCTCTGCCAGCAGTGAAAAACCTCGTCAATTTCCTTTGAAAAGTAGGTAAATTTTCTCAATTCGAATAGGATTTGCGCCAATTTTCCTTAATGTTAATTCTATAAATTTTGCTCCTTGTCGTCTTTGGTTCAACCATAAACCAGTTTGCCCTAATTTTCTTGCAAAAGGTATTTGAGCTTCCTACTTGTCCGTTTGTTTCTTCTGCTGGAGCAACAAGCGTGGAGAGCGGCAGTCAAGACTCCATCAACACCTCCTCTGGTACTGGTACCCTCCATCTTGCCTTTTATCTTCTTCAATATATTTTTCTTTTCTAATTCTTCTGAATATGATCTCTCCTCTGCTTTTTGTTTTAGTTTTGTTGTTGACACTAGACATTGTTCTATGTTGAATTTTCTTTTGAATCTTTATGTTTTAATTGTTTTTAGGAATTACATGTTCTAATCATATGACCGATTGCTCGAATTCTGAATGTTGAGTTGTAATGTGTTGCGCAAATTTGATAGATTCCACCTTCGACCTTGACCCAATGTGCACTAACAATGGAACTTCATTGATATTTTTCAACTACTGGTTTACAAAGATTAAGCTTCCAGAAAGAATAGCTTTCCTAATATACAAAGCACCACCGAATAACTAAACTCTGTAACAATATGACTTGACAATTTTGATGTATTGTAATACATAAACACACGCAAATATACATTGCTAATGGAAATCATTGCTGTTTGCAGTTTGTGTAAAACTATTGAAATGGTCGCCGAAGATGGGAAGAGCTTCGTAAAGAGGGACACACTCAAAAAAATAGAAGCAAAGATTCAAAGTTTGTGGAAAGAACATGACGTTTACAGGGCCAAATCTCGGGAAAAGCCTCCTAAGCCAGGGGAGAAGTTCTTTGGAAACTTCCCGTTCCCTTACATGAACGGCTTTTTGCATCTTGGACATGCATTCTCACTCTCAAAGCTAGAGTTTTCTGCACGTTATCATAGACTAAGAGGTGCCAATGTGCTCTTCCCTTTCGGTTTTCACGGAACCGGAATGCCCATCAAAGCCTCAGCTGATAAAATTGCACAAGAGATTCAACAGTTTGGACACCCGCCTATCTTTCCCATCAATGAAGAGGATCCAGTGAACCAAGAAGAAGTTGAAGATGCAAATGCAGGTGCACCTCTAGAAACTAAGTTCAAGGGAAAGAAGTCCAAGGCTGCATCAAAATCAAGCGGACAAGCGTACCAGTGGGAAATCATGCGTAGTCTTGGCCTTTCCGACAGTGAGATATTCAAATTCTGCGAACCATCTGAGTGGTTGAGCTTCTTCCCTCCATTGGCAATGGAAGACCTCAAGGCTTTTGGCTTGGCATGTGATTGGAGCCGTTCCTTTATTACTACAGATAGGAACCCGTATTTTGATAAGTTTGTGAGGTGGCTGATGCGGAAGTTGAAAGACGAGGATAAGATTGTCAAAGCGAAACGCTACACCATCTACTCTCCAATGGACGGGCAGCCATGTGCAGATCATGATAGGGCAATTGGCGAAGGAGTTCAGCCCCAAGAATATACTATCATCAAAATGGAGGTGGCGATACCTTTTCCTTCTAAGTTGGGAGTGTTGGAGGGGAGAAAAGTGTTCCTTGCTGCAGCAACATTGAGACCTGAGACCATGTATGGGCAAACAAATGCGTGGGTATTGCCCAACGGGAGGTATGGAGCCTTTGAAGTCAATGAAACAGATGTATTTATTCTTACGCAGAGGGCAGCGCGTAATCTTGCTTATCAGGGGTTCTCTAGGATACCTGAGAAACCTTCTTGCTTGATTGAACTAACTGGTTACGATTTGATTGGCCTTCCATTGAAGTCACCGCTTGCACGCCATCAGATTATTTATGCCCTTCCTATGTTAACCATCGTAGCAGACAAAGGGACTGGGATTGTGACTAGTGTACCTGGGGATGCTCCTGATGATTATATGGCCCTGCATGATTTAAAATCAAAACCAGCTTTTAGAAACAAATATGGTGTGAAGGATGAATGGGTTATGCCCTTTGAGATTGTGCCGATCATCAATGTTCCAGAATTTGGAGATAAGGCTGCGGAGAAGGTTTGTGGGGATCTCAAGATTAAAAGCCTGAATGAGAAAGAGAAGCTAGCAGAAGCCAAGAGGTTGACATACTTGAAAGGGTTTACAGAAGGAACACTGCTGGTGGGGGAATTTGCAGGAAGGAGAGTCCAGGAGGCAAAATCGTGGATAAGGAGCAAACTAATGGAGGAAGGAAATGCAATCATGTATAGTGAACCGGAGAAGCACGTAGTGTCACGGTCAGGGGATGAATGTGTTGTGGCTCAAACAGAGCAATGGTACATCTCTTATGGTGAACCTGAATGGAAAAAATTGGCTGAGGAATGCTTGTCGAGCATGAACTTGTACTCTGAAGTGACACGACATGGATTTGAACACACGTTAAGTTGGTTGAATCAGTGGGCTTGTTCACGATCGTTTGGGCTTGGAACACGTATTCCCTGGGATGAAAAATACTTGGTCGAGTCGTTGTCTGATTCAACCCTTTACATGGCTTATTACACCGTTGCTCACTTTTTACACGATGGAGACATGTATGGGGATTCCAACACATCTGGGGTTATACCTGAACAAATGACTGATGAGGTATGGGATTTTATCTTTTGTGATGGGCCCTTTCCAAAATCATCTGACATATCATCATCAATTCTGAATAAGATGAAGAAGGAGTTCGAATATTGGTATCCATTTGATCTTCGAGTGTCTGGTAAGGATCTCATCCAGAATCATTTAACATTTTGTATTTACAACCACACGGCAATTATGCCCAGGAAGCATTGGCCTCGTGGGTTTAGATGTAATGGGCACCTGATGCTCAATTCTAAGAAGATGTCCAAGTCCACAGGGAATTTTTTGACATTGCGGCAGGCAATAGATGAATATTCTGCTGATGCCACACGAATCGCTTTGGCCGATGCCGGTGATGGTGTTGATGATGCAAATTTTGTATTTGACACTGCAAATACTGCCATTGGACGACTCACTAAAGAGATTGCATGGATGGAGGAGAATTTGAGTGCAAACTCTTTGAGAAGAGGTTCTCCTTCTACTTTTGCGGACCATGTATTTTTGAATGAAATAAATATCGCTGTGAGAAGGACTGAGCAGAACTATGAGTCTTGCATGTTCCGAGAAGCCCTTATCACTGGATTTTATGGTCTTCAAGCTGCCAGGGATTGGTATCAGCATTCATGCGGTGGTGCTCAGGACATGAATCGAGATTTGGTGTGGCGTTATATGGATGTAGAGACACGCATGGTTGCTCCAATCTGTCCACACTACGCTGAATATGTGTGGAGGGAGGTTTTGAAGAAGGATGGATTTGTAGTAAACGCAGGCTGGCCTGCAGCTGATGCTCCAGATCTAATCCTCCAAAGTGCCAATAACTATTTGAAAAAGTCGATTGATGTAATGAGGAAGAAGCTTAGAAAGCACCAGCCAAATTCTAAGAAAGCCGGTAATAATGGTTCTCCAATTTCATCTTCAGTAGAAGGGAAGAAGCTAATATGCCTGATATATGTGAAGGAGCAATTTGATGAGTGGAAGGCAGATTGCTTGAGGATACTCCAGAATAACTTCAACATAGAGACTCGTACTTTTGCTCCGGACAGGGTGATATTGGAGGCACTGCAGAGTATTTCTCTTGGACAGGCTAAAGATTTTAGACAAGTCCAAAATCTTTGCATGCCTTTCGTGAAGTCGAAGAAGAATGAGGCAGTTCAACTTGGGGCTCAGGCCTTAGATTTGAAATTACCATTTGGAGAGATTGAGGTATTTAAACAGAACTTAGACTTGATTAAGAGACAACTGGATCTTGAAGAGGTAGAAGTTTTGTCTGCTGCCAACCCTAATGATCGTGCAAAAGTTGGTCCTCATGTTAAACAGATAGAGCAAAATCCTCCATTCCCTGGAAGCCCAACTACCATCTTCTTGACCCGGTAATTGCAATCCTTTTGGTACTTATCTGCAATTTGTATTAGATTATTTTACCGACTTAACATATATGGGTCTTTTCCTCTTGGATCTTGCTCTAAGATTGTACTTCTATTTCTTGAGGGGCTGGTTTGGTATTGCGGTGTGGCCAAAATAAGCTGTTTCTGTAGAAAATTTTAATGATTTAGGTGTTTGGTCAAGCAACCGAAAACTGCTTCTTCTTTTTTTATTGGTCAAAACTAGAGGCAGCTGCTTCTGAAAACAGCTGCGAATGTGGCCGTATTTTCCTCATTTGTTTTAAAAAATGACGTGAGTTACCCTCAACATTTTTACAATCAGAACTGAAACCCACTCCATGCCCAACTTGGTCCTCTCTGGCTCTCTCTTACTAATCTCCATTGTTAATGTTAATCTCTCCATTCTCTCACCAAATATTTTCAACATTTCTTACTCCCTCATCCGTATGACCCAGGAAATTTGTTTTTGGGTTTGGAACCACAGAGATAGACTCAAACTTTCTTGGTGTTTTTCAGGCTTTCTAGTTTGGATTGTCCTCCTATTTCCTTTTCTCTATTTTATTTATGGATCTGAATGTTTTTCTTTCTGATTTTAATTTTGCTTATTTTTTAAATTCCTCTCACTGCAGCTAAGAATCAACTACCCCACGACCACTGACTGCTCCACATTTTGGTGAGAATTCTTTTTATTTTTTATTTTATTTGAGTTTTATTGTATTTCGGTGTTTGGGCTTGAATCCATCTCGTTCTTGGCAGAAAGTTAGGTTGTTTAAACCAACTAAATGAAAGTTTCAATTCAGTAGCTGTTTCATATTGATTACTGTTTAGTTTAAGGTTCAGATTTGGAGTTGTGTGTAAAACTCATTCTTTTCTGCATTTTCTATCTTGTATCATTTTAAGGATTTTGTTTGGTATTTTCATGTTTTGGGGCTAATCCTTATTCTTGGTTTTGGAGACCTAACAAATGTGACAAATAGATTAGGAAACCGTGATTAATTTAAGGGTGGTGTGCAAAACCAAGTTCTTCATTGGAATTTAAGGAAATGACATCTTAATTATCTGTATATCCCTTTTACAAACCATATGGTATTTGGTTCATGTTTATTTATTATATACACTGAATAGCATCAAGTAGTTGTTTGGTTAGAAGTCTGGTTTCTTTCCCCCAAAAATAAATCGTACAATTTGTAGATGACACAAACAGGGAAACACATCTTGAAGTTTTGTTTTCTGGAGCTGAGTGTGGCTTCCTTATTGTCTTGAATGAAGCTTGAATTTCTTCATTTAATTATAATGATTGGATCTTTGAGTAAGGTTTCTGTTTTCCTAGTATTAATTAGTTATTCTTTATGCTTTTTGTAATTGCTATAGTAGTAATGGTTATTTTTATAGTACCTGGGTTGGCAAATTAGAAACAGAACTTGTTCTGGGGCACCAGTTCCTTCATGATCAAAACTCTCTATCTGTATCAAACGGTCTCCAACTTTCCTTCGTTAAGTTGGTCTTAGGCCGCACTAGTGGTAAATTTGCATTGGGATTGGCTGCTTCTTGCGATCTGTACTTTATATATTCTCCAATTTGTCTGCAATGTTCTTTGCTTTTATTGATTTCTGGCCTACTGTAATAATATGAGAGACTGAATCCAAGCGAGTGAATGAACGAGTCTGGGGTTTGTAAAGAGCATAGGACTATAAAAAACACTACCCGGAATAGGAGTCTTCTACAACTTTTGGTGTTTGATCTTATCATTTCTAATTGGAAATTTATGCCTCTCCATGATCAAAGCTTAGCTGTCTTTGTATCAAAACATATGTGGTTGGTTCTGCATTATCATTTGAGGTGCTTTTACAACACATGCATGAGTTGTGCATTGTTTAGAATTGGACTGTCTATAGCAAGCTTACCCTTTATTATTATTTTTAACGAAAAAACAAAGAAGATAAGAAGGGCAAGCTTACGCTTCATGCATAATTATGACCAATACTGCTCTCTGTATGTAGGCATGTTCGACATGAGTGTCATTTTGATGATGGAGTGACGACTCAAATGGCATTCTAAGTACAGACAGACAGACATGGAGACGTGCACAAGAAGAATACATATCATGCATGCTCCTGGGGCAGAGAAATGAAAGACACTGAGAAATAGAATTGTTTATTTGAAGGATTAGAAATGCAGTGTTCTTTCTTTTTCTTTTTTGTTAATTTTTTGTCGTAGCATTCAAATTTCTCATAGCATTCAAATTTCTTCATTAAATTCAATTCATTTATTGGTGTTTGGGAGGAAGTAAGAGAGAATTGAATCCTGTTTGCTCATTGCTCAAACAATTTCTAATTAGAAAGATGTGCTATGTATTGATCCTAATCTTTTTGGGAAATGACCTCCAATGCCACCCATTTGCTAATTTTAACTAAAAATACCACCCCTTCCCAATTTTTTTACAACTAACACCTTTAAATATAAAATTATTGTCCACTTATTGTACCCATATCAGTTTTTCAGAAATTGGCTTCTCTCTCTCACTCTCTTCGCTCTATCTCTTCGGCCCGTCTCTCTCCCTGGTGTACCTCTCTCTCTTCGACGCAATGCTCTTTCTCCGTCAACAGTGGCTGTTCATCCAAGCGTAACTCCATCGTTGACATCCACGAGGTACTGTTCATAACCCTTTTCTTTGAAATTTGGGGTTTTTGTGAATTTGGTTTATGGTGTATGGATTTGTAAGAAATTGGTTTAGGGTTTTAGTGTTTAGGGGTTGCTCAGAAATTGGGTTTGGGTTTATGGGTTTCTATGAACTGGGTAATAACTCACACCCACTCTCACTTTGTAAGGAACTAGGTGGTACAGAAGTATTTTCCATAATTAGCACACTAAGTTTGTTGGGTTCAGATGTTTAATTAGTAAACATAACCAAAGAGAGAAAAGAAAAAAAAAGTTGGAAAATAAATTGAAGGATAGATTTTGAAGGGCTAAGTCAGTTTGGTGCAATTGAAAATGTCATCATAGTTTTGCTAGCAAAATCTGGTTTTCATTCCCCCAAAAGCTAAGTTTTAAGCCTTCTTGGAAGAAGTGAAGCAGAGAAAGAAGGGGAGAAATAGATTCATCTATTGAGTGTTGTTTCTGCAACTTGGGTTTTGTTGATGGTTCTAATGGCAAAGCTAGTTTGCCATTCACATCTTCTTCTGCTCATCATAGTTTTCCTCTCTCTCCATCCTTCAAGCCAGCTACAACAACACACTCAGTCACAAACCCTTCTGAAGATCCAGCAGCTTCTCAACTACCCATCAGCCTTAACCAGCTTCAGCCATAGAAGCAACATCAGAGACTTCTGCAAAATTGAACCAACTCCATCTTTGACTCTATCCTGTTATGAAGGCAACATAACCCAGCTGCACATTATTGGCAACAATGGGTTTCCTCCACTGCCTCGTGATTTCTCAGCAGACTATTTCTTTGCCACTCTTGTTGGCTTACCAAGCTTGAAAGTGCTTTCACTGGTTTCTCTTGGTTTATGGGGGCCAATGCCTGCAAGTATTGGGCATTTGTCTTCACTGGAGATTCTCAATGTAAGCACAAATTACTTAAGTGGTACAGTTCCTCTCCAACTTTCATATCTGAGGAACCTTCAGACTCTCATACTTGACCATAACAAGTTCACTGGTCAAGTTCCAGGTTGGCTGAGTTCACTTCCAGTCTTGGCTGTTCTCAGTCTGAAAAACAATATGCTTAATGGCTCTTTGCCATATTCTTTGGCATCTTTACAAACTCTCAGAGTTCTCTGCCTATCAAGTAACTTCTTGTCAGGGGAAGTGCCTGATCTCAGAAACTTGACAAACTTGCAAGTTCTTGATTTGGAAGACAACTATTTTGGGCCTCATTTTCCAAGTATGCCTTCCAAGTTGGTCACACTTGTGCTAAGAAAGAACAAGTTTTGCTTGGGAATCCAGACTGCTTTAGGCTCCTGCTATCAGCTCCAGAAGCTGGACATTTCATTGAATGGATTTGTAGGGCCATTTTTGTTATCATGGTTGTCACTGCCTTCCATTAAATATCTTGACATTGCTGGAAATAAACTCACTGGACTTCTCTATAAGAACATGACTTGCAATTCTGAGCTTGCTTTTGTCAATTTATCCTCAAATCTTTTGTCAGGGGATTTGCCCACTTGTCTGAAAAGGGATTCTAACAGCAGGGTTGTTCTGTATTCTGGGAATTGTTCAGTAAATGAAGATCAGAAGCAGCACCCTTCTTACTTGTGCCACAATGAAGCTCTGGCTGTGCGAATACCACCTCCTAGTGAGGAAAAGCATAGGAGAACTTATGGTAAACACGTTGTTGCATCAAGTGCAGTGGGAGGTATTGTGGGTGCAATTGCAGTTGTTGGTTTAGCTTTCATGGCTGCTAAGAAGTTTTATAGTGAGCACACTACTAAAACTCCCCAAACAAGGTAATTTCAGATACAGTCTCAGCAGTGAACACAGCTAAGCTACTCTCTGATGCAAGTAAGTTTAAATTTTCTAACTTTTCTTATTTTATTTTATTTATAAATATTTTTATAGTTGTTCCTTTTGGTACCAACTTTTTGTTGCTTCTGTTTAATGTACGAGGATCAAGGCTGATTTTGCGAAGAAAATAAATGAAAAAGGGAACTTGCTGTATAGATTAGCAACCATTTCCATGTGATCTTTTTATTTTATTTGAGTAGCATGAAGGTTATGATTTCCATAGAAGTCCAAGAACTAGACTGATGTATGTTTCCAGAAAATTCCAGGAAGAACTACTAATTATAGAAAATAGTTTCCAAAAACTATATTGCTACCCCAAAAAGACATATTAGTTTATTTTGGAGTCTTTAGGTTCGAACTAAGATGGAGAGAATTATATTTTATTGTACCACCAATTCCTTATAGTTTTCCTTGGATATTCTGATATTCAGAAATATGGAGAATATGGTAAATCTTGTTCAGGTCCATGCTTTTCAGTTTCAAATGAAGCATTTTTCACATGCTAATTTAGCGTGTTACAAGAATCTTTCATTTTTGCTATAATGATAAACTCGACAATTCTGGCTTATACATCCAGGAAAGCAATTTTTCTTGCTCAAATTGACTGCTCAAAATTTTATTCTTATTAAAACCCCAGGCACTACTTCATTCAAATTGGCAGTAGGTAAATAAATTAGCATCACTATTCCTTTTATAATAAGTCATAACACTAGAATCCTTTCTTTGCAGAATATATATCAGACACAATGAAGCTGGGAGCTAGCCTTCCTGCTTATAGAACTTTTGCTTTGGAGGAGCTTCAGGAAGCCACCCATAACTTTGATGATTCAACATTACTAGGTGAAGGTTCACATGGACAGGTATTCATTCTTTATAGTTGCAAAACAATTCTAACCAATTCAGTACATCGTAATAGTAATACGATGTTCTCTCTTAATTTGCACCTGCTTTCACATTTTATGTTTCTTGCTTATATAATTCCATCCATTTGGATATGCAAAAGATCCTTTGTGAATTGAAGAACCTCAGATAAGAGACAATATATATTATGTAGATGTTGAATTTAAATACAATTTAGGACAAGATACATTTCAACAAGCTTTATCTAACTACTCGGGAGTAAATAATATACAGGTCGGACTAAATTACGATGGCTCACCGATGCATGGTGGGTTCTCCTGTGTGTCTAGGTTCTTGATTTTCATCTAGTCTCCAGTTCTTGGTACACAATTGAAGAACTACATAGTTGAAGCAACTTAAATACACACACTGACATATGTATGTGTGTATGAATGTGTATATAGATTTAGTTATCTCGATTTAATTTAGAGTTCATACTCCTCAAAAGCATGATGTAAATAGATTTAGGAATTACTTTGTAGAACTTCTGATATGCTTAAAACGTGAGACTTCTCCACCTTAAACAAGCTTCTGTTGAGTAAAGATTCCCTTTAAAACTCCAAGGTGGCCTCACATTTAATGAAAAAAGAGTAGAAATTGAAAGAGAACAAAAGACTAATTTTCAAAAGAGGTTGCAGGAGCACATCTAGTCCTTTCAAGCAGCCTTTTTCAAGGTATGCTTCCAATTTAGGCGCGTCGGACACACTAACCTTATTATATCCATGTCATAACAAATAAGGTTACTTATGTATTTCCTGGTGTCCTTGAAACATATATTAAGATATGCTACTCCTGTTAAGTTATAATATATCAGCCTTTCAAATCGACCAAATTATTAAAAAAAAATCCTTTGAGTTTTGTTTAATTTGAATCAAACTTTCAACGATTGGATCGGATCCAAATCTGAAATGGTAATGGGAATTTTTCAAGGGGTTGTGAAACTCTGCTCGTTCTGAGAAGATACTCATTGATGTTATACCATCAGATAGATCTTATGCATATTGCAATGGTTCGCGGAAAGTCTACTATAAATGTTAAAGTGGTCCAATACTTATCATTTGAATTTGTACAAGAATTTGGAATCTGTTTGTTCTAGTAAATTGTCCTATGCACTATTGACTAATTTACTTTGTTCAAGAAATCTTGAGAGTTTTCAGCAAGCAATTTTCTCACTCTTACTGCTTCAAAATAAAATAACAATGCCAGATATATAGAGGGAAGCTCCCTGATGGAACCTTTGTTGCTATAAGAGGCTTGAAAATGAGAAAGAGGCAGAGTCCACAGGTCTACACACACCTCCTTGAGCAGATTTCAAAACTGAGACATAGCCATTTGGTTAGTGCTCTTGGACATTGCTTGGAGTGCCATCCAGATGATTCAGGCGTCAGTAGAGTATTTCTTATACATGCCATACAGGTTGCAATGGAGAGTAAAACCCCACTCACTACTTTCTTCTTCTTCTTCTTTTTCTTTGATTGATTTCCTCCCTCACTGTCTTAGCATTTTCAGCAATTAAATATTCATTGCTAACACTTGGTTTGGCAGAAGGACCTCCAGGACGGAAGCTTACCTGGCCGCAGAGAATAATAGCTGCAATTGGAGTTGCAAAGGGTATTCAGTTTCTGCATACAGGGATTGTTCCTGGTGTTAAATCAAATAATCTGAGGATAAAAATGTCTTATTGGATCACGATCTTCATGTAAAAATAAGCAGCTATAACCTACCTCTTTTGGTTGAAAGCAGGGGAACGGTAAGACATAAAAAATATGTATCTGTTTGGGTGAATGCATCACCCTTGAGATTGTCCTGACTTAACTTTTGCTTTTTAATCCTTCAGATGGGCACCACAGTTCCTTCTCTGGCACCAAAAGGAAGCGTTCAAGCGAGGTACTAACATGCTTACTTTCCCAAAATCATACACTACTTTTCTAAACTGAATTCCCTTTTCATATTTATACACAAATGAACAAGACAAATAATTTCTCTGCCAAAAAATAAAAAAACAATTGTAAAAGAGAAGGTAGAATCCGTAGGTGACCTGAAAATCATCAATGTGGAGACATAGAAGTTCCTTTCTTGGGAGGTTTGGCTTATGGAGAGGAAGCTGCTCTAGTTAGTTATACTTGTTTCCTTTGTAATTTGCTTTGAGGCCAGAAAATTTTTAAAAAAGATAAAAATGTAATCTGTTTTGGATATTTACACCATGAGATTGGGGGAAGGGAAAGAGGTCAAATAGGGATTCCTTTACACCATGAGTTTGCATTCTTGAACATTGTAATGGAGCCAATCTGCTTGTATGCATATCTGATGCTTTCTGCTGAGGTTCCCATTTATGTCATGCCTCTTTTTTGCTTTTTTTCTTTGGCTTGTCATATCTGTGTGCCAGATAGCTGCATTTGGCACTATGAACTGACTTGGTGGCAGTTACAAATTAACATAGGTCTTAATTCTGGAACTGCCATTCATAAACTCTATCTCTGTACTTAACCCAGTTGTTTTTGCAGGTCGGTCTCAACCAAGTGTTGATTGCAATATTCTAAAGAAGATGACCATACATTGTTATTTTATGGAGGTGTACGTATGAGATGGCTTAGCTTTAATTGGTTTGGTTGTTCCAAGTTTTATGTACACAATCTCACAGTAACTGCCGAGTTGTTTTTCATTTCATGTATTTCTCCGTGGTTTTTTTCCCCCAATAAGCTTGAATGGATTTTCTTTTCTGTTGTATTTGGCCCTTCTCTTTTCAAGCATGCCAAAAGAGAGCGAATAGGGGGAGAAAGAGACAGAACGAAGCTAGAGAGAGACATAGAGAGAAAGAGTTGCTCTACAGAAAGAGAGCAAAGAGAGAGACAGAGAGTTGCACTAGAGAGAGAGAGAGAGAGAGAGAGAGCCAAGAGAGACAGAGAGCTGCAATAGACAGATACCAAAGAGAAAGAGAGATGTGCCAGAGAGAGAGCTGAGTGAGCTAAGAGAGAACAAAATTTCTGAACATGTCAAAAATCAGCAATAAGTGGACAATAATTATATTTTTATAGGTGATATTGTAATACTATTGCTATTGTATTGTGGTTATATTGCTCTAATATTGCCTCTATAGTGTACATATATTGGCCTAATATTGCTATTATATCGTATGTTAATGGCCATTTGGTCTAATAACAGAGTCTCCACTTCATTGAAAGTAATCCTGAATTCAAATCTCATGGACACAACAATTGTTATTCATCCTTATATTAGCATGAATTGATGTTGACCTTTGAAATGATAGTTGGAGTTGCACAAAATCTGAAGAATATAACCATGAAATGGTTGAATGTTTCAACAACGGCTTCAAAATGTTCCGAGATTATGCTTCGGTCATCTCACCATACTACAATTGGAGTGAAATTGATGTAGCTGGTGTCTGGGAGGTGCTGAATATGGGTGGAATGGCTCATCATAGCCTCGTGCATGCAGCGAGGAGAAAGGACAAAGACATGGATCTTTTGATGGACTTGTAGTAAGGGTGAGTGATGCTTCATTTCATCTCACCTGAGTACAAGGATCTTTTGTTGCCTTCGTTTTCCCTTCGCGGGATAATATTGTTAAAGTTCGGTGGCGATTCCTTTTGCATGTGTAAAATGTAGTCTGTAATGGATGTGTGTGTATTGTATGTAGATTCACTTAATATTGTTGTTCTATTGTATTTATATTGCCTAATATTGCCTTTGTATTGCATAGATAGTGTATTCATATTGCCACCCTATTGGATGTATATTGTAATACTATTGCTATCGTATTGTCCTTATATTGCTCTAATATTGCCTCTGTAGTGCACGTATATTGGCCTAATATTGCTATTATATCGTACGTCAATGGCATTTGGTCTAATAACAGTCTCCACTTCGTTGAAAGTAATCCTTAATTCAAATATCACGGACACAACAATTGTTATCCATCCTTATATTACCATGAATTGATGGTGACCTTTCAAATACATCGATTCATATTCAAAAGGAAAGTAATTCTCTCCCTCAATGAATCGTCGTTCAAAAGAAGGCAGTTATCAAATATTGGGTACAAAAATGCAAGATCCCCGGTAAATTAATTGGGCACAAACCACATATTACAAAACCAGTATGATTTTTGGCATGCTTGAAAAGAGAAGGGCCAAAGTTCGATAAAATATTTTGGGATGGTTGAAGATTCTTGGACACCTTTTTTCTTTTCAAGTAGTTTTGTAGAAACAAGTTCTACACATGGGCTTTTATCGGTTATATTTTAAGGCAAGTTCTACACGCGAGCTTGTATCGATTATATTTTGTTATGAAAAAAGTAAAATTACTCTCTGCAATTGTAAGATGGTGCAAGATCGGTGTCCTTGTCATAAATTTGACAACATTAAATTGGAAAATATGACCTTTTTCATGGCTGTGATAAATTGCAACTAATTTTGATATTGTAGTACACAACAGGGTTACCTACTTGTGAAAGAGTGGAAATATCCCTATATATCTGAATTTCACCCTCACGCTATAGAATTTTTTTTTATGTGGTTTATTGGCAACAATTCAAATAAGATTTTCCATTGTGGAAGACAAGTTTTCTGATTGTATAGGGAAGCATTGCACAAGTTCTCTTTCATTGTTTTTTGTGTAGATAAAGCCTGGCTTGTACTTGATGAAGTGCGAGAAATGATGCAAAAATTTGCACAAAGCAACCGATGAATGTAATTCAAACCAGCACCTTTGTTGTATACTACCAAACATCAAATGCAAATTAACATCTATCTCATGGTTTGGCTACAAATGCCACCAAGCCCATGCTCAACTTATAAGTTTGTAACCCTAATTTCATCGATTGAATCTTCACCTACATTCATAACACTTTTTACCATACATAACTAGCACTGTTTTACAAACAAGCCTAAAACCTTCATCCTGAAGCCTGATAACTGGCGGCAGATGCAAGATCCATAGGATCAAGGAACACAACTACAGCTACAAGCATACAACAAAGCCCGGTAACTCAACTACAGCTACAAGCATACAACAAAGCCCTCAGGGGGGAAGTTCCAGCAGTCCACAGCATGACAGACAACGTACTCGTTTACAAAGACAATAACCAAGACAAGATGATAACCCAGGGCATCGGATAGCATCATACAACCCTAAACCCCCTCTATAAAAAACATACATCAAAACCTAAGTTTTCTCTTACTCATCAAGATCCTAGAACCCTGACACAACTGGCAACCTGAAACATAACTTCTAATAAATCATTACCACTAAAAGGCCTTGATGTTTCTAATCTAATGTTCTAAAACTGATCTCCCGAGGTATTTAGGAATTATTTGGATTCGACACCCACACCAAATTTCCATACTTGCTAGCAACATAATGCATTCATCCCTCTAATACTTTTTCCCCATTGTTAATTGTGAATCAACAGCTGAGAAGTAACAAGAAGATAAACAATTATACATATGTTCATTTGCTAACAATGAAACAAGTAAATAACATACTCCAATGCAGTAGCACCTATTTAGATGACAGAAGAAACTCCAATGCAGTACATATGTGAAAAACACAGCTCTTCTGCAGGGCAGTAAGAAACAAATCTTTTTTTTTCCTAGCAGTGATGAAAAGTAAATACAGTTAAGTTAAGACAAAGAAACAAAAATGGTAAAAGTGCAATAAATCAACCCAATGAGACAAACCAGATACAACTCTTTCTCACCAAATTCCACAATGATTTTCAGTTATTGAAATAGAGAGAGAACTGACAACACATTTTAAAGACAAGCAATTTATCAATGCCATTGCGAAACATTGTAACATTAGACTCAGCAAATTGTTTTGATAGGAAACATTAGATCTGAATCATAATTCCAAAATCATTAAATTCTACACTTTCAAGAGAAACCCTACTCAAGTATCTCAAATTCCAAAACCAAAAACTGCCCGTATCCTCTGGAAAATAAGATCCCGCCATCCTCTCTGTGCATTCTCCACCACAGTCACATTCCCATATCTGCATTACCAAAGGCACCAAAACAAAGCAATCAGCATTTCATAGAAGAAAAGAAAACAATATAACTCACATACTCCCAATCAATCAAACTAAAACTGAAAATAACCCATTAATTAAAAGTTCAAATCAAAACCAACCTGTCTTCCTCAGGAATATCTGAATGTGTTAGCTTGACAAAGTGAGCCCGGGTTTAGGCTCTTCAAGTATAAGCCTCACCTGGAAAAATTCAAACAAAACACACTCAACCCACAAATCACAAAACCATTTAAAACCAACCAAGAATTCATTCCAACCAGAAAGAAAAACACTTGACATACCGTTGAATCAATGCCATCAGGCCAACTCCCAAATCTCCAATTCTGCACAATCAAACTCCCATTCTGCAACTCCAAATTGGTACCCGTCACCGACCCATCGAAAATGCTAATCTGCCCATTATCTTGGCATTGCTCTGACTAAAAACCTTCCATCTATTCTCATCCATCAAAATCTCAAACAAATCTTTCGCTCTGCAACTAAACTTCTCAGTCATACTAATCGTCTTGAACCCTTCACAGCGCTGAGGGATCACTATATCCCTTCTCAAAGGTCTACCAGTGTCATCTTTCCGCTCAGGTTCTTCACTACACTGTCCATACTCATTTCCACCTGCACCAAACAACTTTGGTACGCTTAGAATGATAAAAAAGGTAACCTCTGGGGTCTAGTTCAACACTCTCAAGAGAACCAAATAAAAGCCCTACATGGAAGCAGAAGAAATAAAATATCCTAGATGTTGTTATATACATGAATTAAAAAGCAACCATCTTTTGGTATCCGGCTTAAAAGCAACCAAATTTTATATTAAGAAGCATTTACTTGAAAACTATCACAGCTCCTACTTCAAAACTCTTAAAAACCTAACAATATATTTTCTATGGCCTCACAACCTGCATCACATTACCTGCCAAAAGGACTGCAGTAAACAATAAGATCATGTTATCATCTAAAGCGAATCATAAGAGGTCTGAAGTTTCACACAAATAATATCATAGACTCATAGGGCACCATTCAGTACCATTTAGAGCTGACAAAAACACAGTTTAGGAAGATCCATCAAATATACTATAGATGATAAAATTGTGGTGTTAAATACAAGAAAATTATCCAAAACCAATAAAAAACAATAAAAGAGCATTAATAAACAAAGCTAACAATGAGCATTGCAGAAGAAAAACTACATTATAAAGTTCATTTAATCCATAGGATTGGGAATTTAAAAAGTATTTTTGTTCAACCTCGCGACTCCATAAAACACAGATAGGTTTATAAGAGAATTTCTCAAACTCTTGAGCTTTCAAACAAATAAAATTAAAAAAACTACAGTACTTTGAAGAAGGAAAAGACAGAAAAGGGAAGGAAAACAGAAATTTCATTTGACAGTTTTAAGATTCTGCTCTTTGTAGTAACCATCAGCTCCTTTTAAACTTCAGAAGAATCACCAGACCAGTACAAAAACACTGATGCACCTATTTGGGATCTGCACATTTAATAAAAAATTGTGAAAACTAATTTCAAAAGAGAGGTTTAAAACCCAAAATCCCTTTAAAATGAATACAAGTTAAGACTTCAAAGTCGAAAGGCGAACTGGTCTCGGCAGTTAATTTCTAAATGCAAGAATGATATCAACTTGCTGCAAAAACATTAGATAATTCAAAATGCTTAAATTCAAGAACTTTGACAAGAAAGTATCCATCTTAAGGAGCTGTACAAAATAAAGAAGCAATAATATTGAAAAAGATCCTAACAATTGTAAAAGAATTGCTCAAAAGAACGCACACACCCTTGATCAATTGAAAAGTCACTTATTCAGTTCTTGAAAATCAATCTAAATACCCAGCAAGCCAAAGTTTCTATCATCTAAAACCAAAAGTCAATGTGTTTTCACACAACAAATTATACCCCAGGCCTTTCCTCGCAATGGAATCACCCCTGCATTGACTATAAATGGCATCTAAAACTTGAAAACCCTAATAGCCTTCAGTAACCTAGTAAATCAAAATGAATAGGATTCAAGCAATGATGTTCTATTTCCTATTAGCCTATACAATTAAATCTTCTACACTCGTTCAATTAAACTTACTAAAGTACAAATAGTATTTGACTACCAAAACAAAAATAGTATAAGAGTGACTTTGTGATCAGTTGTGGTGTGAGCGTGAGAATAACTCAAATTATCAAGTAAAAGAGTGATTTTGTTATACCTCAGGGGTACCTAATGCCCCAAGTAAGGAGCGCCACCAGATTGCCCAACACCATGCTGCCCTCTTCCTGAACCACCTTGCCCTATCTGCGGGTTCGGGTAGCCACCTTGCATTGCACCTTGATTTCCATAGCTTCCCATCATTCCAGGGCTTATACTTGCCTGATTCGCATACCCACCCTGTATGGCATGTCCTGCACCAGGAACACCCGGGGAGCCGTTCCAAAAGTTCCCAAAAGGTTTGTCAGCCCCAAAAGGTTTGTCACATTCGGAACCCACTCCTTCTCCTCGTTGTTCCCGATTCCCAATTGTCCATCTTCACCCGAGCCCCTGTGTGTAGTAAGACAAATACAATGAAACGTGTTTTACACTCTGTGTGTGTCTCTCTGTGCTTCACCAACCAACCATAATAGCACAATACCACAATAGCATAGTGAAAAATATGAGAGAGAGCAGATAGATACCAAGTGACAATGGCAGCATCGGATGCCATTTGAACCTGAAACAGTGCTTGAATTGAAGCAGGGAGACGTTTATAAACTAATAAAACTATAAACTAGAAACAAACCATAAAGCTAGCAGAGAGAGAGAGAGAGAGCGTAGCACTGTGACTGTGTTTATCAATATATCATGGGAAATAGCTTAAAATGCCACCAATTTCTTAATTTTAACTAAAAATATCAATCTCAAAACCATATAAGATGACCCAAAATAAAAACCCATCACCCAATCCTTACTTAAAATCACAATCACAATAAAGAAAAATAAATTAGGGAAATCTGAAGCCCATATCAGATATCTCATCAATTCCAAACCCTAGACTCTAGAGAAACCCCTAAACTAATTTCATACAAACCCATAAACCCTAAACCAATTTCAGAGCAACCTCTAAACCCTAAAACCATAAACCAATTTCGAAGAAACCCCTAAACCAATTTCATACAAATCCATACACCATAAACCAAATTCACAAAATCCCCAAATTTCAAAGAAAAGGTTTATGAACAGTACCTCGTGGATGTCAACGATGGAGTTAAGCTTGGATGAACAGCCACCGTTGAGGGAGAAAGACGATTGCGTCGAAGAGAGAGAGGTTCACGAGGGAGAGAGACGGGCCGAAGAGATAGAGCGAAGAGAGTTAGAGAGAGAAACCAATTTTTGAAAAACTGATATGGGTACAATAAGTGGACAATAATTTTATATTTATAGGTAGTAGTTGTACAAAATTAGAAAGGGGTGGTATTTTTAGTTAAAATTATAAAATGGGTGGCACTGGGGGCTATTTCCCATCTTTTTTTCCTGTAGGATCTTGAAAACAAATTAACAGGTTATTTGATTAATTTTTTTCCCGAGGTAATTTCATTTTATTCACTTAAGTGTTTTTGTTATTCACTTAAGTGTCTACAATGGAGATATTTATTCTTAAAATATATTTACTTCTTAGGCTCTTGGTAACATAACTACTAATTAGCTTTCCCCCTTTGAAGACTCAAAGTTTTCATACCAAGTGCCTCACTTGAAATACTTTGACTGGTTACTAACCATGACCAACATGGTTGCTGGCATGACTCTATGATTGTTAACATAGTCCTACACGCTTTCTCATTTCTCATACAGAGAAACAAAGTCCCGCACAATTTACAAAACAAAATTTTCGCAAATTTCTAAACTGTAAACCAATTGATATGTCTCGTAATACAGAGACTGCAGCATGGAAATACCATAAACATAAAGCAATTGGTCCCATTAGTTTAAGTAAAAACTAAGTTTATGTTATACCTCAAATATAGCAACTAAACCACAATAATTTTGTTTCAAGATTGTTGGTAAAAATATAAAGATAATTGCTATATTTACAGAAGTTCGAAATTAAAACTTCACTATAAATTCGAAATAAATACAAGAAAATAACGACAAGGAAAATTAAGAATACTTTATAGAAGATCAAGTCTAGAATTTGGTTCTATCTCCTTAAGACGAAATTGCCTCCTCACAAGTGCTTTTAGGATTTACTTGGCATATATCTCCCAGGATACAACGATCGACTTCTTGTTGAAGTAGAACTACAATCCCCAAGAAAAGCAAACTCAAACTTGTGTATGAATTCTCTCTTACAAAAGCCAACTTCCCTTCCCAATCCCTATCCCCTCCACTCTTACCCACCCCGACATCGCTCATACCATCATGCCTCTCTAAAAAACACTTGTCTCTTCCGGTGGTCCTAGTCGTTACAAGGACTGTAGGGATGTGATTTGGCACACTAAAAACCTAACTCCTCTTTTCCCTTTCCCTTTTCCACAAGCACCCACCAACTACGGCTACACCAATGAGCCCTAAAGCAATCTTCTAGTTAGGGGACGAAACCCACCAACCAATTGATGTCTCTGCTACAGGGAAAAGAAGGATCCACTATGAATGAATGTGAAGAGTGGAGTAGCCTCATCCTGAGCCCCACACGTATGATGGCAACAACATGATTTTTAATTTGTATTTACTTAATTTTTTTCAACAATAAAATAATTGTTAATTCACTAATATGCTGATATAATCACTTTTCAAAACTTGTATTCTCAAATGATCACTTTCAAAATCTTATTCTAATATAATCACTTGGGGACTTGAAATTACCTAAGTGCCCTCCATATAAAAGACTCTTTAGCACTTTGTTTCTGAAAGGCAACTTCTCCCAAGTCCTGTCGTCCCTGTTTGTGCAGTCTCCCAAATAGTGGTTGAACTCCAAGTTGCCAGCACTGAGCAGCTCTAAGTAGCTACCCATCCATCATCATAAACCAGCTGGCCAAAAATTTTGAACCCTAATTTGACTGTAACGAAGCCGGCGCAATGCACGACCTCCATTGTGGACCTTCACATCAAAGTGACTGTCGCGACTCCACAGTGGCGAGTTCCGTCGTCGTTGTGAACGGAGGTGAGTTTTGATATTGATTTTGTACTGTATGTGTCTTATAAATTCGTTTATCCCCTTTTCTCCACACATGGGCAAAAAAGCTAAATTTTTCAATTTGAAGGAGTTCTGATATGATGAAATTCATAGTTTTTGTTATTATTTGTAGTGGGATCTGTGTGGTGAACTTGACTTTTGTTTAAAATTGACTGAATTCTGTATAATGTAGTGCAATGTGTTTGATAATGGCCAAAATAACAGCACACAGAAAAATAATATGTTAACTTTGTGTGGCCTAAAAATAGGTTTGTTAGGTTAGTTGTATCCTCAATTTAGATGCTTAACTAGGGAATTTGAGGTATTTGAGTGGGAATTTGTTGCTATTGTGGGTTTGTTTTGGTAAGAAGTTTAGTTTGTGTGTTTTGGTTTCCAATTTGGTAATTGATATTATACTGCACAGGTTGTGATACAAAATGATTTTTGAGTAAGGTTGAGGGTGTTTGATATTATACTGCATTATTCATTTTGTATGACAACCTGATATTTCTGTAGAAGGTGTTTAAATTTGTTTAAAACCCTTATAGCCTAGATGGGGCATCTTGCTGTCATGGTATGTTTAGTTGAGTTTGTTAATAACTTGGAACCCAGACATATATACAAAATGAGAGGAAATAGAGAAAATAATAAATTTTCGTTGTTGAAGCAGCTACAATTTGAAATTGAAGATTTGTGGATTCATAAGATGATACGGGTAGTGGAATGATAGTTGCGTATGTTATTATTGGACCTAATTTTTGTGGTTAAATGTTATTAATCGGTCTAGTCATTATTGATGTTATTTGCAGAAATGGATACTGTTGGAATATTGGTATGCTACAATGGAAGTTGGGTTCGGAAGGATAACATTGACAGTTATGAAGGTGGGGAGGCTAAAGGCATAATAGTGTCACAGAACATAACGTTTCCCGACCTTGTTCAGCGTATTTATAAGATCATGGATGCAGATCCCAAAAAGACATTGTGACACTGAAGTATTCAGTTCCTCTATCCTCATCTGTCTATAAGCACATAAGGGTTGAAGACAATGATGATGTTCAATATTTTGTAAAGTACAACACAGATGTTATGGCCTCTAAAGTAACCCCTTTAATAGCAAGCTTGAAAAATATAGAAGGTCATGGTATTGAAGGGTGCAATGGCAATGTAAGCATTGAGAGTAGCAATGCTCCTGCTAAATTTGGTGTGGAACATAGAAATGAGGTCATTGGGGACAACGAAACTGAAAATGGTGGAAATGGATTGAATTGGACAGATTGGGTTGAAGATGTTAATTTTGAAAGTGTGGAAAACATAGTTGCTGATTTCTGTGAACCTAGCAACGAAGAGGAACCGTACTCTGCGCCAAATATGCATCGTCATGGGGACAACAATTTCGAACCCTCCACTGTGCATTGTAGATAGGTGCAATATGAACCTTCTCAACAATCAATTTCGACTGGAATGCACACAAGCCGGATTGATTTGATGCATGGTCAGAGTTTGAAACAGATTGATTATGGTGGAGGCCTTTGTTGCATAAATTGGGAAGCAAATTTTAAGGTTGGCCGAGTTTTTCCAAATAAGGTTTCCCTTTTAAAAACCATAAGTTTAGCAGCAATTAGAGGCCACTTTCGATTGAGAACCGTCCAATCTGGGAAGCGTCGGTTGTGTGTTCGTTGTTGGCAGCTTCCTTGCCCTTGGCAAGTTCGGGCATATAAAATTGGATTACATGAGTTTAGGGTTGTTAAATACGATCTGTTTCATGAATGTGATCTAAGGTATGTAACCAGTCACCATTCTCAAGCTACGACTGGACTGCTATCCGACAGTGTGAATTGGAGGTTCAAGGATTCGCGCACCATTTATACTCCAGCTGATATCAAGAAAGATGTGAAAACAAATTTTGGGGTGACCATAAGCTATGCTACAGCGTGGAGTAGCTGAGAGTTAGCTTTCAAAACAATTAGAGGGTCTGCAGAACAGTCATATTCCCTTCTCCCTTCGTATTGTTATGAATTGGAGCGTACAAATCCTAGAATTTTGACATACATTGAGACTGATGCAACCGACTTCTTTTTTTTTTTTTTTTTTTTTTTTTTTTTTTTAATTGGTGCATGCATAAGAGGATTTCAATCGTCAATGCGCCCTGTCATTGCCGTTGATGCTACCTATTTGAAGTGCAAGTATAAAGGTGTTTTGTTTGTTGCGACCGCATTTGATGGAAATCGTAATATATATCTGATTGCCTTTGGGATTGGAGATTTGGAGACGAATGCAATGTGGGAGTGGTTTTTGACAAAACTACATTATGCAATTGGTGATTGCGCGAATCTTGTTGTCATATCCGATCGAAATGTCAGCATACAAAATGGGTTGAAAAAAGTTTTTCCTGGGGCAACACATGGAATTTGCTGTTATCACTTGAAGGGCAATATGAAAGCCTCATTTCGCTTGAAGCAGCGGGATCCAATATTGGGGTATTTTGTAAGGGCAGTGAAGTCGTATCGTCTGGGGGAGTTCAATCGTCACTTCTTCATGATAAATAATGACCGAGTGCAAACTTATCTAGTACGTGTAGGCCTCCAGAAGTGGTCTCGAGCCCATTGTGATGGACGACGCTATAATGTGATGACAACAAATATTGTGGAGTCCATAAATTCAGTTCTTCGTTTGCAAGGATGCTTCCGGTGGTACACTTGATTGACAAAATTACAAATATGCTTTTGTATTGGTTTAGTCAACGACGAGATTTAGCAAGGAAATGTCAATCTACGTTGTGCCCTGATTTAGGCGAGCAGAAGTTAAGGAAGAGGTTAGACGCTGCTTCAAGGATGAATGTGGTCAAAATCAATGATGGGGAGTATAATGTTCTGGATGGTGATATGAACGGGCTGGTGAACTTGCAAAACCGTAGTTGTACATGCAGGAAGTTTGACTGAGAGCAACTCCCGTGCAAGCATGCTATTGCGGTATGTCGACACTTGAAATTGAACCCCGACTCCTTGGCCTCTTCGTATTACACACGAGCAACATGGGCAGCTGCATATGCTGAATCCATTTATCCTGTACCACCTCAAGGGACATGGGTTATTCCTGATCATTTGCACAATATAAAAATCCTCCCTCCTCTTTCTAAGGTTATGCTAGGGCGTCGTAAAACACAAAGAATACCTTCTAAAGGAGAGGACCGGCGTGAAAACAAATGCTCAAGGTGTGGTGTGAAGGGCCACTATCGAAATACATGCAAACAATATGTCCCCGTCACCAACAAGCAACAGGTTGCGTATAGGTGACAGTTGTTTAGGTTCTATGTCTGTTTTCATAAATTGGTAAGTTGACGCATAGCTTCGGTGATGCTGTAAGCATGAAAGTCGATTCACTTAATGGTCATGGCAGCCTTACAAACGCAAGGTAACAAGTCCCTTTCAATGACTGGCCAGGATTATACACATTGTTGAACATACGATACCCCGGGACACAATCAAACCAGGTGCAAAATACTGTTCCACTACCACATAAGTCTTACAAATTATCATTTCTGTTGGTTTGTTATGTACCGTTCATTTCAATTTCGAACCCCACTGTGTGTGCGAGAGTGTGAGTGAGTTCAAAATTGTTTAATTTTTGAAAGTTCATGTCGCGATATTATCACCATTTAAAGCTGCGAATTGAACGAAAATATCGTAACTGAAATATCGGCAAAATTATCTATAAATTGACGATATAAAGATAGAATTGTGCTAAAATATCGTTGCCCCAAAAAAACGATAATTTCGCCGATACTGTGTCTATAAGTTTAATTATAAAGAAAACACTCAATAAAGGCCCATTATTATTTAAACTTGTAGCTTAAATTAATTAACATATCAAGACCCAAGGCAATTGTCAACTTGATCAACAATCCATGGAATTGAACCCTACAATTCCTATAACATAGCAGTTGAGATTTTGACAAAAAAGAAAAAGAAAAAGCAATTGAGGTTTTCAAGAAAGCTAGCATTTACAACCCAATATTCAAAGCGTTTTCCTTAAGATTAGGGTCTTTTGCCTTAGCATGACCGTAGCATATCATTGTGTCTATAAATGTGGTATCCTAAGCATTTTCCTTAAGATTAGGGTCATGCTAGGAGACCTCATTAACTTCTTTAACATTTCTGATCTCCGAAATAAAGAACTCATTTGAATACTCAAATTCAAAGCCTTTGATCCAAATGGATCCTTAGGTTTTTCCCAACCACCAGATACATATACAAAGTGCAACACTGGACAGAAATTCAACAGTGATGAATGTACAGGTAACTATTTGTCATTGTCAATCACTAAAACAAACTTACTATAAGTGAGAACTACGAGCTTTGTAGGTAAGGATTTGCACAACAGAATATGCTTGCATCTGATCTTTATAGTACAGAATAATATGTAAAGTTGTATGCATGCCAAGTCTATGGGATCTTCATAAGGAATGTATATGTTTCACCCTCTCAATTGCCTGCCTAACCCTGGTTGATGGCTCTTCATGCAAGATGGCAGGGTTGTCAAACTCGGAAGCCAAACTTGGCTCTCCCAGAAAGGCACGGAATGAATCTGCCACGGAATAGGAAAGGGACTTGAGGTTGTATCCTCCTTCCAAGAAAAATACACATCGACCCCCACATAGATCATTCGCAAGTTGTTGAATATAGGATGCAAGCATGTAGTATGTTCCCGTCGTGAATTGCAGACTCGCTAGTGGATCCAATACATGAGCATCATACCTAAACAATTCGGTTATTCATATGCAATGGGTAATGAAGATTGGCAATGATACAGTAGTTTACATGGAATGCGAAACTCACCCAGCAGAGACAAGGATAATATCTGGCTTAAACCTCTGAGCACATGGTACAATTATTTCATCAAACACAGTTCTCATGGCAGTATCACCTGAGCCTCCGGGTAGAGGAAGATTTAGCGTTGTTCCTTCCCCATCTCCATGGCCTACCTCCTCAAATTTACCAGTACCAGGGTAGCTTCCATCCTAAATCAATGAATTAACACAGGAATAAATTTGGAATTCTATAAAGAATATCTAAAATGTACATTATTTCAAAGTGGCAGTAAACAAATTGAAGGAAAAAATAAAATAAAATCTGTTAGAAGACCAAATAATGGTTGGCCCATATCCTGTCAGCTTAAACTTTTGGGAATAATGGTAACCCAGCAAACTCAACATGACATCACAGCAGGAGTTCCTTAACTTTCAAATCCCTGCAATTGCAGACCCTCTGAAATAAGTTGAATTCCACATGTTGGGCTTTAATTGTGAAGAGTTGTCTGCATGTGTGCTAGAATGTAACATAATTGTTGGCCACATCCAAATGGCTTAAGCATTTGAGAGTAGTGGTAGACCAACAAAGTTTACAATATCAAATGCCATGTCCACCCCATGAAGCTATCAGATTCAAGGTGGCTTCTTGGAAGAAAGTTTCTGTTTCTCCATTACACAGGAGAACTGCAAGCAATTGGAGCTCCCTAGTTCTATTATTCTATGGCATTTAATCTAATTAATTTGTGGCTTTCTGTGTATGGTATTGGGTTCTGGTTATGTCATTATTTCCATTGGCAATTCTTTTCAATCTTCTGTTTTCTTGTAGAGATGCTTACTACGACCGAGTACTTTTTTTGGTGAATAATTTTCTGATTTTTAGTTAAATGGTCTAACAGTAGCATCCAATGCAAGAGAACAAGTTCTAGCCGCATTATGCCACTAAGGGGAAAGTAGCAGAATTTCTGCATGGGACAATGTGTAAAGTTGGATATTGATCCTCTTTACTTGCAACTCAAATGGAGAGATCCAGATATTGAAAGATGGATTTTTCTACAATGTGAATTTGGATTGCATGTGAACGCAGCTGTAGCCCTTAGATCCGCGGTTCAGCCTTCCCTACTAGAGTATAGATCCACATCAAGACATCAAACTGTGTTTGTATTCAATGTAAATTCCACACTGTGTGTGTATGAACCCTTGAAACAAAAACATCTTATGGGAATTGCACAGCTGCAACGTGACATAAAAAGTTGTGCTGATTTTAGTTATTTTTGGCAGGCAATTCGACTTGCCACAAGCCCTGACACACAATGCACAAACTAATAACCCTAAATGTGATCTATATGTCAATCTTGTTGCTTCTGCCTTCCAACTTGGGACATTTGATGATCTATAAGTCAATCTTGTCAACATCAGATTTTTATTTTTTATTTTTTTATATAAAATTGAGGATAACATTCAGACACAAGGTGGTGTATTCTCTTTGCATCTTATCAGTATATAGATAAGGAATCACAATACGTGAAGATTATTATACACTAGTATGAAATCTTATAAATTTGGAAAGTTGTTAAAGTTGGCACGTTGACAAGACAGTATATTACGAAGAACTATTCCAAAGAAAAAGAAACACAGAATTCTACAGAACATTCTTGAACTGCAGGAACAGGATTTCAAATAATATATATTAATACAAAACATTTATGAAAAATATGAATTTTTTACTGCTAAAGTTTCCAAAAGCACTCCTCAATTCACAAAAGGCATGTATGAGGTTGGCACAAAATAAAACAACAGAAAATGATATGTAAATAATGACATCTTAATTTTTATCCCTATGTTCACACCATATGGGGTGTAACAGTCTTGAGCTATGGAGAAAAGATAAATTTACTAATTGGTTACCAAAAATAAGGTACTTAGATGAGCATAACAAGAATTTATGACTAGATATGAATACAAATATTTACAAAAGATACAAGTTTATTACTGCTATAGTTTTCGAAAGTACTCTTTCATTCCCAAAAAGGTACGTATGCGGTTGGCACCAAAGAAAGTCTGTTTCAAACTTGACTGGATTTAAATTACTAGATTTATAAAACATGTTAAAGTCATATCACTGAGAGAGAGAAAAAAGCAAAGAAATAAAACAAAATAAATAAGAAAAAACAGTATGTAAACAGTGACATCTTACTGTTTATACTTAGGTTATATGCTCCTGCCATCAAGAATCAGTAACAGTCTTTAGCTATGGAGAAAAGATAAAGTTTACTAATTGCTGACCAAAAATAAGCTACTTAGATGAGCATCACAAGAATTCATGACTAGATATCAAGACAAAATGTATCAAACTAGTCCAAATCCAATCCATACTTACTTGGTGAGTCGACAGGAAAAATATATCAGGATCATCATAGAAAGCATCATTTGTCCCATTCCCATGGTGAACATCAAAATCAATGATAAACACACGCTTTAAGCCATGTGAACGCTGAGCATAACGAGCTGCAACTGCAACATTTCCAAAAACACAAAACCCCATTGGACCCTTTGGAATAGCATGATGTCCAGGAGGTCTTATTAAAGCAAAACCTACAGGTGGACTCTTGCTGATCTTTGATTCTGCAACCTGAGCAATGAATTCAGATGTATTGAAGAAGGATACTTCAAACAAGATCTATACCATATGAAAACTTTATCCTTTTTGAAGTAGACTGAGGATCAGTTGGACAGCAATGCAAAAGTATCACCTATACACTTCAGCACACATAACTAACAAAGATTATCACCAAGACACGATTGAGAAATCACCACTGCATCAATTAAGGCAATTCCTGCTCCAGCTGCAACTAGTGACTCCTGGAACGTCTACATTATTAACACCATTGTTAGAAAATCAGAATGGAAAGACACAAGAAAAAGGACATTGAAATGTCTTAACTACCACTTACATAAACAGTTGCGTATGTTGGCCCAGAGCCTTCAATCAAAATAATTCCCTGTTTTGAGGCTTGATCCATAGCCTATAAATTGGATTGGGGGTGTTAGAGAGAGGCAGAGAGAAATATGATAAATCTATGGATCTGGCCACAAAGAAAGAGAAATATTCCAGCACCAATAGGTTTCCAATGCTTGCCATCTCAGTACTGCATTTCATTCATAACAATTAGACAAAACAACACCACGTGTGAGAGAAGGGTGAGATAATGTAAAGACCTGAACTAAGGGATGCCGTCCAGCCTCCAACAAATTTGTTTAGTAGAGTAACTTGTGTTGAGTCAATTGAGGAATCTAAGACAGCATGCAAAGAACTTTACCATGATTTTATGGAGTTCTACATGGGTCCAATCATTTGATGTAATACTAAGTTCTAGCAGTTAACAGGGAGGATTATAGCTTTTTAGTGCTCCTCAAGAATATGACGAGTGCATACGCTCAACATAAAAGCATGGTATTTTACAAAATAATGCCAAAGTGCAGTGCAACTACAACTTCCAGGACAAAATATACAATCACATAACAGAACAGGAACACCTTCATAGATTGCAAAATTTCAAGGAATGTGCAGGGTACAGTGTGTTTTAAAAAATTATGAATGGAACATGAAAATGAATCTTTGCAATGACCCCTCCAAAACATAAAATAACCACTAGCAGCAGTAAACAAAAAACTTCTTTTCACCCTTAATTGTACCAGTTGTGATGAGGACATCTTTGTCAAACCCATTAGGGTTTACAAACGAAAGAGATGGAAGAGGGAATTATTAATTAGTTTCCTAATTTATTTGTTAGTTCCTAGGTTCTCTAAGTTTTCCAGATTTCAGTAGGATTTCTAAGTTTCCTATTTTATTTGGATTAGGATTTCTTTCCTAGAATAAGTTTATTTTTCCTTTTCACTCTAGGGTTAGATTATTATAAATACCCCGTCTGTGTAATTCATTATGGAGTTGAGTTGTTGAGATATAAAGAAAAGTTTATTTTCCAGAGATTGGAGACTACTTGGTGTGAAGCCAAACCCCTGGAGTGATTCCAGACCTATCCCTTTTGTTCTATTTTCTGTTTTCCATTGTTTTCACTTCCGCTAAATTACCTAAATACTCCATTCACCCATATCCTACATCAAGTTGTTTAGCACAAATACAATCCAAGAGAGGAACAAGTCGGTGGGGTGGTGAAAAGGAGGGCCAAAAACAAGAAGCGTATTGAAAACAAAACCAAACAAACAAAAAAAAATATTGTGATGGTTACTTTTGTTACCTTCTCAAGGCCTGATACATAGGCTCTTGTATGAACACTTGCAATGTCATTCGATGATGCTGCGTTGAAATTTTCAAGTTCAATAACCTCCAAGCCACGGAACTGAGTTATAAGACAAAAGATGATTAAACAATTGGGAATTTAATTGCTTCATATGTAAACCAGAAAATAGAACTTGAATTGGAGGGCTAATGGACTTTTTCAATAGAGAACTTGCTTATTTATCCACTGCCAATGCCAATGCCTATTTTATCTATCCACTGTGGTAGTCAAGCAACCCTATCAGGTGCTTATTTCCAAGTGGACAACGGATATTCATGGAATATTGGCTTGACATATGGTTTTGTGAAGCAAAAAAAAGTATAAAACAGAAGTGGTGGTAATATTACCAACGATTTTGTGAGGCCATGTCAAAAATTGGCAGCTGCATCAACTAAATGACTTGCAAGGGATTTGGTGTGGAAAAAAAAAACAAAGGGGATGAGGCTAAATTCCATTTCAATACTTACTCAACAGTTAAAACATCGATCAAGTCCTCTAATTACAATGAGTAACATACATGATTATTTTTTTTTTGTGATTTTTTTTTTTTTTTTTTTTTTTTGTGGTCAGTCATCATGTAGTGATTGAAAGAAGTATAGAGTCATTATTATCTCTATTCCAAGGTAAAAGTTCCCCTAATCTATTGAGGAGGTTGAGTTATGGCTGCTAATAGGCATGGTTACAGGGGTACTTAATGCCTGTCTATACAAGTTTGTGAAGTAGTGTTGCTCCCAATGAGATCTGGGCCTTTGTTTTTTAAGCATTCAAGAAAATAGGATATCGACACAAGGCCTATCCACATGTCAGCTACTTGAATACTTATCGAAGATAAGCTAGTGTGTGAAATTGGTGCAGAACAGTAGCAATAAGCTGCTGCCCAGTGGGTAAAATAAGAAACGGATTCCAGAAAATAAACAACAGAAAATAGCAAGATAAAGCCATAGAATTGAAGTTGGAATGAAGATAATTGAGTTCTAGGGCAAGAATCCCAAAAGAAACTCTATAAACTGAATCGAGGAATTATATTCATAAAAAATTGAATGCAAGAGCCTCTTAAGAGCCTATTCATACTAGAGTACGGCAGTCAAGCCTGCCTAGTCCTTGTCTAAGTTTGGGTTGTACAGAACACAAAGATACCAAATAGTTGCCCTGACTTCTCACCTGTCCCTTTTTTTCCCATCCGCATTATAGAACAAATAATCAACAAAAAATAAAAATCAAAAGTCTTGTTTCGTACATGAAGGAAAGGTAAGAAAATTGCCTATGTATGCAAACAATAGATAAATTTGTGTTTACACACAAGAAAACATCTTGGATTGATTTTGACTAGTGAATTTCTGTTTGCAGGATCCCTTGCCATTTGAATTGCCACCAAGGTTGTTCAAACTGCCTTCCATTTTTCAGTTTTTTTCCAATTTTCAGTTTGAACCGGATCTATTAATTTAGGGTGTAGAATCTGTTTCAAGCTTGGGCTTTTAGAGTTTCTCTAGTTTTTTCTTTTTTACATTTTATATTCTGGTTTAGAGAGGGTTGATCTGATTATTTTAGGACGTAGACTTGTCATTCAAGGCCTAGAATTTAAGGTCTAGCTCTTGGGTTTAACCTTAAGCCCAGAGCAGAATGAGAAAGACATCAAGCAACTGCTTGACCAGCTGTTCAATCTGCTTGAGTGCATTGATGTCTGCAATGCGGACCACTCCTGAACCTTATAGCAGATCAAGCTTGCACATCCAATTATCACTGTAGGGAGGTGGCCATATAGCCTACGTATCAAAATTATCATTAACTTGCTTAGATAAAATTGTAAGGCATTCCTGGATCGGCTTGTTAAACTACTATATAATAAATAAATAAAATGTAACAGACAAAAATGGAAAGGCAAGTGAACAATGGCAGAAAAGTTGAGGGTCTGTGCAGTTTAAGACATATATTGATACCTTTGGCGAGAGCTCCCATTTTTCAAGAGCATTCACTATTGCAGGAACTCTAAAATGGGATTCTGGATGAGACTCCTGCTAGCAACCGTAAATTCAGACTATTAGAAGTAGAAAGAACTATAACAGTAACACCATCATAGAAAGAAATAAGTACAGAATCATTACAACCATTAAATGAAGAGAAAAACAAAAAACAAAAAGATAAATTTGCATCTACTCAGAATTATTAAGAATGAGGCTAATCAGTCAACAGACTCATATGATATGTATTACTCTGTGTGTGTGTGTGTGTGTGTTATGTATTTATATGGATGAATATATAAACTTCAAAATTTTATAAAAAATGTTGCCATGCGAAACCAAATTCAAGCAGAACCGCATCTAAACTGAAGTTAAGTTTAGCTCAGGCTGACCTCCAACTACACATGTAGCTGTGTGACCCACACATAACTCAGAAGAGAAAAATTGCAAGTTAGTACATTTAGAAAACATTGATTGCGTGGCATATAAGTATGCTATTCATTGAAATTGAAACAATTACAATAAACTCCAGAAATGCAAAACTAAAGAAGACCAAGAAATTTTTCAATTAAAAAAAAACAGAAAAACTATCAAGTAAACTAATGAAGAACCATGGCAATAAATCAGTATAAAAAGGTGCGCATTGCACAACAGGCCAGCTGAATGTACCTGGTTATGACCCATGGCAGGAGCTACAGTATAAATGACGCGTGCATCACTTAATTTCTTAACAGGTATAAGGGGATCCTCCCCTGTACCAGTTGAACAAGAAATAGAAGCTTCTGTTTTTTCAGATAAACACCTCCTTCCTCTTCTCAAACTCTTATTCAAATTTCTATTTCTCACAAATTTGGCTTCTAAGTCAAATCTACTATGGTTCTTCCACTTGCACAAATGCTGCCGCGCCAAAAACAAGGCATTCCCTAAGACAAGAAGAATTCTATGCTTTCAGGATATATTTTTGCAGTAATATAAAATTATTACGATACATATAATAAAATATACATAGCAAATCACAACTATCACAATGAATACTAAACATTGCGTCTAAGACAGCATAAAATTGGTGATTCTATTATTTAAAAGAATATATATTGAAACATGTACATATGTGTGAGTGTGAGTGAGTGTGTGTGTGTGTGTATATACACACACTATTGTATATATCACAGGGCACATGTAATTGTAGCAATGAGAAACTAAATATGATGAAAAGAATCATGACAATACAAGTACAGATAATAATTTACCAAGTATAAATTGAAGTTCTAAGGATAGTCAAACTGAAATTACAGCTTAAACCAAGAATCAAAGAAGCCTTAAATGTCATAGATGACATCAATCCACAACGAATGAAAACTATTATAAAATACCAAATGGGAAAGCTCATAAATTCAAAAAAATTTAATGAATTATAAGCCAAAATAATTAATACCCAGATAAGCCGACAAGTTATAGATTATGTTGCTGCATGACTCTGTGTATGTGAGAGAGAGAGAGAGAGAGAGAGAGGTACCAGCCAGAGATGACGAGAAAGAGACTGCAAGGAGCTCCATTAACGTATTGGACTGCCGCAACAACTTGCCGCTGCTAAGGCTATGCTTGCTTGGCTGCTGATATATCAGGACCAATTTCTGACCCCAAAAAAATCATTTTAAAGGATGACGTGGCTCACCTATAAAACAACACATGTGCTTTTTTAAATTTTTGTCCCAACTCTTTAACCAATTTTAACTCTTCAGTCCAAGTCACCCGAAGGTTAAGCTCCGACCACCGGACTTGAAACTCCGGTGCACTGCTTGATTGATTTTTTTTGGAATCGTTAGTCAAAGCACAATAATCTTAAATATTGTTTTCACTTCTGTGTTTGATAGAATTTTCTAAAAAAAGGGGGACAGCTGGTGGCAAGCCACGGCCATCCACCCCTTCCGGGACCCGGAGAGGCTATAGGGAATTTCACCCCGTCCCTGGCCCTCATCGCTTGATTCACCAACGGCAGGAATCGAACCCAGGATCTCCCGTTTACATAGGGCCTGGGAAACGCCCTTACCACTGGGCCAACCCGTGAGGGTTGTGTTTGATAGAATTTTAGTTTTCACATTTCTTATAGAACATAACCCTTAGTTGAATTTTAGTTTTCACATTTCTTATAGAACATAACCCTTAGTTGAATAGGAAAAAGGCAGTGCAAGCAATTGGATGGTTAATTTTTGTTTTTGTTTTTTGGCCATTTCCAATCGATGGGTTTTTGTATGTACTTTGTTTTACAAATGTGGTCTGCTTTGTAATGAAGTTAGACCCAAAAAAAAAGGGAAATGACCTCCAATGCCACCCATTTGCTAATTTTAACTAAAAATACCATCCCTTCCTAATTTTTGTACAACTACAACCTATAAATATAAAATTATTGTCCACTTATTGTACCCATATCGTTTTTCAGAAATTGCTCTCTCTCTCTAACTCGCTCTATCTCTTCGACCGTCTCTCTCCCTCGTGTACCTCTCTCTCTTCGACGACAATCATCTTTCTCCCTCAACAGTGGCTGTCTGCGTTCTCTCTTCCTCTCTCAGCGTTTTATCTCTCCACCGTCACTCCATGACCACCACCACTCTGTTTCTCCCACTCTCGCGAAATCCATCCCTGTGTCAATTTCTCAACAAAAAAACTCAATCTTTATCCCCTATCTAGGGTTATCTGGTCTTACAAGTCCAACCCAGAAAAATAAAAGCTTAGCCACTCCCTCAGCCATCCAAGCTTAACTCCATAGTTCACATCCACGAGGTACTGTTCACGTTCCTTTTCTTAGAAATTTGGGGTTTTTGTGAATTTAGTTTATAGTGTATAGATTTTTATGAAATTGGTTTAGGGTTTTAGGGTTTAGAGGTTGCTTTGAAATTGGTTAGGATTTGTTTTGTGCCCAGAAGATTGTGACTTTGTTGAAAGTTCGTAAATGGAAAAGGCACTGTTCACAGAAATCAAATGCAAAAGATTGTGACTTTGTTGAAAGTTTGTGCCCAGAAGATTTGTGCATTTGTGCTTTCTCTGTTTGTAAGCATGGTTTTATCTATTTTTTTTATTTCCGGGATTGTTATCTAATTTCTTTATACACCATCTGCTGCTCGAAACATCATAATGCAGATGAAGCATCTCAGGGAAACTCTTTACTCAGTTCTTCTTTTCCAAGTTTGTGTTTCATTTAGTAATTGCAACAATTGGGTGTGCCAATTGTCAACAAATTTATTTAAAGCAATGTTGACTTGCTTGATCTCCGATTTTATTCAATTCTGTACTCTATTTTGGTGTAATCTTTGATGTAGGATATATCCTTTTTCGACAGAGAAGCAGTTGGTGATTTGACAAGCAGACTTGGGGCAGATTGTCAACGATTATCTCTTGTTATTGCAAATGATATTAGTTTGATCTTACGCAATGTTCTTCAGGTTGTGGTTCTTACCCTTCCCCTCCCCCAAATGTGCATTTGATTTTTTTAATAATCTAGTCTAAGTTACAGTTTTTCTATATTCAGGGGATAGGTGCACTGATCAATTTGCTGATATTATCTCGGCCTCTCGCATTATCAACATTATTTATCTGCTGTGTGTTATCTATGATTTTTCTTCTTTATGGATAGTAAGCTTTTTTACCTTCTTTCTACTTTATATCTGATTTGGATTTTTCGAAGCTTGAGGTTATTTATACCGCAAAGTTTTGCTATAACAATAAATGAAGAAGTGATATATTTGATTATTTTATATTTTATAACAATATATAGGTACCAAAAGAAAGCTGCAAAGTTAGTCCAAGACTTCACTGCTGGTGCCAATGAAGGTGCCAATGAAGTATAGACAGACTATAGTTCCAAAATGCACAATGACATCAAAATTGATTGGTTTTCTGGCTTGATATCTATCTTTAGTGATTTCTAGCTTGATATCTATCTCTGCATAATGACATCAAAATTTTCTGTGGTGTATTTCATGATAGGTATTTGCAACTCCGGAAGCTAGTATTGGCTTTCATACTGATTGTGGTTTCTCATATGTATCCCATCTTCCTGGGCATCTTAGTAAGCATGCAAATATAGAGGAAAATAGTTTTTCCTGGATTTTACTGAAATTGATTGGTATTGTGTGGGGAACGCAGGGGAGTTCTTTGCCTTAACAGGAGCAAGACTGAATGGTAAGGAATTGGTTGCAGCTGGATTGGCAACCCATTTTGTCACTCTTGAGGTGATTTTCTCATTCCTTCCCTATAATTTTCTTCCTCTGAAACCAAGTCTCGGAAGTATTAGCTCACAAGATTTGCCCCTCTAAGTGATCTGCAAAGCTAAGAGACTGCATTATACACATCCATTATTATTAGATTCTTTGATATAATTCTTCTTCATAGTTACTATGTCAAACTAAAATTTGCTATTGAACTGTTTTTGTTCATCATAAATTATCTGATGTAGAAAAGCATTTGATAAGCTTAAACTCTGGAGATGAGAATGCAGTCAAAGCTGCGATTGAAGAATTTGCAGTGGAAGTCCAGCCTGATGAAGAAAGTATTTTAAACAAGTAATAAATCTTAGTTGCTGGTGTTTAATTGTTAATTCCACTTCAATCCTTAACATTAACATGCAAAGCTCCATATCTCGATCTCAATAACCTTTCCTTACCTTTCAGGCAGTCAATAATTGATGAGTGCTTCTCCAAAGATACATCACAAGGATAAGGAAAGGTCTGATACCAGCTGGTTATGTCACTGTCAGGGTATGTGTCTTTCACTTCTATGAAATAATTGGATTAAATTATGAAGTTCAATTTTGGTCTCAGAACATCACAAGGAATTATCATAACTATACTCAAATCTTGAAGGATTCTATGCTCAAATGACCCAAAATATAAATCCCTATCCAAAAATAGATATGATTGTTATTTTTTGAATAGAGGAAGATCAATAAACCTTCATCTTAGTCATCTCAATCCGCACTGTTTGCTCATGCAGAAAAATATAAAATTCTCTTTAGCAAAATTGTTAGTTTTCTAATTTCGGAAGAGAAAGTATCAATTTTGGAGGATGGTTTTTATTTTGGTTAATTTCACGAAGTGGTTGGAGCTCAAACCACCTGCCACCAACATGTTAAGGTGCTGAAATAGAGTTAGGCCTAATCTATGAAGGACAATTATATTGGTGATTTATCTGAGTTCTCTGGTGTTACTGGTTATGCCTATGTATCTCTGACTCTGTTCTTTTCCTCAGGTCGGATTAGCTCTTGGAGAGTTGCGAAAGGAAAATAATTTCCTAAGAAGCCTTTGGCCAGTAACTAATCCACCTTCAAGTCAAGAACATCTTTTACATCCTCAACTTTTACAAAAGCCTCTCCGCCGCCCATTCCTTGCTTGAGGGTATTCTGACGTTGCAGGAGTGTAAAACGTGATTCCATTAAGGACGTCGTGTCCTTTTTGTAATATGTTGTGTAGATTATGAATATGTAGTGGGAATGTGGAGTTTTTGTATTGCCATTGCATTGCTTCCGTATTGCATTTGTACTGTCATCATATTGTCATTGTAGTGTTGTGGTATTGCCTGGTTATTACACTTATATTTGTTTCTTGTCACCAGTTTTTTCAAGTCTGTGTTGTGAAGGAACTTATAAGGATATTTTGTAAAAGGAAACGCTTGATTGTGTAAGTTTATTTTGTAAAGGAAAATGCTGGATCATTATTCATTATCATATAAATAAGGTACAAGAAGCACCGTATATGAATCTCTTCAATATGATTGATTCGTGTTCAGCTATTGGTGTAAGAATGTGATTCCATTATTGCTTATTTATTTATTATTTATTATTTATTATTGTAAGAATGTGATTCCATTAATGACGTCACATCCTTTTAATAAATCAAACTCATAGTTGCTTCCCCTATAAGAAATTATATTCATTAAGAAAACCAACCAAAAAGCAATACAAAAGCAATGGCACATAAATTATGAAGTGGTAGCAGACATGCAATACAAAAACAATAAGGTAGCAATAAACGAGCAATACAGTGGCAATACACGAGCAATAAAAAGGCAATAACAATACAATAAACAAGTTGGGGCCTTTTCTTTTTCTTGTGCAATTTGAAAAGAGAAGGGGAAAAAAACAGAAATTGTCAAGATAAAACTGTAGAAAGAAACAGAAGTGTAGTATCCAAGATTGTGCTTGATTCGTGAAATTGTTATTAATATTGATTTATGACATTGGTGATTGAGTTGGAGATTTCCAAATTGGACAATTCTTATTGCTTTGCTGATATGGATCCAATATGCTTTGTTTTGGCAAAAAGGGTCCTACTTATTGTACATTATTTGTTCTTTTAGTCTTGGTACGTATAAGTTTAGTTTTATCATATTCTCTTGGCTTGCTTGTTCTAACTGTGGGCACACATAAGGCGGAAAACTTGACAATGCTTTGACTATCTTGCATATTATAATGGCAAAACCAGCAGGTGGCCCTAGTAAGAGAGATCAGCCTGCAGGGGTGGATGAGGACTAATTTTGTGTGTATGACAATTGACTATCTTTGCTTGTATTGTTCTATGTTAGGGATCTTTTGTTCCATTTTAGTAACAATTTTGTTTAGGAGAAAAAGAAACATATTGCAGTTCATGCTTTGTAAATGCCACTCTTCTGTAACGATGGACACGACGTGGTATGCCCTTGTTGGGTAGGTTTAGATTGAAACCATGGTTGAGTGCTTGAGCCATGTTTAGTGAGAAGCTTGAATGGATTTTCTTTTCTTTTGTATTTGGCCCTTCAAGCATGCCAAAAATCATCCCGGTTTTGTAATATGTGGTTTGTGGCAAATTAATTTACTGTGGATCTTGCATTTTTGTACCCAATATTTGATAGCTGCCTTCTTTTGAACGAAGATTCATTGAGGGAGAGAATTACTTTCCTTTTGAATATGAATCGATGTGCAACTCCAACTATCATTTCAAAGGTCAACATCAATTCATGCTAATATAAGGATGAATAACAATTGTCGTGCCCATGAGATTTGAATTCAGGATTACTTTCAACGAAGTGGAGACTCTGTTATTAGACCAAATGGCCATTGACATACAATATAATAGCAATATTATGCCAATATATGTACACTATAGAGGCAATATTAGAGCAATATAACTACAATACGATAGCAATAGTATTACAATATCACATATAAAAATATAATTATTGTCCACTTATTGCTGATTTTTGACATGTTCAAAAATTTTGTTCTCTCTTAGCTCACTCAGCTCAATCTCTCTGGCACATCTCTCTTTATCTTTGGTATCTGTCTATCGCAGCTCTCTGTCTCTCTCTTGGCTATCTCTCTGTCTCTCTCTTTGCTCTCTTTCTACAGCGCAGCTCTTTCTCTCTCTGCCTCTCTCTCTAGCTTCGTTCTGTCTTTTTCTCCCCCTATTCGCTCTCTTGCTCTCTATCTCTTTATTCATACCTTCCTTTTTTTGTAAATTATTTTTTAGTTATTATTTTTTAAAATAATTTCTTACAATGTCTTATGGTGCAATTATGATGCACCTGACTGCCTGTTTTTGAAAGGCACGTTGTTTCTTTCTCCTCCTCTTCTTCTTTTTGAATGAAGTATGGCTTAAACTGTAAACCCATTGATGAGCTGTAGTAAATATACATACAATATAATAGCAATATTAGGCCAATATACATACATTAGAGAATCAATATTAGGGCAATATAATCGCAATACGACAACAATAGCATCACAATATACATGCAATACGCTGGCAATATGCATACAATATGTATACAATACATAGGCAATATTAGTACAATACGCATGCAATAGGACAGAAATATTAAGTCAATCTACATACAATACACACACATCCATTACATACTACAATTTAGACATGGAAAATAAATCGCCACCGAACCCTAGCAATACTATCCTGCGAAGTAAAAATTATTTCTTTCATAAAACTTGAAAATTATTTCTTACATAGTCAACCAATCTTTGCTCTATTACATACATACTTCCTACCTATAATTATAAATAATGGAGAGCTCACAAATTCTACTAATTTAATCTTAACTTCATCAATTTGTTCTTCGTTGTATGAGTTAGCTCTCCCTTCTTGCACTTTTTCCAAGCTGTTCTATTCTCCTCCCGTGTAGCAATATCAGCAACAGGTTATCTACAGCAAAAAGAAAGAGAGAACCATTAAACAAAAAGAAAAATTCATGAGAGACAGAGAGAGATAGAGCAGCTGAAAGTTAATATTGAAGATAAAGTCAAGAATTAAAAATAGAAGAATAAAAAAATACCTGGAAACTTCAACCATGCTGATATACTAAAAGAAACTTATCCACCAGACCTGTACCAAACAAAGAATAATTATTTACAAAAATATTTACACTAAACTCTTCTCTATTGTCTACCATACACATATTTAAGCTAAACATGCATATAAAATCACTAACCTGCACTACAAGTGTGCATCTTGGATCGGCTAACAGATTCCATGTATGGATGGCCAATGGTGAAAACGAAAATATAGGACCCGCATACTATCAGATTCATTGAGGGAGAGAATTACGTTCCTTTTGAATATGAATCGATGTGCAACTCCAACTATCATTTCAAAGGTCAACATCAATTCATGCTAATATAAGGATGGATAACAATTGTCGTGTCCATGAGATTTGAATTCAGGATTACTTTCAATGAAGTGGAGACTCTGTTATTAGACCAAATGGCCATTGACATACGATATAATAGCAATATTAGGTCAATATATGTACACTATATAGGCAATATTAGAGCAATATAACCACAATACAACAGCAATAGTATTACAATATCACCTATAAAAATATAATTATTGTCCACTTATTGCTGATTTTTGACATGTTCAGAAATTTTGTTCTCTCTTAGCTCACTCAGCTCTCTCTCTGGCACATCTCTCTTTCTCTTTGGTATCTGTCTATCGCAGCTCTATGTCTCTCTTAGAGAAGCTAAATAAGATCATAGCAAAATAAAAGGCTACAAAATCAAGTGAACCTATAGCTAGGGAGCCCTGTAAGGTCCTGTGAAAAGGCAGTAGTTGCAAAAGAAGGAACAGAATCCCTCCTGTGGGAGCCAGATTAGTCCACCCTGTAATCATCCAAACAATATGACTGTTTATCATAGATGAGTTTTCTAGTAGTAATCAATTTTACTCGCAGTATGGATAAGTACTATATACTTATTTCACCAGTAATAAACTTTTAACACTTTACTTTGCTTCCCTCTACCTCTCCCTAAAATTTTCCATGCTCTGCCACCGCTGAGCAATGGGCTAGGCAACTCGGAAATATTATCTAAATCTATTAAGTAGCCTAGGATGCACAAGAAACAATAAGCAACAACAGTTTTGCAGTTTATTTGAAGGTGATTTCGTTAATAAGGACAGAATAGTACCCTAAATGCAGGGTGATGTCAGAATCTCCATTCTCAAATGCAAAATTGATGACCAAATCTGGGTTTGTGACACCATGGTTTACAAGGGATTTCTCTTTTTCCACCGGATAATATTCCAGATAGGATGGGACTGCACGGTCAGTTTGTGGAAATAAACACCAAAGCTCCTCATCTTACAATATAAGTATAGGCCATTACAGATACATTACATAATATACAAATCACTCACAGGGAAGTAAATGTCAGAAACTGATCAAATTTTCATTAGCAAGAAGAATGTTGTTTACCTGTCTGCGCAACATTTCATTCTCAAGTATAGCACGCTGTTCCTAGAGGAAACAAATAGCTTCAAATTAAATACCGGGTAAAATTGTCCGTTTTGTTGATAATAAATAAATAAACTTAGTCTTTTCTATACATACCAGTGTAGATGCAAGGTCATTGTGCAACTTATACCATAAAGCCAAGCTTTTAAAAACCAGAACATAAGTATATAAGGAAAAACTTTACATTATAGATTAGTCACTTTCTTCCTTTTCCTGTCACTTTTCATTGTCATATCCCTTCCTCTTTTTATTTTTTCTTTTCTTTTCCTCTAAATCATTGTGATTATCCATACTTCAAAGTAAAAGTAGCTTAATCGAAACAAAATAGTATCTTTAGTCAACTTCAAGAAAAACTGCAGCTTTTATATGTTTGGAGAAATGAATTTTCTGTGACCCTCCAAGTTGCATAAATTAACCACTCACAATACAGTACATACTTAGTTGCTCAGCTGATACATGACCACTCATAATTGAAATTCCTCCCAACACCACTGCAATAATCTGTAGATGTGATTTGACAAAGTGCAGTCAAATAATAGATTTTCATTTAAATGTAATAACTTGAGACATTTTCCTTTCTCACTTCAGAAAACCAACAACTTAAGCCCAATACCTTATGATAGTTAACTAAAAAAGAGCCAAACCTGTGCTGAACGATAAAGAGTACTGAAACTCACACACCAGAATCCATAAGCCACACTCTCTCGAATGTTTACAAAAGCAACTTTGACTAGCCATTGCTTGAATCTAATATCACATAGGATGCATGCTTTAGGTGTCTGAATTCTCAGATTTTCTTGTGCTATGTTTATTAGAAAGACGACAGTAAAAAGAAAATGTCTAACAAGAAATTAATAGTAAAATATACACCTTCCAAATTCTTTTCTTTCAGTTCCATAAACCCGGACAGTTCTCATCAAGGAAAATGTTTCTTGCGCAGCCTACATTCAAATAGGAAAGTGATCAACCAAAGAAGATTAACATAAATTTTGGAGCATTTTGGATCTATAGTCTGTCTATACTTCATTGGCACCAGCAGTGAAGTCTTGGACTAACTTTGCAGCTTTCTTTTGGTACCTATATATTGTTATAAAATATAAAATAATCAAATATATCACTTCTTCATTTATTGTTATAGCAGAACTTTGCGGTATAAATAACCTCAAGCTTCGAAAAATCCAAATCAGATATAAAGTAGAAAGAAGGTAAAAAAGCTTACTATCCATAAAGAAGAAAAATCATAGATAACACACAGCAGATAAACAATGTTGATAATGCGAGAGGCCGAGATAATATCAACAAATTGATCAGTGCACCTATCCCCTGAATATAGAAAAACTGTAACTTAGACTAGACTATTAAAAAAATCAAATGCACATTTGGGGGAGGGGAAGGGTAAGAACCACAACCTGAAGAACATTGCGTAAGATCAAACTAATATCATTCGCAATAACAAGAGATAATCGTTGACAATCTGCCCCAAGTCTGCTTGTCAAATCACCAACTGCTTCTCTGTCGAAAAAGGATATATCCTACATCAAAGATTACACCAAAATAGAGTACAGAATTGAATAAAATTGGAGATCAAGCAAGTCAACATTGCTTTAAATAAATTTGTTGACAATTGGCACACCCAATTGTTGCAATTACTAAATGAAACACAAACTTGGAAAAGAAGAACTGAGTAAAGAGTTTCCCTGAGATGTTTCATCTGCATTATGATGTTTCGAGCAGCAGATGGTGTATAAAGAAATTAGATAACAATCCCGGAAATAAAAAAATAGATAAAACCATGCTTTCAAACAGAGAAAGCACAAATGCACAAATCTTCTGGGCACAAACTTTCAACAAAATCACAATCTTTTGCATTTGATTTCTGTGAACAGTGCCTTTTCCATTTACGAACTTTCAACAAAGTCATAATCTTCTGGGCACAAAACAAATCCTAACCAATTTCAAAGCAACCTCTAAACCCTAAAACCCTAAACCAATTTCATAAAAATCTATACACTATAAACTAAATTCACAAAAACCCCAAATTTCTAAGAAAAGGAACGTGAACAGTACCTCGTGGATGTGAACTATGGAGTTAAGCTTGGATGGCTGAGGGAGTGGCTAAGCTTTTATTTTTCTGGGTTGGACTTGTAAGACCAGATAACCCTAGATAGGGGATAAAGATTGAGTTTTTTTGTTGAGAAATTGACACAGGGATGGATTTCGCGAGAGTGGGAGAAACAGAGTGGTGGTGGTCATGGAGCGACGGTGGAGAGATAAAACGCTGAGAGAGGAAGAGAGAACGCAGACAGCCACTGTTGAGGGAGAAAGATGATTGTCGTCGAAGAGAGAGAGGTACATGAGGGAGAGAGACGGTCGAAGAGATAGAGCGAGTTAGAGAGAGAGAGCAATTTCTGAAAAACGATATGGGTACAATAAGTGGACAATAATTTTATATTTATAGGTTGTAGTTGTACAAAAATTAGGAAGGGATGGTATTTTTAGTTAAAATTAGCAAATGGGTGGCATTGGAGGTCATTTCCCAAAAAAAAAACCAATTTTTTATTTTTTTGGGTCAGAAGTGGATTTCATTAAAAACCCACAATAAAAGGACATAACAATACACCAAAAGGTGAGACCCAACCAACTGGGCTTATCAACAAAGCGAAAATGCCAAAGTCCCAAATAAAATGCAAAAGAACTAACACGAAGTTAAAAACCCAGAAGGCATTAAGCCCACATAAGCCCATACCAAGGCTAAGAAAGCTAACAAACCCTAACCAAAATTCAACTAAGCCGCCGCCGCCGCCATCACCTGAGACGACATCATCGGGACAAGTTGAAGGGAAGAGCTGCCACACCCAAGGGGCACAAAGTGAAAAAATGGCACGACCAACATATCCACCCAGGTACCTTATATTATTAGAGCACAACATTAACAGTATGCAAAAACCATTTTATTTAAGCACAACAAGATACCTCCTGAGTTACCAATAAAATCTGATGTTCATTCAATACCTCCTGAGTTACCAGTTGGGCAGCATCTGCAAAGGTTCATTCAGAGTGTGCATTTTCATGGCATACAGACACCTTACTTGTCTGTTTTCAGTACATTATCTGACACAGCAATTGAAATAGCACAAAATTAGAGGAACACAAAATTACAGCATATCCTGCAAACTATACAAACAAGATGTAACAAGAGAATTACTCTCTCTCCTCCTACGTAATATAAGAACTAAATATGATGCACCACCAATGCATTGCTTGCTTTTCATCAAATTTGAAACTAGATGAGAGACAAGTATTATTAAACAATGATAGATAGATAGTGTCCTTCCGTAAGTCAGATTGACAAGTTTCAGAGCAAATTAAACAGTAGCTCAAAAGAAAAATGAAAAGAAAAGGTGACTTACTGAGATGAATTCTGAGGATTGACTATCATCGAATCGTCATTAGCTTTTCAAGTATTATTTTGAGACCTCATTGAATGATTGCACCATGCACAAAATAATTTAGACTTTCTTCAATCTTTTGCTGACTGGTTCATCATCCACATCAGAGCTACCAATTCCTTGTTCATCATCATCATCAGAGCTCCCAATTCCTCGTTCATAGTCATCATCAGAGCCATCACTTCCACTACTACCAATTGGACCTGCCTCGTCAACGTACATCAAACGGCTGAATTCTTCCAAATCTCTCTTGTACACCAAACGGGCCCTACATTCCTTTATAATCGAGCTTGTTTTAAGTTCTTCCAAACCTGTAATTGAAGAATAATGCGTTTCGAACGAAACCGATGACTGGTTGAGGCATCCGTGAGGCTTGGATGATTGCGAGGCAAATAAAAAACCCAAAGGTGTTCTGACAAAATCATCTCAGTAAGAAAGAATTGAGGGTCATTCAAATATCTCTGAGATGATCGAACTTCAATTTTGAAATACTCATATCCAAGAAGGGATGCAGGACTATCAAAATATTCAGAATCATCAAAAACAACACATAAAGCAATCCCAACCCAGTCGCTGCTATTTGATGGGAGAGGCAGCTCCACAGTTATTGAGTCTCCCACACTTGGATTACCAAACCACTCTAGAATTTCACATACAGGGCATACAATACAGCTCACTGGAGCAAAAGAATTACCATTATTTTTGAGGGCATTCGCTGTAACAAAAGAATTACCATTATTTTTTTTTGGTCGAAATTATATTTATTTATTTATTGGTCAAAAACTATAATATTCAACGAGAGAGTAAATACCTTAATGGCTGCTGTCCTTATCATTTCAAATATTGCATTAATCCAGTCTTCCTCTTCAACCAATTTGAAGCAATTACGACAAGTAAACCAAAAATCATACAAATTGGGTCCTGGCCTTGATGGATCCGGCAACCTTTTTAAGGATATACAATCGTCTACATCTACCATTTCTATATTTGGAGGAAGATCTGGCAATCGCTCAAGCCTTTCGCACCCTATCAATCCAAGAAAATCAAGCTTGGAAAGGAATCTAATGCTTGAGGGAAGGCTAACGAAATCGTTGTCACAAAGCATCAGGTTTGTAAAGAAGACAAGCGGCAAATATCATCAAGGATGGCTCCTTCATCAATATTACAACCACTCAAGTCTAAAGTTTCCAAAGACGTGAAACATTTTAGAGAAGATAACAGCATTTTGTTAATTTTGGTGCAGTTTCTCAAATCCAGCTCTTTAAGGCCGACAAGGCGTCCAATTGATGGAGGTATCTGCTCAATAGCAATCCCATATAAACAAAGATGGGACAAATTATTCAGCTGTTCCACAATCTTCGAATGTTTTTCACTTTTGAGCAGCCAAAGAGACTAAACCATTCAAGAGAATCCATTTCCACCACACTTGGGAGACTCTTAATACTTCCACATCCCTCAAGTATCAAATATTTTAGCTTTTTGAGAACTGCAAAAGACCAGTGAACCTCAACTAATTCTTACAATATCGTAGCCGCAAAATCTCAAGATTTGGAACGCCTGTGAAATCCGGGGTACTTGTCAATTGATCAGAGTAACTAAGGTCCATACATTTCAAGTTTGGCAAGACCTGTACAATACATAAAAATTGTAAAATAATAATTTAAAATTTACTTAGTTGAACAAGTTACAATTATAACCAAATTGTGTATATATAAAAGAATTCTAAACGCCATATTTCAATAATCTCTCACCTTTGCTCCATCCCAAAGCTGTAAAGTTTGCTACGACGCATCTCTAGTTCAACAAGGAAACGTGGTTCAAACTGATGGGAGTGATTTAGAAGGGTACCAATTCCACCTGATAGTTCTTAAGGAATTTGGAAGATCTTTTGGGGGCTGAAGAAACGATCACATTATCAAAGTGAAGAAGCCTTAATCTGTGCATCTTAAGGAAGGCTTCAGTACAATTCCAATTCACCTCTTCTAATTTCGGCAAACGCAAGCCAATGGCTTCAATTGCTCCGGTTCCCTAATAATTAAAAAAAAATGAAAAGGTAATTGCACATTCAAGTCTAATATCTTTTTAAAAGAAATGGCATATATTTTCTTCCAAACATAATATTTCTATATAACTTCTTACCGTATTGTTCATGATTACATGAGAGATATCATCGCGAAGCCACAAACGACTGCGTTGACCAGGCTCTTGGATAGACTCTTGACGAACAATTTCCCATGCCATTTCTTGTACAAGATCATGCATCTCAACCCTGTTGTCAGAAAGGTTGTTTTTTATAGTAAAGAGAGACTTCTCAATAAGAATATCTATCACAAAGAGACTGGAAATGTCATGGTTCTTGTCAAGTATTTCAATTACATGCTCTTTATGCTTCCCTTTATGGAAACATGCAACATCGAGAAAAAATTTCTTTTCTATCTCTTCTAGTCCATCATAACTTACTTTGAGTGAGTGAAAAATTGTTGGATTAGGAATTTTCTCTAGATTATTCAACGCACTTTTCCATGTACATTGATCTCTCCTATACAAAGAACTCCCCAAAGTTTTAAGAGCTAATGGAAGACCTTTGGCATATTGTAGGAAACGCTTAGATAATTCCAAGAAACCTTCCTGAGGCTGACTTTTCTTGAAGGCCTTTTGACTGAACAGCTCAAGAGCTTCATCATCATTAATACCTTGACCTCATATGGTATCGATATACCATGTTCAACTAGTAGACGTTCATTTCTAGTTGTGATGACAATTCTACTCCCCAAACGAAACCAATTTTTATCTCCAACCAGTGTTTCGAGTTGTTTCAATTGATCCACATCATCAAGGACGATAAGGACCTTTTTATTGCATAAACATTTCTAGTGAAAGAGATTCCTGACCGTTCATCTGTAACTTGGATAATATTTTCCTTTAAGATTGGGGAAAGAAGTTGTTTTTGTAGATCAACTAGAGTACCATGTTTTGCAGAAACCTCTCTCACATTAGATAGAAACGAGCTCAGTTCAAAATTATGGGAAATTCTTTCAAAAACTAGGTTAGCAAGGGTTGTTTTGCCTAACCCACCCATCCCCCATATCCCTATAAAGCGAACGTCATTTGCCTCGAGGTCTAATTGTAAACGTAGTTTCTCAAGGGCAAAATCAATTCCGACTAACTTCTCTTGAGAATCTAACAACCTATATGGAGTAACTTTGGTCCACACACGTTTGACAACGACTTTGATAAGCTCTCTTTCAGACCTACAAGGAAGAAAAACTAACTATCAGGAGGGTACACATTACATATAATTAACAAGGTGTTGAATCAAAGGAAGAACTAAAACTTAGCATCCAAGTAAAGCTCTCTAAATTTGTTAAGAAATGGGCACGTTTCATGCATGCATACTTACTGATAATTCTTTGAATCCAACCCAGAGAGATTGGAAACTTCTTTTAAGCATCTCTCCACCGCTTCACCTTGTCTACATCTTCACTGAACTTTTCTTCATGCTTCGTGAATGCTTCCGTAAAACTCCCCCTTTGATTTCGCACATCGGAAGGATCAACCTCAAAAAATATTGGTATAATTCTCTTGCTGTCTTTCATGCATTCAAGAATCTTTGAAAGTTCATCCAAGCACCAGGTGGAAGAAGCGTAATTTGGGGAGAGAATAATGATGGCAAGATGTGATTGTCCGATTGCGGTCAACAGCTCCAGAGAAATACTTGCTCCTATTTCAAGGTCTCGGTCGTCCTTGAAAGTTTTTATTGCTTGCCAGTACTGCAGTTCGTGGTATAAATGAGATATAAAACCCCTGCGAGTGTCCTCTCCCCTGAAACTCAAAAACACATCATGCTTCCAATGTGGGGGAGCCGATTCAGCTGAAGTACGAGATGTAGAGGCTCTCTGGGTGCTGAAGGCCATTGGAAAAGAAAATAAGTCCCTAGAAATCTGGTTCTGCAAACTCTCAGAAAATACTAAATACGAAAGTTGTAGGAATAGATGAAAAACAGTGGGGAAATAAAGGAAGAGGGGGAGAGAGAGAGAGAGAGAGAGAGAGACAAAGAGAGATGGAAACTATGTCGCATGGTGGTGTGTTAACCAAAGAAAACTGCACACGGTTTCAATTGGAATCTAATTGTATATGCAATAATGAATTGAGCCGGAGATAAGTTAGATGTCTACTAAAATAATCTTGCACAACCAAATTTCGCGATGATCACCATAGCACAAGCCATAAAATAATAAAACCAATGAACCTCTCAAGAAGAGAACAAAGAGACTGGCAAGAAACTAAGAATTGAGGAAATCCCCAAGAAAGAGCTGAACACGCCCAATACCAAAGAGTAATAAACTTCCAAGCAAGTTCCCAACTCTTTGTTTAGAAGAATATTCCCACCTAACTGGCCATCCAGCCGGTTCATCACCATGAGGACCTCTTCCAATGTTAATGAGAACCACCCTTTGGACCCAAAGCATCGATGACTTCAAAATCGACAATGTCAAGGCCTTAACATTCCTCTAAAAACTCACCAAAGCATCCCTTGAAGTTGATGATCCACAAAAGGATAGATATTTCTGATGTTTCATAAAAACAAGCAGCTCTCTCATAGCACTTTCACTTAATTCAAGCTCTCTAAACACACCACCTCCCCTGGCAGCTTGACAAGTTTGACTTGAGGATCTTTGCATGAATATTTGACTCGAGAGACTTTTGTGACTGTACATACCCTCTACAGTGAGGCCAACCAGACCTTCAATTGATGAAGGAATTTTCTCAACAGCAGTACCTTTTAAAATGAGCTTGAACAAATTTTGCATATGTCCCTCAAATTCTAGAAGCTTTTTCACTTTTGAGCAGCCACAGAGTGCGAAAATAGTGAGATTTCTCAATAAGAATATCTATCAATGCGACTAGAAATGTCGTTGTTCTTGTCTAGTATTTCAATTACATCCTCTTTATGCTGCCCTTTATGGAAACATGCAACATGGAGAAAAAATTTCTTCTCCATCTCTTTTAGTCCGTAATAACTTACTTTGAGTGAATCAAAAATTTCTGGATCATGAATTTTCTTTAGATTATACAACACACTATTCCATGTATCTTGATAACTCCTATAACTCCCCAAAGTTTTAAGAGCTAAAGGAATGCCTTTCGCATAATGATGGAGAACAAATGGCTGAATGGATTGAAGAAGAATTGGAGTGAAGAAGGGAAAAAGGACGCAGCAGGAATTTATAGATTTGGCGTCTGAGCTCCGATTGGGTCGCATAATACCATATGGAAAAGGGAACGACGACATGAGTCCAACTCACTGTTTTACTGTGGCATAAGGTGGATTTTGGGCGTTTGGGCTTTCAAAAGTGCATTTAAAGATTGTATTCAATTTACAGACTTTCTGTTCATTTTCTGTTAAGCTTTCAATAACTCCCCAGGGCAATCCAATGGGTGAGAACGATGTATTTAATCAGCTGTCATGCTTGGCTCAACTAAACTCATCTTTTATCAAATAATACAAATAGTGAGAATTTTTTCTCTAATTTTTTGGTGGATCTCAGGTTTATGTTCTTTTTTATAGGTTACAGTTGTAACCTATTTGCTTGTGTTGCGTCACATAATGTAGGAAACACTTACACAATTCCTAGAGACGTTTTCCAAGCTAAGTTTACCTGAAGGTGTTTTAATTGAAGAGCTCAAGACCTTCATCATCATTTAATACCTTGACCTCATATGGTATGTTACACCATGTTCACCTAGTAGACGTTCATTTCTAGTTATGATGACAATTCTACTCCCCAAACCAAACCAATTTTTCTCTCCAACCAGTGTTTCAAGTTGTTTTAATTGATCCACATCATCAAGGACGATAAGAACCTTTTTATTGCATAAACATTTTTTTTGTAAAAGAAATTCCTTACCATTCATCCGTAACTTGGATAATATTTTCCTTTTAATATTGGAAAAAGAAGTTGTCTTTGTAGATCAACTAGAGTACCAAGTTTTGCAGAAACCTCTCTCATCACATTAGATAGAAACGACCTAAGTTCATAGTAATAGTAAAATGACGTTGAGGAACAAATTTTGCATATGTCCCTCAACTAGAGTACCAAGGATTATGAACAGTGGCTTGCCCTTTTACCCTTGAGCTATGTTCCCACACCCTTCCCTTCATCCCAGCCATCTCTTTCTCTCTCCTCGACTATTTTCCTCTCTCTACGCCGATGCCACTGTCATCATCAAAAGCACCGACCCGCCCCCACCCTTTCCAACGGACGGTTCTGATGCCTCACTAGTTGGATCTCCCGATTGCACCTCCTTTGAGATTCAACGACAGTCGTCCAACGATGACATGATCAATCGTCTAGGAGTCTCGGCAGTCTTTGCTGTGTGAAAAAAAAAAAAAAAAAAAAAAAAAAAAAAAAAAAAAAAAATTATTAAGCAGGCAAGATCTCTGTGTCTCTCTCTATTTGAGCATGTGGATAATGAACCCTGGGAGCTTAATATCTATTTGCGTCTAAAAGGAAATATGAGCTGATATTCTGAACTAATCAACCAGTCTCTCACCTGGAAGGTAAAGATGGTTGCTTCAATATAAGATCATTCAAACAAAAAATCAAATTTAACACTGTATAAAATATGTAGAAACCTACTTACCCTATCTTTGTTTGCTAAGTAAAAGCAAGAAAAAAAGAAAGAAAATTTCAACTTTTTAAACATTTTAGTATTGTTTTGTGGGTAGGAGTTCACGAATTATGCTTATAAGAGTGTTTGAGGCCGCCCACTTAATAACATTGGTACCTTTTATTGAAATCACTTGGGTTTTTGTGGAAACTCAAGGACATAAAGGCAAAAGTTAGAGTCTTTGTTCTATAATTATGTTGGATTGGAAATTTGGTGCCTTTGTTCTTTCTTGCATGTGCTTGGAATTACAACGAAAATTTCCTTTTATTCTTTTTTGTTGTCGAAGGGTTTAAGCATGAGGACAAAGGTGATTTTGCAACCTCACCAAAGCATTTTAGCTAAGAACGATATATGCTCGAATTGCTCATTTGGACCACTGCGTCAATTAAGGCAATTCCTGCTCCAGCTGCAACCAGTGATTCCTGGAACGTCTACATTATTAACACCATTGTTAGAAAATCAGAATGGAAAGACACAAGAAAAAGGACATTGAAATGTCTTAACTACCACTTACATCAACAGTTGCGTATGTTGGCCCAGAGCCTTCAATCAAAATAATTCCCTGTTTTAAGGCTTGATCCATAGCCTATAAATTGGATTGGGGGTGTTAGAGAGAGGCATAGAGAAATATGATAAATCTATGGACCTAGCCACAAAGAAAGAGAAATATTCCAGCACCAACAGATTTCCAATGCTTGCCTTCTCAATACTGCATTTCACTCATAACAATCAGACAAAACAACACCATGTGTGAGAGAAGGGTGAGATCATGTAAGGACCTGAACTAAGGGATGTCGTCCAGCCTCCAACAAATTGTTTTAGTAGAGTAACTTGTGTTGAGTCAATTGAGGAATCTAAGCCAGCATGTAAAGAACTTTACCATGATTTTATGGAGTTCTACATGGGTCCAATCATTTAATGTAATATTAAGTTCTAGCAGTTAAAAGGGAGGATTATAGCTTTTTAATGCTCCTCAAGAATATGATGAGTGCATACGCTCAACATAAAAGCATGGTATTTTACAAAAATAATGCCAAAGTGCAGTGCAACTACAACTTCCAGGACAAAATAGACAATCGCATAACAAAACAGGAAACACCTTCATAGATTGCAAAATTTCAAGGAATGTGCAGGGTACAGTGTGTTTTAAAAAATTATGGATGGAACATGAAAATGAATCTTTGCAATGACCCCTCCTCCAAAACATAAAATAACCACTAGCAGCAGTAAACAAAAAAACTTCTTTTCACCCTTAATTGTACCAATTGTGATGAGGACATCTTTGTCAAACCCATTAGGGTTTACAAATGAAAGAGATGGAAGAGGGAATTATTAATTAGTTTCCTAATTTATTTGTTAATTCCTAGGTTCTCTAAGTTTTCCAAATTTCATTAGGATTTTTAGTTTTTCCAGATTTCAGTAGGATTTCTAAGTTTCCTATTTTATTTGGATTAGGATTTCTTTCCTAGAATAAGTTTATTTTTCCTTTTCACTCTAGGGTTAAATTATTATAAATACCCCGTCTATGTAATTCATTATGGAGTTGAGTTGTTGAGATATAAAGAAAAGTTTATTTTCCAGAGATGGGAAACTACTTGGTCTGAAGCCAAACCCCTGGAGTGATTCCAGACCTATCCCTTTTGTTCTATTTTCTATTTTCCATTGTTTTCGCTTATGCTAAATTACCTAAAGACTGCATTCACCCATATCCTACATCAAGTTGTTTAGCACAAATACAATCCAAGAGAGGAACAAGTCGGTGGGGTGGTGAAAAGGAGGGCCAAAAACGAGAAGAGGATTGAAAACAAACCAAACAAAAAAATAAAAATTTTGATGGTTACTTTTGTTACCTTCTCAAGGCCTAATACATAGGCTCTTGTATGAACACTTGCAATGTCATTTGATGATGCTGCGTTGAAATTTTCAAGTTCAATAACCTCCAAGCCACGGAACTGAGTTATAAGACAAAAGATGATTAAACAATTGGGAATTTTATTGCTTCATATGTAAACCAGCAAATAGAACTTGAATTGGAGGGCTAATGGACTTTTTCAATAGAGAACTTGCTTATTTATCCACTGCCAATGCCAATGCCTATTTTATCTATCCACTGTGGTAGTCAAGCAACCCTATCAAGTGCTTATTTCCAAGTGTACAACGGATATTCATGGAATATTGGCTTGACATATAGTTTTGTGAGGCAAAAAAAAGTATAAAATAGTTTTGTGAGGACATATCAAAAATTGGCAGCTGCATCAACTAAATGAATTGCAAGGGATTTGGTGTGGAAAAAAAACAAAGGGGATGAGGCTAAATTCCATTTCAATACTTACTCAACAGCTAAAACATCAATCAAGTCCTCTAATTACAATGAGTAGCGTACATCATATGTAGTGATTGAAAGGTAAAAGTTCCCAGTACCTCTAATCTATTGGGGAGGTTGAGTTATGGCTGCTAATAGGCATGGTTACAGGGGTACTTAATGCCTGCCTATACAAGTTTGATAACAAACTGCAGGCTTATAAAGCCTTTTACAAAGAGATAAAATCAAAATAACAGCCCACGTTTGCAACACCTTAAAATGTGGTAACAGACTAATAGGAATTTGTTAAAAACACAAACAACTAGTCCCTAAAGGATAGGACTTATTAACAGACTGATTAACTAAAAGATTTGAATAATAAACCGTTAACTCTAATAGTCTTATCATTCCCTCCCTTAAACTGTATGCAGAACACATTCAGTTTATATTAGGAACTTCACACACGCCCAACAAACTACAAAGCTTCAAAAACACCTCCAACCTGAGCGGCTTCGTCATAATGTTAGCTACCTGGTCTTGAGTATTACAGTGACTCAAATCAATCACACCATCTTTTACCAGGTCACGAAGAAAATGAAACCTGATGTCAATGTGCTTGCTTATGCCGTGAAGAACAGGATTCTTGGAGAGTTTTATAGTTGAACTGTTATCACACAGAATTGTAGTGCATTTCTCCTATACATAACCAAGCTTCTCTAAAACTCTTCTTAACCAAACACACTGACAAGCGCATGAGGCAGCAGCGATGTACTCTGCTTTAGTGGTGGATAATCTAACCATAGGCTGTTTTTTGGATGACCATGACACTGCTCCAGAACTAAACATGAACACACTCCTCGAAGTACTCTTGCGATCATCTACATCTCCAACAAAATCACTATCTGAATAGGCTATGAGTTGCTTACAGCCTCCTTTCTTGTCACTACTACAAAAAGTGAAAAAGACGACCAGAAAAACACGACGGTCTAAGTGAAAACCGTCGTTGTTTTTTAAAAGACGACGGTTTTATAAAACCGCCGTGTAATAACACATTAGACAACTAAAAATGGAGTTTCAAATGGCTGTTCCTAAAACACGACGTACTTAATTAAAAAACCGACGTCTTATTGAAATAGGATTTTCAAGAGGTAAAATCATAGCCAACAAATAACGGCGGAAGTTATGAACCGACCGACGTAGAAAGTAAAGACGACGGTTTCAAAAAAAGCCGTCGTTTTTACCCAGAAATTAACACGACCAAGTTTTCGTATAAGGCGCCGTATAATTACAAATAAATCCACGGCGGTAAAATACAAAATACCGCCGTATTAAATTAATGTACAACTACGGCAAAGGTAAATATAACGACGTCTTTCTCGTATTTCTACGACGACATCTTTAAATCTTACCAAGTTGGGGTTTTCATTTAACGACGTATTATACAATTTAACGTCGTATTTGTCCACTTTATACGTCATACATTATATTTAAACCGTCGTCTGAATAAGAATTTTTTTTAACAATTTATTTCTTGGATTTTGTTATCCTACGTCGGTAGATCTACTTAACGACAAGAATTGAAATAACCACGACGGTTTATATAGAAAACCGCCGACATAATCAGATTATTCTGAGATCACAAGGGTTAGGAAATCTTACAAGATGGAACTCTGTTGCTCATCATAATCTTACCAGAAAGACAATATTTTAGAGGTTAATGATGTATGTGTATTTGTGTCTTTGAGATACACAAACGCACATACACATTAACATCCAAAAAATTGCTTCTGAAATTTGACGACGGCAGCCTCAGATTTGCAATCAGAGAGACAATTTTTTGGAAGTTGATGATATGTGTGCGTTTGTGTATCTACACAAACGCACGCACACATCAACATCCAAACAATTGCCTCCTAAAATTTCACGACGGCAGCCACAGATTTGCAATCAGAGAGACAATTTTTTGGAAGTGAATGATGTATGTGCGTTTGTGTATCTACACAAACGCACACACACATTCACATCCAAACAATTGACTCCTAAAACTTCACGACGGCAGCCACAGATTTGCAATTAGAGAGACAATTTATTGAAAATTGGTGATTTGCAATTAGATTTGCAATCAGCCACAGATAACCAACATTCAAACAATTGCCTCCCAAGAGATGAGGTGAGACAGAGAAAGGGGCAAGAAGAAGTTGAAACCCTAATCGAATACAAAAACTGAAAGAACCCGTGGAAAAAAACCCTATTTATAATTAAAAAACCAAATCCACGTCGGTAATATTACACATAACGACGTTTAACAAAAATAATCCTCGTCGGTAACAAATACATTACGTCGTTTTATTCTTACTTAAGACGACAAGAAACGACGACGGTATAACAAAAACAGTCGTTGTTTTATATTTTTATTTGATTTAAATCAGTTACCTAGAAAAGAAACTTTACAAATTCTAGAACATTAATTTCCTTGGGAAAAAAAACTATATCTATAAGGCACTGTTTTTGAAAAATAAACTATAAGAAAAAGGGGAAAAAAATTATAGTTATAATAAAAAAAATAAAATCCACGTCGGTTATATTACACATAACGACGTTTAAAAACGAATCCACGTCGTGAAAAAATAATACGTCGTTTTAGTTTAGTGTTATCCACGTCGGTATATTACAATAAAACGACGTATATTATAAAAATAAACGTCGTAAATTTAAAACAACCGTCGTGTTAAATATTTCTACCATGACGCGAGATATTGAGTTATCGACTTTTATTTAGGAGTTTACTACGGCGGTACCTACAACACTACTGTCGTATTTATGTACCACGTCATAAGTTCAAATTAACGTCGTAGTTTGTCTATTAATACGTCGTCGTTCTATGTAAACCGCCGTCTTATTACTATGAAACGGTTTGTATACATATACAACTTTTCGTCTACCTGACTTACACATGCACTGTTTCCAAACCCGAGAAAAAATTTCAATCTCCCAGAGAAAACTTTTCGTCTTTTTTCCTTGTCAGAGCACTGTCAGAGTATCTCATCGTCTTCCTCTTGTCTTCGTCGTCGCCTCTGAACTTAAACACCAAAATCCGAGAGGAAGCTTTCATTGCACGCAAAAGGTAAGCTTTCATTTCTCACTATTTTTGTTGCTATTTTGCATGCTCATACTGTTTTTGTTTTGAAAATCTTTTTACCTTTTTTCTGGCGAAAATCATTTTTATTCTTTCCAAGTTTGATAAAATACACAGACAGAGAGGGAAAGTTTCAACTTTGAACACAACTAATTCAACTAAATAAGACGACGGTAGCTTTGTATTTACGTGGTTAAATATGTAGACCACGACGGTTCGTCAGTCGTCCTAGCGTCGTCTTAAAATTGATCTAAGTTGTTTTTAAAATGACGGTCAATTTTTTATTTGCTTGTTTAGTTGCAGGTTTGATTTCTCTGAACCATGGTTTTCGTTTTTCCTAATTTGATAAAATACAGAGACAAAGAAAGTAGGGTTTGGTATCTTATATAGACGACGGTATCTTATTATTGACGCCGTGTGAATGTTCATACCACGACGTTATACTAAGATACCGTCGTCTATAAAAAGATGCCAAAGCTTTTTTTCTTTGTATTTTATCAAATTAGGAAAAACAAAAACCATGTTTCAGAGAAATTAAACCTGCAATCAAACATTCACAGAGAAAGAAAAATGTTTTTGGTTTCTTATAAATACGACGGTAGCTTATTATTCACGTCGTGTGAATATCCATAACACGACGTTATATTAATATTTACGTCGTGTTAATATGAATATCACGACGTCGTGTAAATATCGCCGTAATAAGTTCTTATTACGTCTTATTTAATATTGTTTCGTCGTTGTTTAAACATTTATATTGTTTCTTCTTTAAACATTTATTACGTCTGGTGTTATGTTATTACGTCGTGTAAAATCTTATCATACGTCGTAGTTTATAAATAACCGTTGTTTGTGTTCTAATTTTTTCCCGAAATATTTTCACTTGCAGGTTTGTTTATTCTGTAACCATGGTTTCTCAAGACCAAAGTAAGTACTCTGGCTCCAAAAAAATGGAGGTAAGGAGCTTGGAATGGTAACTCCTCAAGACAAGCCCTTGAAGAAGATGAAGTTTGTTTCATCTGCTGAGACAGAACCAAGCAGCACGACAACAATTTCTGAGGATTCAAAGTCAGGTCGAGGTATGAGCACAATGCCTCTTGTTGTGAAGAGAAAATTGCAAAAAATCAAGCCAGTTGTTGAGTACAATAAAGGGGGGAAAGGATGTGGCCCTGCACATACTGAGATGCAGTCCTACATTGGTGTGTTGGCACGCTCCAGAGTCCCACTTGTGGACAAGAAATGGGCTGAAATCCCCAATGATATAAAGGAGCAGATTTGGGAAGCCGTTGACATGGCTTTTGTGGTAGGTCAAGGGGGCAAGACCTCGGTGTTATCTTCTGCTGCCAAGAAATGGAAGGATTTCAAGTCTACACTGACGAGGCATTATATCCTTCCATACATCAAGGAGAGGGAGAAATTAAGCCAACCCCCTGAAGTATATAAATTCATAGAGAAAGCAGAATGGGATGCCTTTGTAGCTTCAAGGTTATCCAAAGAATTTGAGTCTGTGCATTCTCAACATTCACAGATTAGGGAGAAACTTGAGTACAATCATCGATTGTCTCGAAAAGGATATGCTGGTTTGGAGGATCAATTGGAGGAAACCATGCCTGGGGTAGAAATTGATCGATCTACCTTATGGAAGAAAGCTAGACAGGACAAACATGGTAACATCCCGGATCCAAAGGTGGCAGAGAAAGCAAAATTAATTGTAAGCCTACACACTCTGTTTTAAATTTTTATTAAACTGTGTATAATTCTTATTACGTCTTATGTTATATTTTTCCGTCGTGTGAATGATTTTACTACGTCGAAATATTTTAAAAAACGTCGTGAAAGATCTAAATCTGGAATCACAACTCTGTTTTCTGTAATTATAGCATAAGACGTCGGTGGTTAATTTTTTTCGTCGTGTTAATGTTATTACTACGTCGAAATGTTTTCAAAAACGTCGTGAAAGATCTAAATCTGGAATCACAACTCTGTTTTCTGTAATTACAGCATAAGACGTCGGTGGTTTATTTATTGCGTCGTTTTAAACAACTAACCACGTCGGTTTTAATTAACGTCGTTATAAATATATTATAACGTCGATTTCTATATTGGTGCGTCGTGTGAAATTATATAATGCGTCGTTTGTTTATAAATAACCGTCGTGTGTTTTCTTGTGCTGACTTTTTTGTATGTCTTTGTTTTAGGATGAATTGCAAAAACAAGTGGCTGAAGGCAGTCTGAGTTTATTTGGCAGTAATGATGTGTTGACCTTGGCTTTGGGTCCCGAGCATCCAGGGAGAGTAAGAGGGGTAGGTGCTGGGATTTCCCCTAGGCAATTCTTCAATTTACCTAGACCACAGAGGGTAAAGTTTGCTGATCAATTGAAGGAAAGTGTAAGAATTGTCCTTCAAGAAGAGACTAAGAAGATGGAAGCTAGAACCAAACAATTAGTAGAGGCTGAGAGGGAACATTTACTAAGTCAGCTTTCCCACCTCATCCCCAATTTTGATCCAAGCATGCTTAAACCGAAAACTAGCCCTTGTCAAAACCAAGGTCTACAGCAAAGTCCCAAAAATCCAATGTCTGATAAAGCAAGCTGTTCTGGGGCTGAAGGGAGATCCCTACATTTAGAGGATGATACTGCCAGAAATGGGGAACAGCAGGAAGAAACGGTAACATAACTGAACTTTGAATTCTCTGTTTTTTTTTAAACATTAGACGTCGTTATTATGAATAAACCCGTCGTTTTAAAAACATACCACGACGATTTTATAAATAACCCGTCGTGTTTATTTAAATATCACGTCGTATTTAGTTTACTTGTTTTACACGCCATTAGACGTCGTACTTTGTGGTTTTTAGACGACGGTTTTATTCCTTAACGACGTAATATACAATTACCACGACGTTTATTATTTACCATCGTTTAATAATTTTAAGACGTCCATAATTCTTACATACCGTCTTATGTTATGCCTTACCACGACGTTTTGGTTTAATTTTTTTACTCTCTGTACAATCTGTCTTATATATATATTTCTTTATTATTTAAAACAGAAATCTGGGGCTTTAGATAATCAAGATGAAGAGAAGAAAGAAGAAAATAAAGATGAACAGAAGATGGGAGAAAAAAAAGATGAAGGGAAGAAGGAAGAAAAAAAAAGAAAAAAGATGAAGGCAAAAAGGAAGACACAAATGATGAAGAGAAGAAAGAAGAAAAACAAGATGAAGAAAAGCATGACGAGGAGGTATATTCTCATAACTTTGCCTTTTTAATTTGTTTTTCACATTTCAGACGTCGATATTTTTCTTTAAACCGTTGTTTGTTTTCACATTAGACGTCGGAATTTATTTTCTACGACGTAATAAATTATCTAAAACGACGGTATTTAATTACCGTCGTTTAAATTATAATCAGACGACGTTTTTTAATTTAAACCGTCGTTTTTAATGAATTACCACGTCATTTTATTTTGCTTTATTTCTTTAAACAGGGTAATGAAGTAGTTGATTATTCAAATGTGGAGGTGCCATCTTCCTTACAATCCCTTTGTGGTTATGTGGAAACTACACTAAAGCCACAGGGGAAGATCATGACCTTCAACATTGAGAAGGAGGTGTTTGGTGCAGATCGAAGTACCTTCGTCTTGCATGAAGATATTACACAGTTTGCAGGCATGGAAGAAATTGGGGCTACTGTGGTTGCAGTATATATGAGGTTTGTCCTAATCAAATATCAAACATTATATCATAAGACGTCGGTTGTTTAATTATTGCGTCGTTTTAAACCACTAACCACGTCGTTCTTTTTTACCGTCGTGATAAATTAGTTATCACGTCTGTTTCTATTTCAGTTCGTCGTGTGAAATTGTATAATACGTCGTTTGTGTATAAATAACCGTCGTTTGTTTTATATATTTAGGTGCTTATATGATCTTTTGAGAGAAGCAAATATGTGCAGCATGGTTGGCTTTATCGACCCTGCTCAAGTTAGTGCCAACGCTGGGTCACTAACTGACAGATCACGAATTGTAGCCAGTCGACTTCAGAAAACAGATGGTGAACAGATTTTCATGATGCCTTACAATCCAGGGTTAGTCTCCTTAAAAGGATTTTGTTTGTATGATTTTCACTAATTGACCACTTATAAAACTGTTTAACTAATTCTGTGTCGTTTGAAACATCTAACCACGTCGGTTAATTATTTATTGAGTCGTTTGAAACAACTAACCACGTCGGTAGGTAATTATCGTCGTGATAAATTTATAATGACGTCGATGATTAAGTTATTACGTCGTGTGAAACTATATAATACGTCGGTTTTTATAAATAAACGTCGTTTGTTTTCTGGTGCTGACTTTTTATATTAACCGTCGTTTTTTATTTTATTTTTGTGCAGCCGTCATTGGGTCTTGCTGATTGTGAGGGCAAAGAGGGAAACCGTCTATTTTCTGGATCCTCTGCCTGGAAATCGTGTGGTTGATGAGGAGGGCAAAAACATCGTGAACAGTGCTTTAAAAATTTATAATTCCCACATAGGCAGACCAGGCCGTAAAGCACCAATTTGGAAAACTCTGCCAGGCACACCAAAGCAACCCAGCAGTGTCGAATGCGGGTATTATGTGATGCGCTTCATGAGGGACATCATCATGGATCCTTCCTTGGAGTTTGAGAAGAAGGTAAGAATAAAATTTTCAGAAACATTTTATGTGGTTTTTTGTATTATCAACGACGGTCATTTAAAATTACCGTCGTTGAATCGATAGACTACGTCGGTTATGAAAAAAAAACGTCGTCTGTGTCTGAATTTCTTTTTATTTTGTAAAGCTTAATAATCATTGTTTATGGATTGCAGTTTGCCAAGGGAAAAGATCAAGCGCCATACCCCCAAGCAGCCATTGATGAAGTCAGGAAAGAATGGGCAGAGTTTGTTTGCCTTCATATGGATTAGAGGATTTTTGGAACACTTGATATTTTTATATGTACTAATTTTGTCTATAATATATAATGTACAAATTTTGTCTATAATATACATCCTTTTTTTCCCTGAAAATTTGCTGGGGTTTTCATAATATAAAAGAAAAAACAAATTGCGTAACCGACGTGTAATAACTTTCCAACGACATAATTATGTAAAAAACCGACGTAAAATGATATTTAGACGTGATGGGACGTACATAAGACGTCGTTTTGATGACAATTTCGCCATGGTTTCGCTTTTAAACGACGTCCTTTTGAACAAGTAAGTCGTTTATTAGGGTTTAGGTTAATACCTTTTAACGACGGTGATTCGGTCGTGGAATATGTATTTTACGTCAGATGGTGAAACATCCGCCATGGTTTCTCTTTTAAACGACGTCCTTTTTACATGTGAGTCGTTTATTATTATTTACAACGTCGTGGTTTGTTGTTGATATAAGAATATTTTATTATTTTTAATTCAAAATTTTAAAAATAAATTTAAAATAAATTCAAAAAATTCAACTTCAACTCCTATGAAGTCATTGATATATTTTCTTCCCCCTAAAACCCAAAAAAATGCAGTTTGTGTAATAAAAGTTTAAAATGACCAACCAAAATAAAATTGTTTTGATGAGTCATAGCATCACTTATATAGTTTGATGGTTTAGGGTTTAGGGTTGTTATTTATTAGGGTTTATGGTTAAAGTATAATTTTTGGGGTTTAGGGTTTATGTTTGTTATTTATTAGGATGTAAAACCATAAACAATTTTATAAAATTAAATTTTACAAATATATAATTTATGGTTTTAAAGTTTAGGGTATTACTTTTAACGACGGTGATTGAGTCGTGGAATATTGAGTTTACGTCGTATGGTGAAAAATCCGACGTGGTTTCTCTTTTAAACGACGTTTTGTTTACACGTAAGTCGTTTATTATTATTTACAACGTCGTTAATTACTTAACTCCGACGTGGTTTTTCATAGTTTTAACGCCTTTTTTGATTTTGCGTGGTACATAGTTTTACCACGACGTCCTTAATGTAATAAGCGTCATGTTTAATGTTAAATTTTAACGACGCGTGTTTTTTCGGTCGATGTTTTAAAAAGCGCGCTTTCTTAAAATATTCGCGGGACCTAAAATTTTCAGATTTGGCTCTTATTTTTATACTTCTAACCTGAACCCTAAAATTTTCAGATTTCGCGCAACATAACATTTCGCTCTCTCACTTCATCTCTAATTCAAAGTTGGGCCAGGCTGTGTCAAATCCAATTTGGTCATAATCTGTGAGCTCTGCCAACCTGTAAGTACAAACCCTCTCTTCCCCTTGTAAATTCATTGAATGATATATGTTTTGCGATCTGTTAATAATGTTGTTGGAGGTATGGGTTCATGGATTTTCTGTTTAATGTTTTCTTGATCACTCTCTATTATGTTGAATATGGAATGGATTTCATTTATATGTTGGTTTCTTGCTTGGTTTCATGTCTATGTTGTGTTCTTAATGGGGTTTTGGGATCTTGAAAATAAACTGGATATCGACGCGTTTTCAGGCATACGACGACGGTTTTTACTTTAAACCGTCGTTTTTATTACTTATACACGACGGTGTTATTTAACTACCGTCGTGGTTATAATTAGACGACGTAAAATCCGTCGTCTATATATGTCAAATACGTCTGTTTTTGTTTAAAAACCGTCGTCTCTGTTGTATATTACTTGCTATTAGACTTTATATAATCTGCTATAGTGATGGTCATTGCTTGTCTTTTCACTTTATTATATATAATAGGGTATAGTGTCGAAGATGGATAAGTCATGGATGCACTCGGATAGAAGATCGAAGGCATATGAGTTAGGGGTGGAAGCATTTTTGAAATTTTCTGTAAAAATCTTCTAACTACCACACATATCCGTTGTCCATGTGTTAAATGTGTTAATTTGAAATTGTTTGGGGTTGGAATTATAAGGGATCACTTATACTTTAATGGAGTTGACCAAAGCTATAAGAATTGGACATTTCACGGAGAACCTTGGGAAGCAGCTACTAATGCTAGTAGAAATGTTGAAGAAGATGATGACCATAGTAGGTACAGTTTTGTGTCTGAAGAAATAGAGATGGATGATAATGATTTTGGTGATTTTGGATCTGATCCTTATGAGTTTGCCAATGTGATTGGGGATGGAGATCAACCATTGTACCCTGGTTGTAGAAAGTACACGAAGTTATCGGCATTAGTGAAGTTGTATAATTTGAAGGCAAAATATGGGATGAGTGATGTCTGTTTTACAGAATTATTGATACTTCAAGGCGATTTGCTTCCAGAAGGAAATACAATACCGGCCTCTATGTATGAGGCAAAAAAGACTTTGTGTGCATTGGGGCTGAGTTATGAGAAAATGCACGCATGCCCCAATGATTGCATCTTGTATAGGAAGGAGTATGAGGATTTAACTCATTGTCCTAATTGTGGTATCTCAAGGTGGAAGGAAGGCAAAGATTCAATCTTGAAAGAGGGTGTGCCAGCGAAGGTGGTGTGGTATTTTCCTCCAATTCCAAGGTTTAAAAGGATGTTTCGATCACATGAGACCGCTAAGAGTTTGACTTGGTATGCTGCTAGAAAATCAATTAATGGCTGTGCATGAAACGAAAGTTCATGATGTTGACCTTATTGATTTCCGGTCCTAAACAGCCCGGAAATGATATAGACGTCTACTTGGAGCCTTTGATTGATGATTTAAAATCTTTGTGGGATGGGATTGGAGGAGTGTATGATGCACATAATGGAGAATACTTTACACTCAGAGCTGCATTAATGTGGACAATTAATGATTTCCCCGCCTATGGAAACTTATCTGGTTGTGTTGTTAAAGGATATAAAGCTTGTCCAATATGCGGCGATGATACACCTAGTCACAGGTTGAAAAATGGCCACAAAATTTGTTACATTGGGCATAGAAAATGGTTACCGATCAATCATCCATATAGGAGGCAACGTGCAGCTTTTAATGCGAAACCTGAATATGGCACGCATCCTGAGCCATTAACCGGAGAAGAAGTGCTGCATATGGTTGAAGATGGTGACAGAGTTTGTTGGAAGAAGAAATCAATATTCTTTGATCTCGAGTATTGGAAATACCTTCCTGTGAGGCATGTCCTAGATGTTATGCACATTGAGAAGAATGTTTGCGATAGTATCATTGGTACATTGCTGGAGATCCCTGGAAAAAATAAAGATGGAATTGCTGCTCGATTAGATTTATTGAACATGGGGGTCAAAACTGATTTGCAACCCGAGTATGGAGAAAGACGTACTCGTTTGCCTCCCGGGCCTTGGAATTTGTCAAGAGCAGAGAAGAGAGAGGTTTGCAATTCTTTCTATGGTATGAAGGTCCCTGAAGGTTATTCTTCAAATATAAAAAATCTTGTATCTTTACAAGATTCAAGACTTCTTGGCCTTAAATCACATGATTGTCATACCTTAATGCAACAATTGCTCCCTGTGGCAATTCGTTCTGTTTTGGAGAAGCCTGCAAGGTATGCAATAACTCGTTTGTGCTTCTTCTTCAATGCTATATGTGCAAAGACTGTTGATGTTTCCAAGCTAGATAAGTTGGAAGAAGATGTAGTAGTTACTTTGTGTTTGCTTGAGAAGTACTTTCCCCCTTCATTCTTTGATATCATGGTTCATCTAGTAGTACATCTTGTCAGAGAAGTTCGTCTGTGTGGGCCAGTATATTTTAGATGGATGTATCTGTTTGAAAGATATATGAAAGTGCTAAAGGGGTATGTTCAGAATCGTACTCGTCCCGAAGGTTGCATTGCTGAGCGGTATATAGCTGAAGAAGCTGTAGAGTTTTGTACCGAGCATTTATCTGAAAGAAAACTGCGGTTTCTTTCCACACACACTTAGAATCAGGCCCCCTGTGATGGAGCTCTGATACCAATTGTTGAGAACACTCATAAGAAACTATAGCACACAACCTTGAATGAAAAGTTCTTATTCTCATTGATAACAAACTGCAGGCTTATAAAGCCTTTTACAAATAGATAAAATCAAAATAACAGCCCACGTTTGCAACACCCTAAAACGTGGTAACAGACTAATAGGAATTTGTTAAAAACACAAACAACTAGTCCCTAAAGGATAGGACTTATTAACAGACTGATTAACTAAAAGATTTGAATAATAAACCGTTAACTCTAACAGTCTTATCATTGAGATCATCAGCATTCAATTGCATTCGCTCTTCCAAGGACACCTTCGCAGCCTCCTGATCCTCCAGATCAGGGACGTTCGCAGTTGTTCTCATCCGCGTCGTTCTCCTTGGGTTCGTTCTCATTACCCCCAAAACTAGCACGCCTCTTCATCTCGAAAGCTATTTCTTCTTATCTTCTTTCATTAGCCTGTTCTGCGAGCCTTCGACTCTTCCTTTATGCCTTCCTCTTTCTCTTGTGGGAGGTCTCGTGTCAGGGGCCGGATAAAGCTGGAGCTCCAACCCATTTGAACTTTTTTTCCATGGTAACAAAGAGAGCATTGAGGAAAGAAACAGCGTGTTGCAGAAGCTCTGCTTTCGCTTTTGCTTTTATAATTAATGTAATACATTTCAAGTTGGCTGGACAAGATAATATTTTATTTTATTTGTATATTATTCATGAATTTTTTTATTATTATTCATACTAACCTCTCTGCACGCGCTTCCTCGCCTGCGAGAGTCCTTTTTTATAAAAAAATTAAATTTATTTTAGAATTAAAAAGATAATGGATAGTTGTGTTCCATAAAAATAGGATTTATTATCTGATTTTTCTTTTAATTTTAATTTTTTAAATACGAAAAAGTGTGAATTTACCATATTATCCTCATTTAATTAATATTTTTAATTCTTAATGTTTGCATTAACTAAGGGCATTTTATGGTATTTTGAATGTTTCACCATTCTCTGCCTTTTGCTTTATATATATATATATAGATACGAATAATATTTTATTTGTATATTGTTCATGTAAGTCTATTATATTAATATAGATAAAGTTTAATGTGGCAATATGCAATCACCACATGTTAGTCTGGGCGCATATTGGTTTTGAACGGTAGAGTGCTATTTCGTTAACCAAAGTGTTTGGTAGAACAATTTTTTCTTCTATTAATCGTGCCAAAGGTTTCGATACAATCGGATTTGATTAACCGTAAGTTTGATTCGGTACAATGGTAGTAATTTTAACAAATCATCTACGAAAAAACAAAACCCACCTACTAAATAATAAATAAAACTAGCCCTAGTAGCTAGCTCCCCCTTTTTTTTTTTAAGGTTAGTTGCAAGTAATATGGAGATATGAACAAGTGTAGGCTCTAGAGAGATCTACAGAAGCTGTATATAATAGGAAATACTGTACTCATTTCAATATGGTGGAAACATAGGAAATATACTTACAATGATTACAATTATCTCTGCCTCTTATTCTTTCATCCTTTCCTCCTAGATTTTTCACACAAATTCTTTTGTCATTATTAATTATTTACCCGTTTTTTCCTTTGGTCAGGAGAGTCAGAACTATATTAACATTTTCCACACATTATTTCACCACAGCAACAGTTTGATAGCATGGCACTGAGACTTGAGAAATTATCATTTTTAATTAGCACATTGGTAAAAGTAGCTATATGCAAGCTCTGTCCATTTTCAGACAAAACTACTTAATGAGATTATGTTCTAAATGTTTCATTTAGGCAGTTTACTTACCTGTTTTCAGATATCATGATTGTCATAGTCTCAAGCATTTGTACATTATCTGTTCATCCTGAAAACAATAAAACCTGACACAGCAATTTAAATAGTAGCCACTAATACATTGCTTGCTTTTCCTCATCATTAACTGAATTGAACAACTTATGGTTATAAACATATACAACAACTGTGCATCTCTTTACTTTTGGAAATGGTGGAAAACTATATAACTAAAATGTAATAAGAGAATAGCTCTCCTCCTACCTTATAGATGAAAAATAAAACATTACCTTGCACTCGAATTGAAACTTGTTGAATGCCATCATCAAAGTGTTGAAGAAAATGTGAACCTCCTATCATAATTTCACCACCACTAATTAATTAATGGGGTTTTATTATTTTAGGTTTGACCCATTTGAGATGTAGCATCTCTTAATTACAATCCCTTACTTCAAGGGAACACCCTTTGATTCCATCATAAAGAAACAAAACGTGTGTCTTTGGTTTTGCAGCTGCCCCTAAGTTGAACCTTAGGGTGCCTACGTATCCCCCTGCGGGATTCAAGCCACTTGTAGTTCAAAGAATTGCAATGAATAAATGACTCATTGGAAAAGAGGGAATTTGAATGAATTTGATTGAAAAAAAAAATTGTTTTAGTGAATTTAGCTGAATGAATCGGGGATTCGATTTTGATGTGTGTTTGGGGTGAATTTGGTTAATAATAAACCAGGGATTCAAATTTGGTTGTTGTTGCGTCTATTGGGATGCTAGGCTTCTTACGTACCCTTGATGGGATCAAACTGGCGTAGTTCTACAAAGATTTAATTTGCGTGGTTTTGTACCACTTGGGCTTCAATTTGATGATTTGAGAATTAGTGGGCACTTTTAGAATTTAAGCCCGTTAATCCATATTGATTCTCCTTTGGTATCTTCTGAAATTTAGCTTGATCATCGGGGCATGACCAATCATTTATTTGGATTGGAGTCACCGTCACAGCATGGTTGAGTCCCTTAGCACTCCTTTCTAAATAGCTTCTTTGCCACAGTGATTGATTCCTATATTTCTTGTTCGGATTTTGTGGGCATGTTTGATAGCCATCTTGCATTTGAGAATTGAGGCAGATAGACCTGAATGCCATACGCATTTCATTGAGCATCCTTGACCGTCAGTTGATTTAGTTTTTGTGAACCTTTGCTGACACTCTTTGCCACTTCCCAAATGTCATTGACAATGGAATTTTACTTCTGCCATGGTGACTTATCTTGCAAACTTGAGAGTGAATTGTCCATCTTTGCCATCATGGCTTTCTAAGTTAAATCAGAAACTTGAAGGCTTAATAAAGAACACCGCCAAGTCCCAGACCTTGTTTTGTTTTTATGGTGAGGCTTTGTTCATGCCTTTGATTTAGGAACAACTGCTAATTAACCACCATTTGCTTGCCGCGAGGAGAGAACAATTATTGATAATTTATTGGTCGAAGTTTGAAACTAAGGAGAGAACAATTATTGATAATTTTATTGGTCGAAGTTTGAAACTAAGTGTCCCCAGTTTTGACAACCTGCTAATTGTTGATTGCCCCTTTCCACTGATTCATGTGGGATGTGTTCATTCCATAAGACTTGACAATTTGGTTTGCCATCTGATGTGGACCAAATCTCCTTGGTTTTTTTTCAAATCGCCATGATACTTGAAAACCATTTAAAGATATTGGTAAATAGGCCAATCCTGCAGCAAAGTAACGAGCACCATTGTTTCCTTGCTGCTAGCAGCAAGAGTAATTTGAGCGAGTTGGACCCTTCAAGCTTTGGTTTGAGAATTTGGTCTTTTCACCAATTGGAATTTTTAATGGACAATCCCATTAGGCTTGAGACTTGTAATGAATGAGTCCATTGTATTTGAGGCCGTTGAGTCTTGGAATCTCGGCTTGAAACTGTCTCATGTTGAGAGAGAGATGCACATCAACTTTTAACTGGTCCCAATTAATTTTGAATTGGATTATTGTCTTCATGGTAGACATCTGCTTGCTAGGCCAACTTGTGGCTTTGTTGGTCTCATATTTAACTGACATCACGCAGCCTGGTGACAAAAACAAGTATGTGTTTACCGCAAACACATGTCCCATAATTTGATTAGAACACCCAAGCAAATTACTTAAACCAACTGCTTTCTCTTTGCTAGATTGGAACTCCCAAACCATTAAAGAAACAAACTCGTCCAAATAGGATTAGAGAATTCATGCTTCTTAATACTTTTGCAGATGGCATTGGAGATTTGCTTTGCAGGTTAAAGACTCAAGCGTGGAGGAGCTCCAGAGATGCTTTGTTTTAGATGCAAAATTTTTCCTTAATTGGTGGTGAGTCAAAATGGCGCTCATCTCCTTGAATTGAAGCTGCTTCTTTTTTTTTCTTTGTTTTTTTTTTTTTTTTTTTGTTTGTTTTGCTTCTGTAGCGTCATAGCCCCAGAAATTGATTTCTTTGTTTCTGACCTGAAGAAGAGCAAAGCTTTCTTCATTGTTCTCTTTTTTCGGTGGCAGAGTCCTTAAATTTTGATTCAAGGCTTTGCTTTTGATTCAAAGCCAAAAGTCATCACGTGGTGGGCCTTCTTGGATTTTCAGCCAACAACATTGGCTTGTAAAATCCCTTTCTGATGGTGTTGAGGCGAGTCCTTGATTTCAAGGACATGTTAGCTTGCCACATGCTATGAGAAGAATAAGTCATCTTGCTTTGTTTCTTTGATTTTTTGGACTTTCGTGTGGTGACTTCCACCACATCCCTCTTCTATTTTTTTTTCTTCTATTTTCCTCCTTCACAAGGAGGGCTTTGTTTTCTTTGATGTGCAAGACATCAATTTCCAACCACGATGATGTGCTTTGTCGTGAGCTTCAAACACAGGCTTGCAATTACCCTTTGAGTAATTACATGAATTCCTCTTTTGCTCTAGACTCCATGATGGAATCACCACATCATTGTCCATTCTTTCTTTCCTTTTGTTTGCAGCCAAGTGTCAGGGGATGACTTTTTCGGAGTCTTCCTTTCGTGCGGCCTTAGACTTGATCGCCTCTCGAAACAAGCTAAGTCAGCCTCCTTCCTACAACACAAGATCGAACCAAGCAAAGAACAATCGCAAGAGCAAGAACACAAAAGAATGCTAAAGAAAGTTTGGGAGAATATCTGCTTGTATTGCTACTCAAATGCTTTACAAGTTGTGAGGTGAGGATACACAATGTGTCATCCCCCTTATATACTATCCATATCCCACCTACCACCACAGTAGGTGGCTAAGATACAATGTCACCTACCAACATCTACCAACTACTGTCACCAACTGTAGTATACCAACTAGTATACAACGAATCTAGACATGTGGGCTAAGAGGTCTAGCATGATCAATCCAACGGGTTAGGCCTTGAACATGCGGGCCGTGACATTCTCCCCCACCTAATCCGGTGATGTCCTCGTCGCCGCGGTAGATCCTTCTCGTTCGAATGCTTTGATGATGTCTTTGTACTTCCACAAAGACTCTTCTTTCTCCCAGTTGCCTTCGGCCTCTGGCAGGCCCTTCCATTTGATGAAGTAATCAAAGTACCTCGGTACACCCTTGAGTCGCACCTCTCGCTTGGCCATGATGCACTCAACCTCCTTGTCAAATGAAGTCACCATCAAAGGTAGAGCTTGTTGAGACTCTCCACGACTTGGCTCCTCGGGGTCGGCATGGTAGGGCTTGAGATTGCTCATGTGGAACACCGGATGAATCTTTAATCGGGGTGGTAGTTCCCCACGATAAGCAGCTCTTCCCACTGATCGGATGATAGGAAATGGGCCATCATATCTCCTCAACAATGCCTTGTGTAACTTTCTAGTGGACTTGTGTTGAGAGGGGTTGAGCTTCACAAAGACCATATCACCTGGTTGGAACACAACATCTCGCCTATGCTTGTCCGCCCCATTTCTTCATCTTCCGAGTTGCCTTCTCCAATTGAGCTCGAGCCAGCTCATTAGTCACCTGCCACTCCTTGGCGTCTTGTATGCAGCTAGGCTACTCCCCGTGTAGCCTGACACCACTGTGTTCGGTGTCCTAGGGTTGTTGTCCTGTTGCCAACTCAAAAGGGACTTGACCCTGTTGGCTCTGACCGCTGCAAGTTGTATGAGAACTGAGCAACATCCAACAACTTTGCCCAATCTCGCTGGTTGGCACTCACATAGTGCCCTCAAGTATAGCTCCAACAATGCATTCACCCTTCCGTCTGACCATCTGTCTGTGGGTGAAAGCTGGTAGAGAAGTTCAACTGTGACCCAAGTAGCCTGAAGAGCTCCGTCCAAAGTTTACCAGTAAAGCAAGTGTCGCGGTCACTGATAATACTCGTGGGAATTCCCCAATACTTCACCACATGCTTCAAAAACAAGCGTGCAGCTTCCTCTGCATTGCAGTCCACTGGTGCAGGGATGAAGGTAGCATACTTGGTGAACCTGTCGACCACCACACCAAATTGAGCCACACCCTTCTGACTTGGATAGACTCACAATGAAGTCCCTGGACAAACTCTCCCATGGTCTGGCTGGAACAGGAAGTGGCTCTAGCAACCAACCCGGCTGCTTCTGCAATGTCTTGTCTTTGTGGCATACAAGGCAAGTTCGCACGAACGAGTCTACATCCTCCCGCATCTGTGGCCATAGTAAGCTTCACTCATCAAGCTAACGTCCGATGAGTGCCTGGATGTCCCCCCACTTCGAGCATGACACTCCTTCAGTAATAAAAAAAAAAAAAAAAAAAAAAAAAAAAAAAAAAAAAAAAAAAAAAAAAAAAAAAAAAAAAAAAAAAAAAAAAAAAAAAAAAAAAAAAAAAAAAAAAAAAAAAAAAAAAAAAAAAAAAAAAAAAAAAAAAAAAAAAAAAAAAAAAAAAAAAAAAAAAAAAAAAAAAAAAAAAAAAAAAAAAAAAAAAAAAAAAAAAAAAAAAAAAAAAAAAAAAAAAAAAAAAAAAAAAAAAAAAAAAAAAAAAAAAAAAAAAAAAAAAAAAAAAAAAAAAAAAAAAAAAAAAAAAAAAAAAAAAAAAAAAAAAAAAAAAAAAAAAAAAAAAAAAAAAAAAAAAAAAAAAAAAAAAAAAAAAAAAAAAAAAAAAAAAAAAAAAAAAAAAAAAAAAAAAAAAAAAGGAAAAACACGACGGTAAATCACCGTCGTGTATTATGTTTTCAAATGGTCGTGGAATCCACCGACATCTTTTCCATAACCAAACCACGACGGTGAATAACCGTCGTTGTTAAAACAAAAACGTCATCAAAAATAAAAACCGACGTCTTTGTGCTGCAAAAAGACATAAAAAAAAGGGTCGAGGATGAGAATAGACGACCAACTCCAACAAAAAAACGTCGTTAAAAAGGAAACAGATGACATATATTAACAGAACATGGCCGCAAGATAAACATACAACGACGAGAACTTAAACTTGACGCCGTTAAATAAATATTTAACGACAAATATAAATACGACGTCTTTACAATAATAATAGACGACGTTATTGACACCTACTACGTCACAACATTTCCCACAACCGTCGTAAAATAAATTTTCCACTTCGATTTTTCTATGAATTATGACGTGGAAATAGATCTCAGGGTCATTACTTACGACGCATGTATTTACAGAGACGACGTTGAATTGATAAATAACGTCGGTTTCAAATAAATGAGAGCCGTATTACAGAATTTATACGTCATATTTTGAAAATAAACGACGTGGAAAAAATGATGGGGTCATTAATTACGACACAGTAATTTATAAGGACGACGTTGTCGTCTATATACAACGTCGGTACCATGAAAAAGACCGTCGTGTTTAATAATTTATACGTCTTCATTTAAAAAATTGACGTCGTCTAATGCATATATCTTAACGTCGACAAGTTTAATGGACTTCAAATACCGTCGTAAAATAAATTTTCCACTTCGATTTTTCTACGAATTATGACGTGGAAATAGATGTCAGGTTCATTAATTACGACGTATGTATTTACTGAGACGACGTTGAAATGAATAAACAACGTCGGTTCCAAATAAATGAGAGCCGTATTACAGAATTTATGCGTCATATTTTGAAAATAAACGACGTGGAAAAAATGATGGGGTCATTAATTACGACACAGTAATTTATGAGGACGACGTTGTCGTTTATATACAACGTCGGTACCATGAAAAAGACCGTCGTGTTTAATAATTTATACGTCTTCATTAAAAAAATTAACGTCGTCTAATTCATAAATCTTAACGTCGACAAATTTAATGGATTTCAAATACCGTCGTGAATTCATCCTTTTCCACTTCGTTTATGAAAGAACATGCGACGTGGTAAATTCATGACGACGTCGTCTTTTGTAACGTTCAGGTTAAAGTTCTCGTCTTTTAGACGTCGGTGTTATGGGATTGGAGACGTGTTATGTTGAATTACATGGCGGTTCTTTATCAAAACCGTCGTGTTTGTAATCTGGAACCAGTAATTTTTGTACTGATTGTTTTGTGGCCAAAACCTGTATAATGAAAGTGAAGAAATCACATTACAATATATTACAAAATTAATGTCATACACTGCCAATTACATAAAGCATCATTCAACCCATATATCTTCACACCCATCTCGAATATTTTGACTCCCTAACTCAACCACCACTTCATCAAATGTGTCAACATTTGGCATCCCCCTAGTAAATGGCTCACACTCAATTCTCACATCACCTAAGACATCATCACCAATAACATCATTATATTCTCTATTAGGCATTGATAACACTACCGACCAACCACGATGCATCGGGTCGTCAACAAAAAATACTTGTTTGACTTGAGAAGCCAAAACAAATTGGTCATTCCTATGTCCAATTTTACTCAAATCTACAAGGGTAAATCCAAGTTCGTCCACTACAAGACCAGAAGTATTATCAATCCAATCACACCTAAAGACTGGGATTGTAAACTTTTGGTAGTCAAGGTCCCAAATTTCTTGAATGACACCATAGAAACCCATATTTGAGATAATTGGGTTTTTATCCTTGGCACTAGCAACTTGCATAGTATGTGCAAGTAAATAAACTCCACTATTTTGAGTTGTCCGCACATCATCTTGTGCCTTGATGTTGAATTTAATACCTTTAATGAGATAGCTCCTATATAATGGCACTGCCATGTTTGGACCAGCTGCTAGCCACCTTAAATTTTCTGATACGCCATGATTGTCTTCCTCATTAAGTTCACTTTGAACCTGCAAATTAATCATAACTTAATTCAATCTAACACAGGAAGAAGAAAATTAAAAGTCCAATATGTTATTCAATAACATATACCTTGAAGCGTAGCCATTGAATGAAAGTGCTATTGTGCTTATCCTGCAGCCACTTTGTTCTCTTTCTAAATTTTGGATAAGCGGTCTGGATGTGGATCATATGTTGCCTACATGACACACAAAATTCAAGTATTACGATCCCAAACATATAAGATAAACATAAGAAATAATTTAAAATGGAAACTTAAAGAATAAAACTCATACGTACTCGATATAAGGTAGGACTTCCTCCGTATTCTCCAAGACATATAGATGTGCTTGGTTCAACAGGTCCCGATCAACTACGCTCACTGTGCAACCTGATAATGGCTTTGAAACTCCCATCTTTTGGCTTGAAGGCACTCCAACTGTACTAACATCAGATAAATGCTCGGTACAAAACTCTACAGCTTCTTCAGCTATATACCGCTCAGCAATGCAACCTTCGGGACGAGTACGATTCTGAACATACCCCTTTAGCACTTTCATATATCTTTCAAACGGATACATCCATCTAAAATATACTGGCCCACACAGACGAACTTCTCTGACAAGATGTACTACTAGATGAACCATGATATCAAAGAATGAAGGGGGAAAGTACTTCTCAAGCAAACACAAAGTAACTACTACATCTTCTTCCAACTTATCTAGCTTGGAAACATCAACAGTCTTTGCACATATAGCATTGAAGAAGAAGCACAAACGAGTTATTGCATACCTTGCAGGCTTCTCCAAAACAGAACGAATTGCCACAGGGAGCAATTGTTGCATTAGGTATGACAATCATGTGATTTAAGGCCAAGAAGTCTTGAATCTTGTAAAGATACAAGATTTTTTATATTTGAAGAATAACCTTCAGGGACCTTCATACCATAGAAAGAATTGCAAACCTCTCTCTTCTCTGCTCTTGACAAATTCCAAGGCCCGGGAGGCAAACGAGTACGTCTTTCTCCATACTCGGGTTGCAAATCAGTTTTGACCCCCATGTTCAATAAATCTAATCGAGCAGCAATCCCATCTTTATTTTTTCCAGGGATCTCCAGCAATGTACCAATGATACTATCGCAAACGTTCTTCTCAATGTGCATAACATCTAGGACATGCCTCACAGGAAGGTATTTCCAATACTCGAGATCAAAGAATATTGATTTCTTCTTCCAACAAACTCTGTCACCATCTTCAACCATATGCAGCACTTCTTCTCCGGTTAATGGCTCAGGAGGCGTGCCATATTCAGGTTTCCCATTAAAAGCTGCACGTTGCCTCCTATATGGATGATTGATCGGTAACCATTTTCTATGCCCAATGTAACAAATTTTGTGGCCATTTTTCAACCTGTGACTAGGTGTATCATCGCCGCATATTGGACAAGCTTTATATCCTTTAACAACACAACCAGATAAGTTTCCATAGGCGGGGAAATCATTAATTGTCCACATTAATGCAGCTCTGAGTGTAAAGTATTCTCCATTATGTGCATCATACACTCCTCCAATCCCATCCCACAAAGATTTTAAATCATCAATCAAAGGCTCCAAGTAGACGTCTATATCATTTCCGGGCTGTTTAGGACCGGAAATCAATAAGGTCAACATCATGAACTTTCGTTTCATGCACAGCCATGGAGGGAGATTATATGTAACTAAGATAACTGGCCAGCAACTATATCTGCTACTTAGAGAACTGTGGGGATTGAATCCATCAGATGAAAGAGCCAATCTCAAGTTTCTCGGCTCATTACCAAACTCGGGCCATTTATCATCAAGAAGTTTCCAAGACGGGGAATCCGCTGGATGAGACATATAACCGTCAATTGATTTTCTAGCAGCATGCCAAGTCAAACTCTTAGCGGTCTCATGTGATCGAAACATCCTTTTAAACCTTGGAATTGGAGGAAAATACCACACCACCTTCGCTGGCACACCCTCTTTCAAGATTGAATCTTTGCCTTCCTTCCACCTTGAGATACCACAATTAGGACAATGAGTTAAATCCTCATACTCCTTCCTATACAAGATGCAATCATTGGGGCATGCGTGCATTTTCTCATAACTCAGCCCCAATGCACACAAAGTCTTTTTTGCCTCATACATAGAGGCCGGTATTGTATTTCCGTCTGGAAGCAAATCGCCTTGAAGTATCAATAATTCTGTAAAACAGACATCACTCATCCCATATTTTGCCTTCAAATTATACAACTTCACTAATGCCGATAACTTCGTGTACTTTCTACAACCAGGGTACAATGGTTGATCTCCATCCCCAATCACATTGGCAAACTCATAAGGATCAGATCCAAAATCACCAAAATCATTATCATCCATCTCTATTTCTTCAGACACAAAACTGTACCTACTATGGTCA